CGCAAATCAAGAAAGAGGAAGTCGCTTCTAACAGAGGATGCTTTGTCAGTCCAAGCAATCCAACAATTAGTAGACAAAGATGAGGTAGAAGCGCAAATAATAGAGGAGATGCCAAGGCCTGCCAAGCGGACAGCGAGGTGTAGCAAATGCAGATCAACAGCTCATACAGCCAGAACTTGTATAGCATAAGAGATAGTATTAACGTATCATAATTCTCAATTTGAAGGCCTAAAGGTCATTGTTCATTAAGATATTAATTGTTGAATGCAGCGCATTGAAAAAGCGTGTTCCGCGCCCCCGTGTGTTCCGCGCTCACGTGGCCCGCGTTAGGCCATCTTACCCATGAACAGGACGATTTTGCTTCTGGTCTGGACTATCCTTTCTCCTCGATACATCGAAATCTGGCTGTATCATCAGCCGTCGGTTTGGCCGGATCCGTCTTGGAAACCACCCGAAAGCCAAAAACCTCGCTTCTGTCCGACACCCCTCATAGAAGTCGGCGATGAATCTAACCCCGAGGCGCCGGTCTCAGAAGGAAAGATGCTTACCAACAAAGATGAGCCGGAATCAGCCATGTAAGCCGCTGTTGTGAAACAGAGCGCTGTTATAAACCCAAGTCATCGCTCCGGCGAACGCATTAGCTATCCAAACCCCCGTCCTGTAACGAATCGAATTCATCTATCAGGTCCCACCATGTCGAGGACCAATTTTCCGCTCGCCGGTGACGCCGTAGACGGCTGGTCCAACACCGAAGAAGCCACGGCGACCTGTTTCTGCGGCGCGGTGCAACTATCCTTCGTACGATAAACCCCTCCCCACCCCTCGTCCTTTCACCAAGGTAGAGTCTGTTGACGTATGCCCGCGGAACGCCCGCACAGCCGATCAAAGGGCCCGGGCTGATCATGACGTTCGCGTGCCACTGCGCCGACTGCCACAAGGTGTGCCAGATGGCGGCGGCGAATTTCATCGTGGGCGACGACTCCGTCAAGTACCTGCGCGGGCGCGCGGACCTGGCGACGTTCACGACGGGCCGGACGACGACGACGGGGAACGACATGACCAATTACTTCTGCCGCGCCTGCGGCACGCTGATGAACCGCGTCAGCTCGGGGCTCCCGGGCAGGAGCATCCTGCGGACGGGCACGGTCGACGACTTCGAACTGCAGAACACCGTCTTGAGGCCCCGGCACGAGATCTTCACGGCGGACCGCGCGAGCTGGCTTGCGGCCATCGAGGGCGCGGAGCAGCATGAGGGCCGACCCGATTGGGGGAGCAAACTGTGAGAGGGAGGGGCTGGCGGGCGATACGTGCTCGAAATGACGGGGGACTTTCTGAAAAGTTCGAGGAGGAGGAGGAGGTCCTTGTGGGCGTCCCAGGGGACGTGCAAGATGAAGGCAGAGGATGAGCTTTCCCACGGTCATCATCATGCGACGTTTCAGGAGTGTCACTCGATCTGTTCGTGTGTTCCCCACCGCGCCAGTTCCATACATATGATTGGCTATTGCAGATGTGCAATTGGGCCGTTCATATCACTCACCTGCACGTACACATGTTCTTCACGATGACGATGACGATAATCATGGAGATATGGCATTCATAAGTTGATCATTCCATTCGTTAAACTCATAATCATACCCCTCAACTTCTCCAACCACCACATCCCCCTCTCCTCTCCTCATCAAAGCGTATACCGAAAAGTGATAGCCTTGTCGCCCAGCACGCTCAGCTCCTCGGTCGAGAAAGCGCCCGCCTCGCCCCGGGCCAACCGCCTCGCCCTCTGGGCGTTGACCCTGCGATAGGAGGCAGCCAACACCGTCGCGGCCACCGCGCCCATGCAGATGACGCCGATCTCCAGGGCGTGGCCGAGGATGTAACGGGGGGAGTCGTCCTTGCGGTAGAAATTGCTGGCGGCGGCGCCGCCGAGGTTGCCGATGCTCAGCTGCAGGCCGACGCCGATGGCGCGCTTGTACGTGCCGGCGAGGTTGTTGGACAGCCAGGCGACGTTGGTCGGGTGGGCCGGGTAGATGGCGGCGCCGGCGATGAAGACGCCGGCGTAGGTCACGCCGGGGCTGCGCCCCGCGATGCACATGGTGAAGCCGAGGAGCTGGAAGACGAAGCAGAGCAGGATGAAGGGCGAGCGGAGGTGTTTGCGGTCGGCGAGGTAGGCGACGGCGACGGTGAGGATGGAGGCGGTGACGTAGATGGGGACGGTGAGCAGCTGGGCGCTGGTCTTGGTGTAGCCGAGCTCTTTGATGATCGAAGGGAGGAAGAGGGACAGGCCGTAGAGCGGCATCACGTAGCCCCAGTAGACCAGGATGTTGAGCCAGATCTGCCAGTCGCCGAAGGCGGCGCGGACGAAGCGCCATTCTTGCTTGTCGTGTTGGGCGACGCGGCGGCCGTCGCCGGAGATGTCGTCGTTGCCGTCGTAGCGGAGACGGTAGGAGATGAAGGCCCGTTCTTCTGGGGTGAGGAATTTGGCGGTGCTGGGGAAGTCGTAGATGAAGAAATAGGCGAAGATGGAAAGTACGACGGTCAGAATCCCTTCGAGGATGAAGCTGTCCCCGCCGGTTAGTATATTGATCAGGCGGAAGAGCAAGATCAAAGGTCGATAAACTCACATCCAGCGCCAGCCAGCGAGGCCACCGACACCATCCATGAAAGCGATCCCATAGGCCAGGAGGCCAGAGAACGCCCCGGCGACCGATGCCGCGCTGAAGAAGTATGCTGTACGAACTTGACACTGCGACGAGACTGATCAGTATGAGCGAAAAAGCGCTTCAGTTCCAAGCGGATGGCCGCCTTACCTCATAGCGAGTGTACCACATCGAGATGTACCAGATGACACCGGGGAAGAGCTGTGAGATGGTTAGAGAGGACAGTCGTGGAAGCAACGATAAACAAGCAGGAGCTCGAGTTGGATGAGAACTTACCCCTGCTTCGGCCACACCCAAGAAGATGCGTGCGATCAAGAGTCCCTCATACGATCGTACCAGACCCATCAACGTCATGACGATCCCCCAAGCGACCATGATAGCTGAAACGAGACCGGGCCGTGTCAGCACGACTCGCCTCAAACATTGGCGACGGATTTTCCCCCAATAGACAGTGACAGGCGCGAGGAAGAAAAAAAAAACGAAAGGAGCGGGAAGATTCGGGCGAACTCACTCGGTAACCAGATCGAAGGTTTTAATCTCTTGAGAACCATATTGCTCGGGACTTCGAAGGCAGCGTATGTGAAAAAGAAAGCGGTCAGGCACCAATTGTACTGGGCACCGGTGAGTCTGAGATCGGTGCTGAGGCCTTCGATGTTGGCATTCCCTGCAACGATCCGCGTGAGCACACACACACGAAAAGAAAAAGAGACGGCGATGTGGAATTCATTTCCGCGTCGGCCAAGGAGATCTGCGTCGATCCCGGCACGACGGACGGAGGGGACGATGTTCCGCGCAGGTAGACGATGATGGTGAGCAATGACAGGAAGAAACAGCAACGACGACTCACCGATATTCCCCCTGTCCAGAAACGACAAGAGGTACAACACCGTCAACATGGGGACGATCCGGAAATCCATCTTCCGATGGATGGCTTTGATGTCGAGATGTGCGAAAGCGCCCGGACCGGGGTCTTCGTCGTCCGCCTCGATGGCATCGCTGCCAACGGCGACGGCGTCATTGGAGGAATGAGAGGAGGGGACCTTGACGTCGGTGAAGGTGGGTTTCGGGGTGTTGTGGGCATTCTCGATTTCGAGAGCGGTCGTGCTGGGGGTGGTGTTGGAGGAGAGGTCTTTTTTCTTTTCGTTGTTGGTGATGTCGCTCGGGGAGAGGATCGCCGCGGCGGAGGCGTCTTTGCGGATCATCATGATTTGAGGTCGCCGTTGGCGGAGCCCTGAGATCCTTGGTCCTCGGCCGATGCTCCCACGCAGCACTCTCGAGGATGAATATAGACCTGTCAACCGAACTATCCCCTCGAGGAGTCGACGACAGCAAGTCGCTCAAAGACTCTCCTTCCCGCACGCGTAAAAGCCAGATGTGGAGTTTCTTCTTCTTCGTAGCGTCGTATTTGCAGATCTGGCGTTGAAAAGGAACGACTACCGAATGACCGAGTTTCCCCAATCCGTCTTCCGAGTGCAATCGAATCCACTGTGACGCGCCAAACAATCACAGAGCAGTATCATATAAACCTCCCTCTTTGGAAAGGAAACTGGAGGCAGGGAAACGACTTCACGATGATCGACCGCGAGGCGCTGATAAGCATTAGAGATATACTGGCGTCGCCCGCCGCCACCACCGCCGCCGCCGAACGCCGGCTGTTTCGTCTCGGCTGGCTGACGGGCGAGCGAGCGGGGAAGTGCGTGGCTTGTTTCTTTTCCGGGACGGTACCCGTGTTTGGAAGGATTTAGCCGCGCTGTGTGATGTATATATGCGATAGACTTCAGCCTATGTAGGGTATGTAGGTTGGGAAAGCCTCGAGGACGACGAGGAATGAAGACGACGGAGGGAACGGCGACGGTTTCTGTGACGCGTGTGGGAAACTCTTGCTGGGGCAGAATATTCCGTTCCCCTCCCTCCCTCCCTCCCTCTCATTTTTGCCAGGGATAAGTGAGAAGCTAGATCGAGAAGGGCTTGTCCTTTCCAAGGTTCGTCTTCGTCTTGATCTCCGTCTTGTCGGAAGATGTTGCCGAAAGACGGAGATGATGAATGCAGGAAGGAGATTGGCGAACAGAGAGATTGTTGGATGATCGTACAAATCACCGCAAGGAAAGGAAAGGAAAGGAAAGGAAAAGGGGAGAATGTCCACGACTGTCATTGATCTATACAAGATCGAAGCGACTCCCAAGAGAGAGGACGAGACTCTCTCTCTCTCTCTCTCTCTCTCACTCTGTCTCCCTTTCCCTCTCTATACTTCGTCCTTCCCTCGTCCGAGTCCGAAGGAGGCTGATCCGACGACCCATCCATCCATCGATCCATCCGTCCATCCATATCTCTAGTAAGAATCGGCGAGTGAAAGGACAGAAAAGAAAGGAAAAGAAAAGATGACGAGGTCGAGAGCGACACACACACGCATGTACACACGCATGTACCGACACACAGGCGATAGCATGGTGAGATTTCCCACGACGACTTCCCCCCCTCTCTCTCTCTCCAAGTAAACAAGAAGTTGGATATAAACAAACAAAAACGATATAACCGACCGTCTTTCGCTCTTCCTTTTCCGGAGCGGGGGGACGGACGGACCCAAGCGATATGGGGATTTTCCTCTCCTTCTTCTCCCTCTCTTTCTCTCTTCTTCTTCTCCCTCTTTTTTTATTACACATCTTCGCTCAGGGACACAGTGTCCAAAACAGCAAGCTAGCCGGCAAGCGAGCGAGCGAGCGAGTGATTTCCGATCCCAAACCAGCAGGATCTCCCAAGCCAAGCGGATCCGGGAACAATTCCTCTCGGGTCATCCCATCCCATCCCATCGATCAATCCCATCACGTCCACGACTTTTTTTTTCTTCCCTCATGGATCCCTCCCTTCACGCTAGGACAGTTTCCGCAGCGCGGCGAACCCGCCGAGTTGGCCCATGGGGGCGCCGAAGTTGATGCTCGTCTTCTTCCGCAGCTTGATGCCGCCCTGTTCGAAGGCCTGGGCCTCGGCCGGGTCGAGCGGGGACATGGGGAGGCCGTTGGGGGACATGGGGTTCTCGGGGTCGCTGACGCCAGCGCCGTTGGTGTTGGAGGTGGAGGTGGAGGTGGAGATGGGATGGGGGGCCTGGTGGTGAGGGTGATGGTCGGGGGAGGCGGGTTGTTGGGTGGCGGTGGCGTCTTGGGTGCTGGTGGGTGCGTGCGGACCTTCGGAGGAACTGTCATTCGGGAGAGGAGTTGTCAGTTTTGGGACGGAAGCGTGGTTTTTTTGCCCTGATGGGTTGGGTCTGGAGGAGGAGGAGAAGCAAGAAGGAGAACTTACATGGTCATGGTGTGTGGACTGATCTGATCGCTGATCAGCGTGTCCAGTTCGTTCTCCGGCGACGCGAGCCCCGGGCTCGGGGTGGAGAAGATCATCGGCTTGCTCTGTTCGGGGTGCTGTTCGATCTGTTCCAGACGTTTCGACAGGGCCTCGAGGGTGAAGTTGCCGTCGGAGGGTCGGCCGGGCAACTCGGGCATGTGCAGGGGTCCGGTCAGGGCCTTCTCCTCGTCGTCGTCGTTGCATTGCGTCAGGTAGGTGTTGATGTGGGTGTTGTTGCGCGTCGGGGTGTCCTCGATGCCCTCCAGGAGCATCTTCTGCGGCGGAGGCGTGGGTTTGCGAGGGATCCGGATGGGGGTGTGGCCGGCGAGGGCCCGGTGTTCGGGAGGCGGCGGTGAGAGGGATTCGGCGTGTGCGGCGGGGGCCGGGATCTCTTCGACGACGACGCCGTCGGCGGTGGTGAAGGTCACGGCGGACCCGCGACGTGAGCTGGAAGGGAGATCGATGGAGCTGGGGGCTCCCACCCTCCTCGACGAAAGGGGGGTCTTTTCGTCCTCGGAGATGGTGGGGAGGGAACTCGTCACGAGCGAGCGCGGCTGTGGAGACGCCAACCCACAGGTCCAGGTGGGAGATATGATGGGAGATTTGGCCGGGCTGTGCACGGTTAGACATTGATCCGACGGACATGTTTCGCCCAGCTCTCGAGGGGTCGACACCGACCTGTGATGATTGCCGCTCTTCAGAAGCCTCTCCAAGTTCGCGATGCGCTGATATAGCCTTTCCTTTTCCATGCTCCACACCTGTCGCTCGGATGCGAACGCGTCATGTAACAGTTGTATCGTCGCCGATTGTTGATCGATGATCATGTGGAGCTGGCTCTCGCTCGAGTCCCCCGCGGGACTGATGCGACTCATGATGGAGGTCGAAGGCGATGAGACCCCGGCGTCTCCGCTGTGCATGGCCCGCATGACAGATGAGACGAGCATGTCGTTGGAGGTACGTTCAAAGGCGAGCGGAGGGCTCTTCGCGCGGGAAGACCGGGGCAAGCTTGGAGATCGTAACGGTCGGTTGGGCGACAGCGATGGGTGATTCGGTTGTTGCTGTGGTTGAGGTTGTTGTTGTTGCGATTGTGGTGAGTGATTTGGCTGAGCAGCAGGTTCGGAGGTCGCCATGATGAGTGAGAAGACTGTCGTTGTCGATCATGTAGCGGTGAAAGGGAGATGGTCTGTGGTGACAATGACGGCTTCTGAGAGGCTGCTCTGCGAAAATGGATATTTGGGTAGATATGGGAAGGGTGTGGCCTATCTAGGGAAGAAGGCGCGTGTGCAAACGTTGGAGCGTGGCAGTAGCGGCGGATTTGGGGTTCTTTTTGGGTAGCGGTTGTTTCTGCTGTGGTTGCCGCTGTAATCGCTGCTGCTTGGGGATTGACGGATGGAATAGCGTGGTTGCCGGGTCCGGTTGGATGCAGGGGAAGGAGAAAAGAGTCGAGAGGGAGGGAGAGAGAGAGAGAGAGAGAGAGAGAGAGAGGGAGTAGTGTTAGTATGTAGTGTGATGTAGTGGTAGTAGTGGTAGTAGTAGTGGTGGTAGTGAGAGAGTCGTGAGGGAAATATGTTTACAGTTTGAGTTGGAGTGAATGGTTCGGAACTATACTACTGCTGCTGTGAGAGAGTGTGAACTACAGTGGTAGTGAATAGTAAGTAGTATGGGTGGGTGGGTGTGTGTGTGTGGACGAGAGAGAGAGAGACACACACACAGCCGATGCAGCGTCATCGTCAGCAGGAAGAGACCGAGAGAAACGAAGAGAGCCCGAGATGTACACAGAGAGCGAGAGAGAGAGAGAGAGAGAGAGGGACTTTTTTTTGGGTGTGGGTGTTGGCGTATGTGTGTGTGTATTGTGGATGTGTATGTGTGCGCCAGTCATCATCCATCTCCCCGTCTCCGTCAGATCCTCATGGGGAGATTTAATTTTTTTTTCCCATGGGAATTTCCAGAACCACCACCATCCCGGGCATCGGCCGTGAAGAACGGACTGGACGATTCCGAGGTTTGTTTTCCAATGATGATGCAGGTGATGATTGACAGATCTCCACGGGCGGGCGGACGGGCACATCGGCCTTTTCATCATCCACCCGCACCAGCACCCAGCACCCAGCACCAGCAACCTGCGTCTCCCTCGCCTATTTCACCATCATCGTCATCATCATCATCACCATCAATTCCTGCCAGGGCCGCAATGCGTCAGTCAAGCAGCCGCGCCGCCCGCCCGTCCCGAAGGAAAGGAACAGGATGGGGGTGTCTGCCGGCCAGCGAATCTCATCATCCTTGGCTGGTGTGTCCCATCACAGGATAATAACACTGGTCGGGGGAAGGCTACAGGGCCAAGTCCGTCCTCCAGCTGTGCGGTTGATCATCATCATCACTGGGCAATCCTCCTTCCTACCCGACATCCTAAATACATACATACATTACCTAGGTACTACTTCGGCGACGATTGCCTGGAACAGACAGGCACACATCCACACACACTTGAAGAAGGAAGGAGGGAAGGATTCCGCCGGTGTGCTCGGGGAGCAGAAAGGCGTGGGGATCCACAGGCACACAAAACAAACCTCCAGTAGGGACAGAGTGCAGAGGGAAAAAAGCAGGAACCCATCCGGGACATGCTGCACGCCTGTCCCCTTCCATCGCTAGCCTCCCACGCGCATACATCACATCCAGGTACGGCACATACTGTCATCAATCGGTGTGTGTGGGTTGTGTGTGGGTGCTTTGGCACACCGGGGATATTGTTGTCATCGCCCGTGCAGTTGCGTGCCTAGGCAGGTAGCGATTCGATCTCCACAATGGTAATGAATCAATCAATCGATAGATGCATGAATAATAAAATGAAAAAAAGGCGGATCGAACTCATCCTTGGTCCGGCATCTCCCAAATCCCTCCACTCATCCTCCAATCCTCCCTTCCTCACGGGAAATATCAACAGTGGTTATCAGGTAGGTAGGTAGGTAGGTCGTTCCTCGGCCCCGACGAACAGCAGCAGCCCAGAAGGAGGAAGAGCCGAAGCGCGGCATTCCCGCCCCGGAAACGCCCATAGCAAAGGGGAGAAGAGAACCAAACCAAACCAAAACCGAACCAGAACCTTTTCCCGCGCGCGCGCGTTTTCCGTCTCGGGTTGGACGCGACGACGTAATTTTTATTACTTATGACCGACCGAGGCAGGCAGGTGGGTAGGTGTTTATCATCATTACTGGGTTGCTTTTCTTTTCCACTCTGCTGCTGCTGTCTTTCGACACAGGGTCCAACAATAATGATGATGATGATGATAGCTGGTCGGTCGGTCATTTGCCTTGTGATGCTTTGTTCACATCTATACCGACCGTGCTGGAAAATTTAGCCGCACCTCGGACATGTCTCACCTTCTATGTTTTTCTTCCCGTGGAGGGGGAAACACCGAGGAGTTTTCTCCGGATTGAACCGAGAATGGCGATCAGAGAGAGAGAGAGGGAGTGAGACAGGAGGGAAGGAGAGACAAGACATCACATGGGAAAAACGAGCGTGCGGTGATGGAGAGAGATGACGCACATCGGTTCCAAAAAACGGTCCCTGCTGTTGCTGCGCGCATAGGTGCTGGGTGGGCGGGTGGTGGTTTTTCCATCGGGCGGGCAAAAAAACGTTTCTTTCTTAATTCTTTTTTTTCCAGGGTCGACGTGCAGTTGCGTCAGTCGTTTGTTAGTTATCATCATTATTTTCATTATGGGAGGAGAACCGATGAGAGAGGGACCTCCATGCGGGAAACACACAGAGAGAGACCTATAATGCCACGGATGCCTTTGGGCTCCTTCTAGGCATGCAGCTGAAAGCGCACATCGATTGTGGAGCGTCGTCTACTGGTGGTAGTGGTGGTGGTGGTAGGTGGTGATGTTCAACCTCCTGCTCCGGGCGATATCTGTCATCAGTCAATTGGGCCGCCGCACCTGCAGCCCGAGCCGGGGGATCCACCGCTGTTCCGGTGCGTGCGTGTGGGAGTGCCCGATCGCAGGCAGGCGGGCGGGCAACAAAGCAGAGAGGCTCCACCTACCTACCTACCGACTGAAGGGATTCTCCACCATTTGCTGTCCCCGTCCGGTCGTATATCGGTGGGTGCGGGTGTGTGTGTGAAAGAGAGGGAGTCATCATCATCCAATACAGTGACAGCATGTAGATAATGATCGTGATTCGCATGTGAAGGCTATTTATACCTGTACTCGCTGAAGATACAACAGTCCCACGGGTAGACGTTGTCGTGGTGGATAACGATCAGCAGATGTCCTGAGAGTCGTCGTTGTGATACTTCGGTCGCATTGCGCGGAACACAAGTCGTTGGCTGCCTGGTTTATTATTGTTATATTATTGATTCTCTGGTGAAAGAGGGATGGAATATGTCCAAGGGTAGACAGATAGATAGACACATGAACGGTAGGAGGAGGAGGAGGAGTGAAGAAGATGGCGTTGGGAAGAGACGAGGGCCTGATCATTCGACTGTACAGTACAGTGGGGACCTGTCGATCCCCCCCGTCATCACCGTTCACCGTTCACCGTCATCGTGGTTATCTAATATATACTTCATGTTCATGATATGCAGTACATACATAGCAACACAAGCAATAGATCACCGACGATGAGACTTTCCTTGCCTCCGATTTTACGATATATCCGCAATGGTAGGGAAATGAGAAAGGAACCCACGCTCTGCGACTATTGCTGCGTTGTGATATCCATCCATCCCTTCCCCGAATTGGAAGTCCCTCGATCGGGCTCTTGCCTACATGCGCATTGGGAGAGAGAGAGTGTGTGCCAGAGAGCCTAAGATTCGGGTCGAGTCCTGGTAATAACAATACGGAAGGGAGGAAGGAAGGAAGGAAGGAAGGAAGGGAAACAGGCGAGCGCCGCCCCGTCTATCCCGACAGCCCCGACCCGCCCGTCGGGGTTCTGGCTCTCTCCCTCTCTCCCTCTCGAGCTTGCAAAGAAAGCCCTTCGGGAGAAATCTCAGCCGCAGCTGGGGGGGAACACGGGCTGCAGCTGGCCAAACAACCCCGGCCACGTTTGCACGCGGACGCCGCAGGTATTGTTTCCCACATACAGTAGTCGAGAGGGTTTCGACGACGTGCACGGATATCCCAAGGGAAACGTTTTGATTTTCGAGGACGAGGGCAGACAACGATTGTAGGAGATGTTGTCGGACGGAGAGCTTTTCTTTCTTTCGTCGCCGCGTGGAAAGGCAGGCACAAGGGTCTATCATTGCACTGTGGCATATCTCTCACCCGTTTTCTTTGGGCGTGGCAGCAAGGAAAGGACAACGGGACAGACCTGTCTTGTGTCCTTTTCACATGTTCGAGGTTCGTCGTGTCCAGTCAATCACTCATCAGTCGGGGAGCACACAGCACACTGCATAGACAGTCTATATAAAGATATGCTTTCACTGCAAGATGCGGTGGCATCTACGTGGATGGTTCAGCCTCATCACATGTCAGCGTGGGAAAGCGTGAAGCGCGCCCGTATGAAAGTTGCTCTTCTTCATGGGAGAGACCGCAGTGAGAGGTAACGCGAAGTAGCCCTGGAGCGAGTGCATCTGTTCAACCAGCAAGCAGCACAGACAAACGACGACGGCGACGACGACGTAACGTGTCGTTGGGCCTCAGCGGAGTCGAAGCAGCCACAGACAGCGCACCAACACGTCAGCTCGCGCTCCTTTTCCCACGCTGGAGCCAGTCGGTCTGGTCTGTAGGAGATGTCGTTGGGTCCATGTTGGTTGGTAGTGTCGGTGTTACGCCGGTCGTTGAGGAACAGGAGAAAAGACGGCGTACGGTGTCCCAGACCGAAACGCAGAGAGGAAAGCTCTACGGAAAGCTGTATTGAAGTGATTTCCACATGAGGAGGAGGCTGGAAACAGTACGCCGTGGAGTTATCACCGAACAGCAGTTCTGCTGCTGCTGTGCTCGACACACCCTGGTGGCTCATCAGTCAAGTCATGTGGATGAAAGTCGATCCGAGTGGTCCGATGAGATGTATTCTCGGAAATCCATTCTGCACTTGAAATGCTCGAATTTAGACATGTCCGGCTGGACTTTCAGGGGCGCTACCGTTTCTGGCGAGGGTGGAAAACTCGTGGTCATCAATGGATGCCTCGACCAGAAGAAAAGTGCCATTGGGACGAAATCGTCGAATCATATATTGGTTTCACCTAGGAGGGGAGAAGCATGACGTAAAGCACACAAAGGAACGCCATAGCATTTGAATTGCAATTCATCATCATCATCATCGTTATCATACCATCAATCCTTCCCCTCATCGCAAGGCAGCAGCGGTGAAAAATAAACATCTCGCATAATTCCCAAAGTTAATGATAGCCGAATGATCGAAACCATGAAAACTACCCCATCGACACGACCATCCCACAGCAAAGGGGAAAAAAAGAAAGGACGAGATCACTTCCTCACGAGTTTCATCTCCCGATACTCCGCCTCCCACATCTGCTGCCGGATCCACTCGTCGAGCTCGGCCTCCCCGGTCGGGATCCCCTCCTGCATGGCGACGCCGCCCTTGACCGCGGCCAGGATGACACACCTCGCGACGCGGACGCTGACCGGGCGGACGGCGTCCACCCCGGGCAGCAGCGGCATCGCGGGGTCCTCCTTCGCGGGGGAGAGCGAGGCCACGCCCTCGACCGCCGCCACGAGCATCTCGTCGGTGATGAGCTTCGCGCGGGAGAGCACCGCGCCGAGGCCGATGCCCGGGAAGACGACGCTGTTGTTGCACTCCGCGGGCACGATCTCGATCTCTTCGCCGTGCTCGCCCCAGGGGCCCTTCACAGCGGCGAAGGGGGAGCCCGTGGCCACCAGGGCTTGGCCGTCGGTCCAGTGGTAGAGGTCTTTGGGCACGGCTTCATGGAGGCGGGTTGGGTTGGAGAGCGGGAGGATGATGGGCCGCGGGGTGTGTTTCGCCATCTCCTGGACGATCTCCTGCGTGAAGGCCCCCGGGACGGTGGACGTGCCGATGAGCACGTTGGGTTTGACCTGCTTGATGACCTCGAGCAGGCCCGTTTGCCCCTTCTTTTGCTCGCCTCCGTGGAATTCCTGGGGGTCTTTGGCGAATATCTCCTGGGCGGCGGAGAGGCCTTCGGTTTCGGTGGTGAGCAGGCCCGGTTTGTCGATGAGGTAGATCTGTTTCGCGGCGGCTTCTTTGCTGATGTTCTGCCGGGCGGCGATCGCGTCGCGGACTTGATCGGCGATTCCCACACCCGCACTGCCTGCGCCGAAGACGACCATGCGGAGGTCTTTGAGCTGCTGCTTGCTGACGTCCAGCGCGGCGAAGATGGCCGCTAACGTGACGCAGCCGGTCCCTTGGACATCGTCGTTGAACACCGGCGCCTCGGATCGATACTTGTCCAGGATGCGACGGGCGTTGGTCAAGCCGAAGTCCTCGAAATGCAGGATAGCTTTGGGGAAGCGTTTCCGCGCGCTCTTGATATAGGTATCGATCAGTGTATCGTAGGCTTCGCCGCGGACGCGCTTCTCGCGGAGGCCGAGGTAGAGCGGATCATCGAGGTGTTTCTGATTGTTCGTGCCGCAGTCTAGCACAACAGGGAGTACACGGTTGGGATGGACGCCAGCGCAAATGGTCATGAGGACCAATTTCGCAACGGAGATGAGCACACCACCGACGCCCTGGTCGCCGATCCCGAGGATTTCCTCGCCGTCGGTGACGACGATGTAGTCGATATCCTCGGGATTTCCACCCTTGGATAGTGCTTCATCGACCTTTCCCGGCTCGTGCACATTGAGGAAAATGCCTTCCGGACGACGGAAGATGTGTGAGTAATTCTCAATCGCTTCGCCTTCAGTTGGGGTGTACACGACGCTGAAGACGTCAGATAGATGGTCCAATACAAGGCGATAGTACAGGACTTCATTCTGCTCCTTTAGCGAGGTCAGGAAGGTATTCCGGGAGAGATCGTCCCCGCGGCTCTGGTATTGACCCCATGCCCGATCCAATTGCTGCTGAAGCGAATGGACGGCGGACGGCAGTAGTGATGTCAAGCCAAATTCGTGACGCTCCTCGACGGTGAAGGCGGTACCTTTGTTCAGGTAAGGGGTATTCAGCAGCTCTACGCCAGTGTAAGGGGTCTTTAAAGGTCCCTTTGCAGACAACGGAGGAGGAGCCATTGTGTTGATCGAAGAGAGGTGTCAGTGATGAGAGAGATCTTGGAGTCAGACTCACCGCGCCTGTCACTCGCGTCGGTTATATGTCACTCAATAGTCCCATGTACTTTGTGACCGTGATGATTATATGCCGCAGTTGCCAACACGGATGGTTCCGCAAGGGATCCCGAAACCGTTCGCATTCCTAGCGGCATAGAAGTCGTTGGGCCGTAGATCTATGCAATAAACCTGGTTGAACTCGGGGACTCCGAGCGAAGATTCCCGAGACAGGGTGGTTTTCCAGATCGAAGCGTTGCGTCATTCCGTGGAGGCGTTATGCATTCTTGCGGCGTACAGAGCGATGGCGTTCGTGGCGTCTCCCAACCGTACTACGCCGCAATTTCCCTCGGGCTGCATTTACAGATTACCTAAGTAGGTAGATTGTGAAAGGGAAATGTTCTTATCTACATGCAACGTTCTTGTTCAAATTGACGTCAATAATCATTCGGCCGGCAAGCCCCGGCGGCTCCAAAGCTCGTCCCGAAAGCGCGCCGTTTCCGAGCCAGCGCCTCTCCCGGCGGCATCGTTGGGACCGAGCGTACTGGAGTGTGATGTACCTTGCACGCCACGATAGAAACACGTCTGTGCAGATGATAATGGAGGACTAGTGCTCAATTTCCTTGACGTGTTCAGGTGGAGGCTTGTCCGACCAAGATGTTCGAGATAGAAAATGGGTAGGAAGTCGAAAATCAATATTTGACAATGTTCCAAAAAGATGGAAAAACAAAACAATGAAGGGTTTCCAAACTTCCCAGGTTGCCGTCCTCCATCACGTCATCTCTCCTTGTTCGATTGTGACCATCGCAAACAAGAGAAGAACATCGATCCCTACTGAACCTGTCCAACAGTCAAAGTCGAAATAAACCCATTATCCAGATCCGAGAACCGCGGGTAATCGACCCCTCCCAAGCTGACCATGAAGTGCGTCCCGACGGTATTGAGGTTATAAAACGAAATCTGCTCACTCTGCTCGATGGAGAAGATCCGATTCTGGCACGTCGCGAAACTGCCGATGTCCGAGCACGAGGTGGAATAGTTGTTAAAGAAACTGTACAAGCCCGCGCCATAGGCGGCGATGGACTGGGATTGGTAGATGCGGAGACCCCAGCCGTCGGCGGCGGGGATGACGGTGCCGTTGGGCGTGGTGATGGTCTCGCGGGGGAAGATCGGGTCCGCGAGGGAGGCGACGGCCGGGAAGGGGATTTGCGCGTTCGGGTTGGGTTGGTAGTAGGCGGTTTCGGTCTGGATTTGGCCCATGTAGACGTTGCGGGTGTTGGCGAATTGGTATTCGTACTTGACGTGGTGTTCGACGGAGGTGCCGATCAGCCAGATATCGCCGTTGGTGCTTTGGTCCAGGAAACCCCGGCCGGCGTAGACGGTGATGCGGGTTAGGGCGGCGTCTTCGATGTCGTGGTCGGCGACCCATAGCCAGACGTTCTCGAGGTAGAGACCAGATCCGGAGGGAGTGATGTGGAAGGACATGTAGGCGGCGATACAGTTTTCGTTCAAGTTGGAGGCGGTGACTTCGATTTTGGGAGTGGTGGGGCAGTCCTTGAGAAGTAGTTCGGAGCCGGCAAAGCCACCAATACGAGTGTGGACATCCCAGAGACCGCTGGGTTGGGATGTGGGCGAGGCCAGGTTGTATTGGATGAGGACGGCACCTCGCTGTTGACCTTGAGTGCTGACGATGGTATCGGACCACTCGATGCTTCCGACCTCTCCAGGGGCACCAATCTGTACGACAGGTTGAGGGTTGTCGATGTCGTTGAAGAAAGCTCCCGTAGATAGGATGACTGAATAAGCCTCACCCACAATCCTTGCTCCAGCAGGGATGAAGATGGTGCTCTTGACGAGATAATCTCCGTGATCGATGAAGAGGATCTTGTTCTGAGCCAGAGCGAGGATGATGGCAGCCTGCAGAGCGACAGTGTCATCTGTCTTGCCGTCACCGAGGGCTCCAACGTCACGAGCACTGAGGAAGCCTGACGCTGGGACGTTTGCATACTGAGGCTTGGTTCGAGTATAGTATTGTCCGTTGGTGGTGATCAGACCGGCAGGGCGTGCCAGAGGACGGTACGCGCCCTCGATATTGCGCGGATCCGGGTCAAACTTCGATAGTTTTAGGCTGCGACTTGCTGACCAACCGGTAATCTGAGGTGAAGCAGCAAGAGCGACTCTCTGGTCTGGTCCTTGGACAGCAACGCCTACTCTGGTGAGCTGGATATTCTCAATGACAATACTGCCACCAGCGATGGGTTTGGAGTTTTCGTTGTGGCTGGACTTGACGGCAATCTCGACATCGGTGAATTTGGAATCAATCACAGTGACCGAACCGACTGTTTGAGCGTTGGGTCCACCGTTGGATACGTCCAGACCGATCGTACAGTTGATGACTGTGATTGTCAGTAAACGTGTTTATATGCTCTGATCATGATATGGGACGCTCACTGTTAAGGTTCTGATAAGTCCAGCCCCAATCCCAGATTTGGTAGATGGCAGTCTTGACGTTGCGGGCGGTGATGTTTCTCATGGTGAATTGCTGGTTACCCCAGAATCCACCGTAATTGCCGCCATTGAAGACAATGTCGCCGATGAATCCACCGCTACCCTCTTCGATGAAGATGCCCTGGTGGAGAGTGTCTTTTTGGCTGTTCATGTTGATGACCACGTTCTGAATGCTGGTGGCCTGCCCGGTTGGCCAATGGATACCGATCGCTTTGGTAGTGGCAGAGATTAAGGTGGTGTCGATGACTGGACGAAAGTCAGCAAATGAGTCTCTTAAACTCATCAATAAGACCTCTGGCACGTACTGAAGTTGCGAATCTGACGCCAGAACACATTGGTAGCACTTCAATGATGTCAGCAACAATCGAACTCTGTGACAACAGTTCAGGCAACATACCCAGTGGTAAGTCCCTTAGGTCCGTACGGAACACCATCAATCAGGCCGACACCGCCAATCGCATCTGTAAAGGTGGAAAATGCGCGAATGGTGGGCAGGCAATTGGGGTTGCTGAGAACCGTCAGCAGAAATCTTGGGGCGCATTAAGCATGAAACCAGCTTACCCAATCAACTGAGTGTAGTAGTAATCCGTGATGGTTGAATTGATCATGTAGACACCAGGTGGGAAGTAGATGACTGCCGGAGTCACAGTGGTCGATTGGCAAGAGCCAGGAGCACAACGATTGCCAGATGAAATGGCACGGTTGATCGCTGGAGCATCGTCCGTGATCCCGTCGCCCTTTGCGCCGAAATCCTTGACATTGCGGTACACCTGGTAGTTGGTGGGATCAGCATTGAAAGCGGCGACACCCTGATGCTTTACATCGTCAAGCCAGTAAGCGCAGGTGTTGGTCGGTGTGGCTGCGGCGCTAGTTGTCGACGAAGTGGATTTGGTCTTCGTGCTGCTTGCCGAGGTTTTGGTACTGCTAATCGAGGATTTGCGAGTAGAAACTTTGCTGCTCGAGACGCGGCTGGCCTTGGAAGTAGAGCGAGCGGTGGAGCTCTTCTTGGTGGTGGTGACTTTGCCGGAAGAGTGAGAGCCGCTAATGGTGGTGGTTTTGATCACGGATGATTTCGAAACGGAAGACTTCGATACGAGAGTCGTTTTGGCGGTGCTGGTCGTTTTGGTGTTGGCCGATTTCGTGCTCGAGGTCTTGGTGCTGGTGGTCACTCCATCGCTGGATTGAGATTTGCTGATCGTCGGGACGACGTGGCCGGAGCTGTGGTCTTTCGACGATACAGTAGTGTAGACCGATGGACGAGGAGAGTGCGGGTGGTATGGCCTGTTATGAATTAGCTGGTGAACGTCTGAAATCGCATGGGACTTCCTCACCAAGTCGGAGTCAAATTTGTGGAATGTTGTTGATATCTGTTTCATCATGAGAATCGTGTTCGCGCATCGTAAGAATGACCTCCGTTTTGTGTTACTTACTCGGTCGCAGAGGTGGCGGTAGAAGTCGTCTTTACCTTGGACGATGTAGTTTTGGTGGCTTCGCCCTCGCACGGCGGTTCTTCATACGCCCTGCATTGCGTGACTTGACGTTAGTCGCACCGCACACGCGTGTTTGCAGTCAATGTCAAGCTTCAAAGAGCGGAACTTACCCTGGCTGGGCGAAAACGGCGGCCACAAACAAAGCGGCCGCCGGCAAAAGGCGGAACAACATGGTATGTAATGAGTGACAGAAAGAATGAATGAATGACTATGAAAACATGAAATGATTGTGGGAATGAAGCCCTTCCTGGATGTCCGTTTGACGAGCAAACGATGTCGCGAAGAAGGGGAGAAAGAGGCGGGAGATGAGGTCGAAGAAGAGTGGATTGCTTGTCGCCGGTCGCTCCACACGATGACCGTCCCAATACGGCGCAGAGCAACAGAGTGAGGTCAGCCAACTGCTGACACGCAGGAGCAGGAGGATCAAGACGGGAGAAACACGCGAGAACGAGAGGGACATGCAAGGTACAGAAGGACAGCCAACAGGGCGCGCCTCCACCTCGCCATCACAGTCCTATATGGAGTGATAACCTTGGACTGACTACACCCACTTTCTCGTGTGCATGTATCCACATTCAGAGTTTCAATAAAATACATGACCGCCACCATCCACATCAGTACCAACTAGATCGCGATACAAATCACATCTCACACACCAACACATGTGAAAGGCGAGCAAGTTTCCAATCACGAACTCTACACGAAGGGGTCCTCACCATGAAGCTCATTACACGACGCACATGCACGGCACAGCATCATGCGAGTATCACACGCCCGACAAACCTAATGCCACAAGGACAGGCGGATTGACAATGCCCATGCCCATGCCCATGTCCCCTCCATCGTCCCTGTCCATACACCTCTCTCGCTCTGGAGAACGTATCACCTGAGTGAGCGAGAAACCGGACGATGACCTCAGCCAGCCACAGCGCCGAGAAGACGGAAGCGCAGAGGGAGAGCATAGCGTGATGCGAAGAGGGAAAGCAATCAACCGCAAGCGAGGAAACATGCGAATGTCAGAGTCCACCCCTGGTTGCTGCTCGTAGTGGCGTGATCATCCGCTCGCACGCAGCAGACACGATCGGGGCCGGCAGGCAAAGATATGCCTGGACAGTACGAACCTGCTACATAGAGCATGCACACTGCAAGACCCGCAGTGCGAAATCATTCATTTAGCGAAATGATCTCGCAATGATCTCGCAACAATATGCATAGCAGCAATAAAAGAGGTACTTTTGCAGTACTGTAGGTGTGCAAGAGTAATAATACCTAGGTAAGTGCTGGGTGCCTGAACGACATCAGGTTCCTACGGGTGCGGCCAGGGGTTGCAACCAATGAGCTCCCACGTGAGAAAAAGCGTAATTTCCACTCCGCTCGGCTTGACCGGGGGACGTTTCTCTCCCGCATGTCCTTCGTTCGGCACGCCTTCTCCGGCTTTATGATGGTGATGATGGACACTCGTCAACCGAGCTTTCCATATCATGCACACTTCATCTTTGAGATGTTGGGAAGGCAAGAAGACCTCGGTCTATTATTAGAGAGAAGGTTCCCGTTGGATGCGTCTGTGCTTTTCATGGATATACTCAGGTATTCCCGGCAGGACAGACGCACGCGCGATCAGGTGAAGACAGAAGAACGTCATCAAGCAAACACAAGCACATCCAAGCGGGATCTTCCGATTCACAGTATGATGTTGGCTCAAAATTTAAATCTTGACCGACTGCTCATTGAGAGAGAAGCATTTTTGGTGAGAATCCAAGTTGATAATACACGAAAATATCAAAAGCACGTTCTGTACAGTGACATCCCTTCCCGCCTCCGATTACATTATAATTCATACAGAACGGTCCTCCCTCTCCGTCTTCCACTGCCCTTCGATCCGCACGCTCTCATCCACCAGATGCGGAAACGCCTGCGGGAACGCCGATCCCAGACTCCAATTGCTCAAGGTACGGCAATGCTGTTCGAACGCCGGATTGATGACGAATTCCGAGTTGGGCTCATCCGCGCGATTGGTTCTTGAGGGAGTGGTGTTGCTGTTTGCGGTCTGTTGTGGCTGTTGTACAAGGATCATTTCGGAGGAGTAGGGCCAGTTGAGAGAGAGGGTGGTGGTGTATGGGACGAAGAAATCGTTGAAGTCAATCTCTTTCTCGGCGCGGATCAGTTGGTTGCGCATGAATGGCCTGGTGGCAATGTTAGTGGCTGCTCTTTCTGAGGAGGTGATGCTTTTAGTGGATCTTGCTTAGATCATGAAATGGTACTTACCAAGGCAAATGGTCTACCCATGTGGGATGTGGTTTCTCCAATTGCTCTGTCGTAGGCCGTGAAAACTCTGGCAATGCGTCGTAGCAGCTCTGGCATGGGCAAATGGACCAGCGCAGCACTAAAAACATGACATAGAGCACCGCAACTTTCTCCGGCAACTGCGCAATGTCGGGGAATTTACTCAACACATCGATCAAAAGCTTCGACAGCGGATGCGGCGACATCCGCAAGCTGAGTGTGTGTTGCGGGTACATGAATGGAAAATATGCAGGAGTCTTCGGACCCAGAGCATCAGCAACCGGGATTCCAGTGTCAAGCATCTTGCGCCGGTCATCGCGGAAATTGTTGAGAAGATCGTCAAGTAGACATGATGCAGGCCCTGTCTTAGGGAGCCGAGCATATATCGGAAGATGCGAGGACTCGGCAGATGGATTGTACAAGATCGGGAGGAGGGTGCTGGAATCACGACCCGTACGTGACGGCTGACCTCTTTGCTGTGTGGACTCCAAGAGGAAGTTCAAACCGACGCGCTCTCCGCTAGTATGTCCTTGAGAGCTCATCGCCTGCAATGGCGAGCGCGTCTGATCATAACGTTGCAGCTGCTGTACAGGTGACGCACGCTGATCACTCTGTCGCGGTGAGCGCAAATCTGGATGGAGATGATGTTGATCATGCCCTGAGGGAGTTGGCACCGTTTGTGTGTATAGCTGTGATTGCTGTGATTGCTGCGTTTGTGCTCCCGACGTTTCCGACGACACCGCAGGAAGTGGTGATTGTTGAGCAGTCAGATTAGCGAGCTCTGTCCCATTCCTCGTAAGTACTCAGTCATCTTTGTCGCATCCGGGTCCAACACACCATTCAACCCGGGAGGTTGACCGCCCACGATGCCTGCGACCGCTCCCAGGCGCCGACGAAGGTCTTCGCATTCCGCCAAAGCCCGGTCTCGTTCTTGTATGACGCGTTGCAACTCTTGAAAAGGTTGTTGGCCTTCTAGTTCTTTGATCCTTCTCTCCAGTGTGTCGATGGTGTTCTTCGTGCGCTCACGAATCGCACGTTGTGCTTCCCGATCATTGGATCTCTTCTTAGCCAATTGTTCGGGAGTCAAGTTGGCAACACCTCGACTTCCTGGCACGCCGGCAGCTCGTCGTTTCTTGCCATTGGTAGGAGCAGGTGATACAGCCTGCTGTAGTTGTTGGTGTTGCTGCTGTGATAAGACGGCATTGGCTGTCACCGCAGCTGCGGCCGCCTGGTGATACTCAGGCGTACCAACCACAGGGGTGTATATAGAAGATTGTTGATTTCCCCCCGATGACGAAGATGCTGGAGTCGCCGGAGGATTCATAGCTCGCGGCGGTAGCGGTAGCTGGGCGATGTTTGAATCAGGCTGTGTTGCGAGTCAAGCGTTCCCCTACTCATGTAAAGTTTGACGGCTTTGTCCGCAGATCAGGTATGACGATGCAAGCCACCGCGACTGCGAGACACATGAAAGTTCACGGCTGTTCCACTTTTAAGTCGCTTCTTCCCTGCATAAACACTCGACATCACGGAACAGCCGTAATTATGGCGCTGGTAAATTACTCTGACAGCGAAAGCGATACAGAAGCGCCCCCGACGGTAGCAGCACCCAAGATCAAAGCCGCGGGATCATCAAAACCATCATTTCAAACGACACAGGCAGGCAAAATCAGGGTCGATCTGCCTTCAGTAAAGCCTGAAGCCGGAGAAAACCACGATGGTCCTCCAACAAAACGAGCGCGAACAGGCGGCGCTTTCAGTGGTTTCAACAGTCTGTTGCCTCCACCGAAGAAAGCCAGCACAAGTGTGCCGAAGAAAGTCATCAGTTTCAAGACGAGCTCGGAAGCCGCATTTAGTCGTGCTCCACAAGCCACGCGAGATGAGGGTGAAGATTTCGATTTCGGAGCTGATGCAAACGACGAGGTCTCGAATGAAGTGCCGGTAGAGGTGAAGCTAGTGGGCAAGAATACCATGTTTGTGCCGCCGAGCGTCAAAAACCGACAAAAGAATAGTATCGTCCAACCAAAACCAAAATCAAAGCCAAACGTCGGAGGAACATCATCGACTGAGGCAACTAAAACGCACGAGGTGGTCGCGGCCGAATCAGTTGTGCAGCCTGTGGCTCGCCCAAAAGCAAAGCAATCCCTGTTCTCTTTCCAACCTGAACAGGAAGAAGTTGCAGAGATAGCACAACATTCTAGCACGTATGAGCCATTGTTAGGCTCCTCGATAGACGAGGTAGATGCGCCAACACTTTCGAATACAGTAAAATCCAGTGCATCCACGTCGGTTCCGTCCAATCCCGTGTCGTCCAATTCGTTGTCCGCAGTCGTCGCAGACATGGATCTTACACCTGCCCAACGGCGACAGCTATTTGGAAGGAACTACAAAGACAATGCCAATACCAACGTGACCAACTTCAATATCGATTCGGAATATGCAAACAATGAAGTTATGCGTCAAGCTGGAGAAGTCGTCCAGCATCGCGCAATCAAGACGATCGCACCCGGAAAACACAGCTTACAGCAGCTTGTCAACAATGCACGCACTCAAAAGGATGCCATCGAGGATGCATGGGCCGAAGGTCGAAAGAATCGTGCAGAGGGAGGGAGCAAGTACGGATGGGGAAGTGGATGAGCTTTTGAAGCATTCGAGCAGGATTAATTGTCAAAGAAGTTTCATCGTACTTTTGGTGATCATCAACCATCGACGCCACAGATCTTCAAAGGTTTCGACCGTCGGACAAGCTTATTGTCAAGATTGTACGCAGATCTCCCGCGACGATTTTCGCAACCGCCCCCAGTCACTACAAGCTCAGTTTTGCGGAGGCCTGTAGCAATATCTGTTGAATTCTTCCCGTGTCAACAGTCTCAGCAACTCATTGCGTTCTCGCTGCAAGCAGGCATCTGTGATCAGGAGAAAAGAATCAGTGACAGTCACACGATTGCCGGTCAATGCCCGAAACTTCCCGAGAGAGCTGGGGAATTCATCAGAAACTTACTGCATCTCGCATGCTCGAAAACAAGAGTCGCCGTGACAAGCAACGGACATTTTATCGCCGTGGATATGTATCTCTGGCCTGTACTCCGATCAGCAGGAGGATTTCGACACGAGCAAAGGTCTGTTTGCTGAGAACTTACAAGGCGCGGGTCGGATGAGGTAGATGAAGTGACCACAGGCATACGTCACCTGAGTGTAAAGGCACATCGTTTCGACCTAAGATTAGAGAATGGTAGTGTGATGCGGCAAAAGGTCGAGGAACAAAGAAGCGAATGGCCAGACCACCACGAATCGTTTCAGTATCATGTCTTTTAACCAAAAGCATTTCGTTTTGCTATCTTGAAGCCACAATCCGCTGTCCTCGGTACTTTGTGTTAAGAAGCTTTGCTCTTCGATGTGGCGCTCTCGCAGGTATCTACGAGGCGCTTCCCCAGCAGGGTATCTACGTGAGCTAGCAAAAGGACCTCACGACGCCTCTTGGTTCCACACACAGAGCCCAAAATCCAGGAGGACTTTCAACAGCTTTACTAGCAAGGATAGCAAGAAGTCGATGTGCTCTGTGCTTTTCAATGCCATGAATTGCACGGTCGAAAACGGACACGAGAGGAATACGCTCACCGGAAGCGATCTCGCATGCATCTAGTCGAAGTCGCAACATGGCGACAAGGCCCTGTCTTACGTTCTCACGTTGCTGATGGGACATGTCAGGATTCAGGCAATGAGATGATGATTCTGCCCCGCGTCCGTTTTCTTCTTCGAGGGACGATGACCAGCGACAAAGCAAGGCAGTCAATATTCCTAGAAAGCTCGCACACACTCCCTTCTTTTCGGTCTGAACAAGAGATGTTGAAAAGACGCACTCGCGTAGATATTTCCCCCTTGAGTACGAAGAAAAGTACACCAGGTTACGACGTTACGGGCTCGTGGGGAATTCCTAGTAAATATTGCTAGAAAGGTTGATGGCGATTTGCTTTTTGAATGAATAGTCATGTTCACCCTATATGCACGGGTGAAACACAGAAAGCAACTGGAGGGAGTCATCAACAGGAAAGTCGAAAACGAAATTCGGGCATTTAGAGGATGGTACAGGAAGGTTGGTTTTTTGATCTCTAAATTGCTATACAAATCCAGATTCTCACGAGGGACAAGTAAGCAGCAGGGCGCGGGGGCTCAAACACATATTTCTACAAGCTTCGGCGTGTTTTTCATGTTTTGTCTTTCTTTTTGTCATATTGGCGCAGCAAGGCAAGTCCGTGATGGGAAATGCCCTGGCCTGTCTCCGCACTTTCATTTGCAACACACTCTTTTCCTCGTTTGGCTGGCGTTGAGCATGGTGCGGATGCTTGTTGTTCGTGTTCTCCATTTACCGCAGGGCCTTGAAGAGCTTGGGAGCGGCGCATTGAGTGGCGCAGTGCATCATGTGGAAGACTGGGGCAGATGGGTATGTCAGTTCGAAATTTGTGAGCATCGCGTGCCAGCCGATGGTACTCACACTCCTCAACACAGTCCTCTTCGGCCTTGCCGGTCTCCTCCTGTTGCTTGGTGACACGCTCGGCGCACTCGTCGTAGTGGTGCTTGGCCGGGGCGCACTGTGCGCTTCGGAGGCACTCTGCGGGAAGGAAGAAGTCAGCGTTGAATAAATCCAGATAGGCCTTCGGCACATCGAGCATCCGCAACGCCATCGATTTTGCACGATGCATAATGCGATACGGTGTCAAAGTCCGGTGCGGGAGAGAAACTCACCCTCCTCGAACTTGGGCTTCAAGTCTTCAGGCTCCTCCTCTTCCTCTTCCTCCTCCTCGGCCTCCTCCTCTTCCTCCTCATCATCATCGCTGCTTGAGCCAGCAACGTGGCCCTTCTCGTCGGAGCCCTGGTTCTTCTTGATGTCCTGCTTGTTGACCTCGGCCTCCTCGTCGCTCTCGTCCTGGTTTCCGAGAGCCGGGCTGCTGGCACTGGCACCACCAGCGACCGCACCACCGCGGCCGTGTTGGGCGGGGCCGACTCCGCCGTTGTTGGTGTCCTTACCGACGCTCTGGACGTGGGAGTCGTCAGCGGGACCCGCGTTCTGCGACTCCTCGGCCTGGACGGCCTGGATGCTCAGGGAGTCATAGAGGTCGGAGAAGATGTCGAAGAAACCCATGGTGACTGCTGATCAAGATGGGGTGGTGATGGGCGGATGGGTTCGTGAGCCAATGGCAGGTGAAAGGAAGGTGATGATGCGTTGAAGGTGAACAGTCTCGCGGCGGAACTTTTTCGGGACAGCAGCTACCGGCGCGAAGGTGAGGATTGGGAGCTGCTGGGGGCAAAGCTAAGGGCCTGCAGTAGTCCTGTTCTGTGGGTACGGTTGACCGCAGCGAGCAACAGCCACTTTCCTACTTTCCTCGGGCCTTGGTGCGGATCATCCCGAGAACGTTGCTGGTCAGCCAATTTCTGGACTTGTGACTCGCTGGGACGCCTCTCTTCAATATCCATCGCAAGTACAAGTCGCTGGACAATTCGCGCAAGTCGCCGGACAATTCACAAAAGAACCTTTGACGGCTGTTCTGCTTCTACAGCTCACCGTGTGGGCGTTCAAGTGTTATGCATCAAGAGCATGATTTCGACAAGCCTCCGTGATTCGTGGCCGATCACAAGTGATATAAATGTTAGACAATGAAACCCGCTGACAATGTGCAAGAAAATTGTGGTCGACGATCTATCGAACACAGCATTGCCGGTGATGGGTATGCAAGCTGGCTGGTGAACAGAGAACCATCAAATCTCTCGACGGACAACCGGATTCTTCAACAAATGCAAAGAGGGTCACAACAGGACTGATGATACAGCTGCATGGGTAGCGAACAAGATCTGCCCGTGGTATTCGCACCTCGCCGAGACATCGGTCTTCCTCGAGAATACATCTCAGGCGCTCCGTCTATCGTCGACGGTATGTGATTGCCGTCACAAATGAGACATCATCATGTCAAGCGCGATTCCGATCGCTGCGGTGATCTGGTCCGGATCTTTCTTGTGATATTAATAACATCATGGCGCGGGCATTCAGATGGCAGACAGTACTTGATGTACTAGATCGACCATTCCCATGCGACTCTTGCACTGCTATCCGTGGCACGTTATGGGAGAGGCAGGACGATGACATCGCCCAGAAGGTATGCGGATTGGATTTGAGGCGGCCTGATCCAGCGGGAGTAAGACCAGACCATGGCTCGCCTCATACTTTTCCATCATCGTACATGCGCAGGAATTTCGATGGTTGCTTACTGTCTTACATGGAGGTCTTTCAATTCCAGTGATCTTATGTACATCTCTGTCTTTATTGTCATTACCGAGCACAGTGATTATCAGGATGAAGACTCCTTGCATAGGGCAATTAGTTCAAAACCTAACCCGACAAAGCATATTTTGATCTAATGTCTGTACAAATTGGGTTTGATTGCAGGCAAACCCCCATGGCGTATGGTTACGTTCGTGGATGAATCCGTGATGACCAACCACGAGGACGAGGGATCTGGAATGTACTGTATAGCCCTGGAGTCCACCTGGGCGAAGAGAACAGCGGAGGGGTCGCCCGCCGCCCGCCACTCACGAGTCCACCACCACACATGCCACACATGCATCCGCCCGCCACATCTCCACCACACACTGCGCAGTACGACAGATACACAAGTTTTCAGTTCGTGGCTGGCGAGATTTGTATCGTGAGCCCTTGACATCACACATCAACGTGCATTAGTCTGCGCTGGGTAGGAGACGTTCTATTTCCAGTACTGTACATGGATTCACGAATCTCCATCGACCCTACAACCACAAAATCAGATTGTACAACAACAAAATAATCCCAGCATAATACAGACACCGGTCTTGACTTCAACTGCGCTGCTTCAAGTACAGAGAAGGAAGTCAACGCCACGATGACCGAACCATCCTCAACCTCAGACGATGTCGTCGATGTGCCCGTGAATGGTGCATCATCATCCAAACCAACAACGCCGTTATCAAGTAAATCAGGTTGGGATGGGAAACTCCGAGTTACCAAGCAAGCGACGCTCGCGAATCCAGAGGCTCTCAGCGATCCCGACTATTCCGACGAAGATGCGCCGCCAGTGCAACAGATCGACGCGGACGAAGATCTCCTCGAGGGTGAGGATCCCGACGTCGAAGAAATCGACGCTCAACATTCGCGCATCACTTCCATGCCTGCTCTCCACCTCGAACGCTTTCGATGTCTCAAACGACTCTGCCTACGTCAAAACATGATCACCCACATCGACCTCCCCGAAACTTGTCAATCTACCCTCGAAGAACTCGAGCTCTACGATAACCTCATCAAACACATCGAGGGTCTCGAACCCTTCACCAACCTCCGTAGTCTGGATCTCAGCTACAACAAGCTCAAACACATCAAACACATCTCCGCGCTAGTAAACCTGGACCACCTCTACTTCGTGCAAAACCGCCTCTCCAAAATTGAAGGACTCGCCACCCTCACCAACCTCACCTACCTCGAGCTCGGCGCCAACCGCATCCGCACCATCGAAGGCCTCGACACCCTCACGAACCTCCAACATCTCTGGCTCGGGCAGAACAAGATCTCGGCGCTCGAGAACCTCTCGAGCCTGACCGCCCTGCGCACGCTGAGCATCCAAGCCAACCGCCTGACCTCCCTGAGCGGGATCGAGGCCCTCCCGCAACTGACGGAGCTCTACATCAGCGACAACCAAATCCCCTCCCTCGAACCCCTGGCCCCTCTCACACACCTCCAGATCCTCGACTTCCAGACCAACCCGATCAGCTCTCTGGCGGGTCTCGAGGACCTCTCCGAGCTGGAAAACGTCTGGGCGTCGAATTGCCAAATCGCGAATTTCCAGGAGATCGAACGCGCGCTGCGCGACAAGGCGAGATTGGAGGAGGTCTACTTCGAGGGGAACCCGGTGCAGAAGAACGGGCCGGTGCTGTATCGGAATAAGATCCGCCTGGCCCTGCCGCAGGTCACGAAGATTGACGCTTGTGAGTTTGGAAATTTTCGCTTCTTCTTCTTCTTCTTCTTCTTCTTCTTCTTCTTCTTCTTCTTCTTCTTCTTCTTCTTCTTCTTCTTATTTTTCTTATTCTTCCTTCACTTTCACTTTTCCTTTCGCCTCTTGCTGACGTGGAATTTATCGGGTAGCATACGTGAAAGTGTCATGATGACAGCAATAATGAGGGAGGGGAGAGAGGGAAGAGAGCACACCGACGTCGGGAGCCACGGGGCCCTCACGGCATCGATGTGTGCTCCTTTTTCCCTCGTACAAAAAAAGATGAAGAGAGAGGACAGCGGTCACGGGAGTGAAGGGAGGGATTTTGGGAAACTATCTTGCATGGCAGGCAGGGCGCGACGAACGCATTTCCCATTCGAGAGAGGGACGATACAGAGGAAATTGCTGTCCGAGAACGGGCTTAGTGATGGGAATGTTCTGAATGTGGGTCATGGTTCTATCGGCATCGAGAATAATTCGGGGGACGCCAAGTCCTTTCTCACTCATCATTGATTTCTTGTTTTCATTGGTCGTCGTGATAAGAAACTACTAGACACAGTAAATCCTGTCCCTACCCACCCCATATGCACCTCTTGCTTCTGCCCAGGGTCATTGCCATATCCCCCTTGAGTAAAACCCTAAGAACATCGTCACTGTCATTCGCCGTTTGTCTCGCAGGACTCCCTCCCCCCCCCCCCATCTAAGCCCACATGGCCTTGAACTTGACGGTGAACTCCTCATGAAGTCTCTTGAACGCCTTGAGCACCAGCTTCAATCCCTCACCGCCCTCTTCGTCCCACGCCGCATCGTGACCTTGCAACTCTGCGTCCTCGGCCGCTCCACCCAGCGCCTTCTGCGCCGTCGCGCGGACATCGCTGTCCAGGAGATCGTCCTCGAGGTCCTCCCAGCTGTCCGCGTTCTTGGCCTGTTTCTTCGTCGGGACGCGTCCGGTGGAGGCGGAAGTTTTGCCCGTGCGATCGGGGAACGCGACGCCCGAGTCCAGGCTGGCGGGGTCCGAGGTCAGCGAGGCGGTGTCCTCGTTGGCGGCGAACTTGTCGTCCTCGGCTTCCTCGTGGGCGTCCATGTTGCCCAGGACCTCGAGCATGTCCAGATCGGAGGCGTCGGTGAGTTTCATAAACGACATGAGGCTGGCGATGATGGTGGCGAGGATGAGGGAGAAGTCGTTGAGTTCGAACCAGATGTCCGCGCGCCGGACGCCGTTGGCTCGCTCGATGGTGTGCACGTCGCCGTGCTTGTAGAAATCGAGAAGCCAGGCGTTGAGCGGGACGGACATTTCCTCTGGGTACACGGACATGTGTGGGACGACGGCCTCTTCGAGGAAGACTCCGTCGCGGACGGTGCTGCACATGTCGTGGATGGAAGCGAAATCGTCGCCGGCGCCGGAGAGTGCAACGAAAGAGGAGCGCAGGCGTGTCGGAGGAAGGCTGCCTAGGCTGAGTTCTGTAGGCTGGCCAGTACCGCCGGCCTTCATTTTCGAAAATGGTAAGACGTCGTCAGCCTCGGTGATATTTTGCTCGACAAAGGTCTCGACGTAAGCTTTGTAGACTCGGAGTGTCTGTTTGTTGTGATCAATCAAGATCTTGGACGCGGCGGTAGGCATCGGCGGCAAGAAGACGATCGAGGATGAAGGCTTGATGACCATGTCGTTGCGGTGCTCCAGGTCCGCTTGACGCAGGACTCTTCGCTTGAACAGATGCGCCATGATAAGCATCAATGTCTCTAACGTGTTCTTCTCATTTCCATTGATTCCAGCACATAGCTCGTGGAAGTAGCCTTCCTTCAACAAAGCATGGAACGCAAACGAAGAATTCTCCGTAAAGTACAAATGGCTGACCAGGCCTGCGAAGTTCAAGGGTTGACCATCGTAGCCGAGAAGTTGCTGCTGGCGAAGATACTCGATCGAGAAGCGAAGGTGATGCATCGTTTGGTCCTTGAAGCTGGGTCCGCCCATGTACAGACGAGGCTGAGACAGTAGGGAGTTGATTGCGCTGATGGCATACTTGGACTGCTTCGAGTCGAACAAGAGCGAAAATAGTCGCAGGACCAAAGTCGTTGTGATCGGGAAATGCCCACTCAGATCAGGAAGGCGAGAGCTGATGAGCTTGCAAACCTTTTGACGTGAAATGCCCTGGAACACGACGTTTCCGAGCAGATCGAAACCACGACGACCAGCACGACCAGCGGCTTGACGGAAATTGAGTGCTGTCAAGAAGACGGAATCTCCAGAGAAGACAACAGTCTTACAGGGCATGTTGATACCTAGAGCCAGGGTTCCAGTGGCGATGATAACGCGCAGGAAGCCTTTGCGGAAGAGAATCTCAACAATCTGTCGATATTTGCGATTCATACCAGCGTGATGAACACCGATACCTCGTCCGAGAGCCTTGATCAAATACTCCGGAACATCTTTGAATCGGAGTTGGCGGACGTAGACCTCCAAGTCTGATCGCTGAGCCTTGGCTAAATCGGCGAAATGGTAGCCTTCGAGAGGGCCCTCGGGATCAAAAGACTCCCACTTGGTGTCATCGGAAGAGAATGCATCTCGCTGAAGATCGAGCTTGGAAGTACGGTCGGCATCGCCATCGTCGTCCTTGGATTTCGCAGCTTTGGCGGACTTCTTGCTGGTCTCTTTGGCCATCTTGGTCTTATTCTTCTCCTTGAGCTTCTTCCATTCCTCGAAGGCGACGAGAGTCTTTTGCCACTTGTCGCCCGTCTTTCTCTGCTTCAGTTCCGCTGCCTCGAGTTGTTCGAGGACCGATTTGCAGATCTTCTCGCACATGTGACGATCATAGTTGAAAAGAATGGCGGGTAGTGCGTCCTGCTCATGGAGACGGCACAACAAGGGGAGAGTGGAAGTGCTGAGGTCGTCTTCGCCGTCGCTAGAGGATGATTGTTGAGCCGAAGCATTACCGGCGAGTGCAGTAGAATACTTCTCCTCCGCTTTGGTGTCTCGGAAGCTCACCTCCAAGTCCTTGAGCAAGTTGGAGTAGGGAGAGTCGGCACTTTCCAGCCATGTACGGAGCAGCTTCTTCAACTCAGCTTCCCACTTCAAGATATCGACTTTGCGTGAAACCGGTGGTAGCGCTTTGGCTGGGTCGAGTGATGCGGCAACAGGATATTTCTCGGTTCGCACCTTGGTCATGGCCTGCCACAAGAGAAGACAGTCTCTGGGCTCGAGTGCAAGATCCTCTGGGATACCACGAGACTTGTCAACCAGGGCTGCAACAGGATGAATGTAGCGGAATCCCGGAAGACCTTCGAGTCCGAGACTACCGAACGCTGACTTTTCTGGGATACCTTGAAAGTCGAAAACCTTCGGCTTCACGTAGTAGTATTTGCGGAGGTCGGAGTAACGATGCGGGTGGCGCACACTGACCAGCTCCTTTCCGATCGATGCTTGCGTGGAGCTGAGCCATCCACTGAATTCGTCGGGATTGCCCACAGTGGCGGACAAAGCAACAATCGGGCACGGAGCCATGAGGAGAAGTTGCTCCCAGACTACACCATCTTCGGCGGAACCGATGGAGTGGATTTCATCGAAAATGATGCGTTTGACTCGGTTCGACCAGCTGTTGGCATGTGTGCCAGATAGTAGCAGGATCTGAAGAACGTGGGGCACAGTGACCAACACTTGACAGCCAGTGGGGTTGTTGATGCGGTAATCTCGAGTGTGGATCGCCCATACGGATTTACCTCCATATTTGAAGTTCTTTGTGAAGCGAGCTTGCACCTCAGCCGCGATCTGGTTCACCAAAGCCTTGGTCGGTGCGACGAACACAAGGACACCATCATCATCCGCTTCAAGAACCTTTTGCATCGCGTAGAACGAAATGAAAGTTTTACCGGCACTGGTGGGTGCCACCACGAATACGCTCTTGTCAGCATCGATACTATCCAGGACTTGTCTTTGCCAGCCATCAGGCTTGAAATCAACTCTGTGATCGGGCTTGGAGTCGAAGCTACGCTCGAGATACGGACCACACTCTAGAAGCTGGAAGTCTTTTGATGGCAGTCCAATTGACAAGTCCTTCACAGTCGTCGGGAGGGCAAAGGTGAACGCGAGCTTGCGATCTACAGGAGCTTCTGCTGCTTCAGGAACGGGCGGCAGTCCGAGGGTCTTGACTGTGAGGTCAATGCATCTTGTAATAGATTTCTGTAAAGGGGGCTGTTGACCGATGCTGCGCAAGTGACTCCATGTTAGAGCTGTCACTTGCAGTCGCCGCTGCTTTTGCTCTTTCTCTGCGCACACATTGATCCAGTATTGGACAAGACAGCTGACCATGTACAGTTCAACTTCCGCGCCCACGACAGCCCGCCACGCATCCTGAATGGTGGTCAGGTATGCCTTGGCTTTGGCATATCGCGATCTTGGGTCTCTGTCGGCCTCGAAACCACGGCAGACAACTTGCCAGGCGCCGACGATCTTGTCGCTTGCAGATTCGTCCTTCTTGGCTTTGGTGGCGGCGATCTCTTTCAGCATCGCTTGCTTGCCAGCATTCTTTTGCGCGGTCTTACCACCGCCACCCTTCTTCTGTCCAGGCTTAGCCTTACTAGCATTGGCATCTGAAGCATCTGAGTCGACTGGCGTCGCGTTGGAGGATTTGCTAGGTGCAGTCGATCGCGTCTCGCCAACGATGATGGTTTCTGGGGAGAGACTTTTACCGACCGCGTTCGTAAGACTTGCAGCGTAAGTACGCATTTCAGCCATAAAAAGCTGGTTTCGTTTCGCTTCCTTCTTAGCCTTCCTCTCATCGGCAGGCGTCACGGGCCCTTTGACGATGATCGGCTTCTTGGCGTTGTGCCAGTGTGTCACTTCGCGGAAGATCTTGCGGGATGATATGCTTTGTTCACCCGCAGCATCGTTATCGAGCTTGATACGCACAGACTCAAGATGTTTATCTAGAATACTGTTGGAAAAAGGTAGCACAACAACACGTTGCTCATCTGAGGAGGCTTCGACGTTCTCAGGATTGTGCCCTTTTCCTTCAGAGGCCTCGGCCAATGAAGCAGCTAAGTCGACGCCAGTTAAAATTTTGACTGCATTGGCCAGAGCATTGAGAGTTTCCTGCACAGACGCATCCACCTGGTTGATGTGTGTACAAGTCTGGAGGAAGAGCCGACCATCAACGAAGTCGATGACATCGCACTTTCTAGCTCCAGCTGGCGAGAAAGCCTCGTCGAGGATTTGTCCTGCTGTCAAAGTGATGATATTCAAGAAGCCGCTTGCGCTAGCATCTTGGACGGGAGCATCAAACCTTCGAGCCGAGAGTGGGACATGTGTAAGTAGTGCCTGATGCAATAGGAATTTGGCGGAGAACTTTTGCCATGGCCCCTCGGATTTCTTCTCTTGGAAATGGCGGACAATGTGAGCAATTGTGAGAGTGCCCAAGATGTGACGTTCAGTCAACGAGTCGCCTTTCAGCTTCTGCAAGTCGGCGATAATGTCGTCCGAATCAATGTTTGATTCATCTTCTTCGACATCCTCGCCCTCTTCGAAGTTCAGGCTTTGGAATGCCGCTCGATTACGAATTTCTTGGACCGTTGTCATGACTTTTGTATCTCGCAATTCTATTCCGTTGATCAAAGAGACATTGAAACCCTGGTCGATGAAAAATAAGATCATCTCTCGTAGTGAGAGTTGCTGCTTGCGAGCATTTTCATTATCCGAATCCTCCGCAGTGGTGGCGGATCCACTATCCTCCGCTAGGGCACCATCGTGAGCCATTACGAAGTAGGGGCTGGTATCTTGGAGATATCCCCGGAACTCTGCTGAGCGCCATGACGGGAAGCGGTGGATTGCGATTTCAGGGTGAACTGCAGGCAAGTTGATAGAGAGGTGACGAATGATGGCCGCTCGAGCCAGAAGATACTTTGGAGCATCGGGAGTTTTGGCGGATGGTGGGATACACAATTTCTTGTTGCTATCAAAGAAGACTATCTTGAAGATACATTTTCGCTGCACGAGACTGTGCAGGAAATGCTCGACATTGTATGCCGCATGGAGCAACTGGCATCCCGAGCCAAAGTCCAACAGCTCATCGGTGAAGCAGTCAAGAAGGATGGAGTCGCCGTCGATGAGGAAGGTCTCGCTGCCAGCGTAGTCTCCTACCAGGTCGACCCGCCTCGAGATCAATTTACGGTATGTGGATAAGATCAGTGACGAAGGCTCATAGTCAGCGTCATCCGAATCTGATGAGTACTGCGTGTTGTCGCTGTCTTCTGCGGCATCCTCCGTGATCTTGGGTTGAGTAGCAGCCATTCAAAGATTGGCGACAGCGAGGTGATATCGTCGTCGTCGTTTGCGATGTTGTGTGATTTCTCAGGGCGTTGTTGTAATGTATACTGTACCGTTCGATGCGTAGATGGGGTTAAGCTCTGCCCGTGGAAGCTTGTGAGGATATACTTTTATTTGTGTGTGCGGGCACAACATTCGTGCTATACGCGGGGCCGCACCGCCCACCACGCCGCCTCCGCCTCCGCCTCCGCCGCCGTCGCTGCTTCTGTTCCACTGTTTCACTGTTCGCAAATGGCCAGTCACTCTTGCAGGCGAACTACAAACACACGCCTGGTAATCCGAGTCACAGGTCGCTGCAAACAATTGGCAAGTAGCCGATCACTGTGGCACATCAGATCAGACAGACTACACCTGGGTAGGTATCAATGATTCTACTTGTTCGCATGCTACATGTCTATGGGAGCTACGATCTCGCACTCCTACAGTACTGCATACACAGGTATCTGCAAACTAATGATCCGTGTGAAGGTCACCTTCGCGAGGGAGGCAATATGTGGAGACACTCGATCTCTCATTACCCATGTATTGGCCAAACCACCTGGGCAAACCTCGATATCGTCTCCAGAGAGAGTTGTGCCTCTTTCAACCGCCTCGCTCCGTCACGTGACGATTGGGGGCATGCTAGCACGCGTAGTGAAAGAAGTACAGTACTGTAGTGACAAGTCCCGCCTCGCCTGTATTTGGCCGATTGCAGGTGCCTTCTGACACAGGAGTTTTATTCGTGAAATGGGACAAAAGCGTACTATCATACGCCGCAACGGTGAAATTATTGTGCCTCACAAACCACCTGAGCAGGCGAGATCGATAAGTCATCAACTAGTGCTGATGGTTGCGGCTATTCAAGCACGCCCGCGGTTTCATATAGACAACTCCACGACATCGTCCTCTCCTCGGAACTGGTACAGGATACAGCACGATGACTGAATGACATGCGTGCGTCTGCAAAGGGAATTGCTGTGGCAGATGCACAACTGGGTCCATGGTCAGCCTAAGCGATACAATGCAGCAACAATGAATGATAATAATGCATGAAATGGTACCGTTTCAACACACACCTGGGCATGGATCATCACGATCCGAAGGACTAAAGCACGCCACGACGACGGGGAGTAATACTGTAAGCCAAACACTGGGATCCATGTCGTTCATTGGTCATTTCGGGACTCGTCCGAAGCCCTCGCAGCCTCGCTGCGTCTCTACCCCGCAAAGGGCCAACAAATCCAACGTTTTGGTCCGCCGAAACCGATCAGCAAACGCTGGAGATGTTGGACTGCGACCGCGTGCGATCTGCGTTTTGGTGATCCACCGGCGACGGCAGCCTGCGAAATCCACAGTGCTCGGACAGAAGAAAGATGCATGTATGTCTTATTGAACGCGGCCATCGAGAACGAGACATGCTTGTACCGTACAGAGATTTCCCCAGCACGGATCCGGGAACCTGCAGAGACCGGATTTGGCCCGCCACCTCGACCATTCTGACTGTCTAATAATATTAAAATGCAACATAAATCCTACGCGAGCGCCTAGGCAAACTCTATCTCCCTTGTCCCCGGGGGATCCGCGCGACGAGGCCCACGACAAAAGGGCCAAGCAAGGCATAGGCTAAAATGATGGAATCCCTCAAACGGGCCAACAACATCCAACTTCCAACACTTGCGAGCTGCTCTACTCACTTCGGCATCAACATCGTGACATCTCACTCGGTGACAGGCACAGCCGACGCATGAACGGCAAACCCGATGCCGATTACTTGAGTGACCTCACGCTGTGACACCGCCAGCACGACTGAACAGGCGGCGCAACACACAAAGACTCGCCTCCACGCCGCTGAGGCGAACACCAATTTCCCAAGGAATTCCCTGGCCATCTCTCTCAATTCTGTGTCGCATCACGCATGAGCGAAAACGTTTCTATTCGCGCAGCCATCGGACAATTTTTACACTGGCCTTGTGTTCTGCGACATTCTCCGACGTCCTCAAAATAGTTCGCTCCAGAATCTTGCGACACAAAAGTTGAAGGCCTCGCTTATTCCTTGGATCGCACGACGCCATTCCGCAGTGGAGTCCCCGCAACGCGCTTTCTTGCTTGAAGTCAAAGACGATTTATTGGTCAAGTTCCCCGACAAAGCAGTCTCATAGGTCTGCATGTCTTCACCCTCGACCCGTTTGATACCACCACTGGCTTACCACGATGCCGGGCAATTTGGTCCACGTCTCGCCAGAGGACGTGGCCAAATGGCCGCCACCAAACTATGACCATCCACAGACCCGGGATTGGATGCCGATATTCGTCGGCATTTGGTACGGCTTTGCCACCTTCATGTCGGGTGTGCGGTTATGGCTGCGCGCCTACAAGAAGCAGGCGGGAGGTCTCGGATTAGATGATGTACGATTTCTCTGCGTGACTGCTTGATGCTGATCGTTTTTGCGATTGCGAAACTAACAACCATTTGCTCAGCTCCTTCTCTTCGTCGCCTGGATCGGTTCCACGGCCGTCGCAGTCACGGCGATTCTCAGTACAGAAGTGTACATGGTCAACCGACACATGTGGGATATCCCACCCGGCACCTACGAAAGCATCGCCAAAGTCGTCTGGGGCGCCGAGATGGCATTTCTCATCACAAGCTGTTCCATCAAAGTTTCCGTTCTTCTCTTCTACCGTCGCCTCGTCAATGGTCTTTGCGCCCGTTACTGGGTCTGGGCCCTCGTTGCCACGATCATTTTCACCGTTGCCTATACAGCGGCTTTCATTCTTGCACTCTTCTTCAATTGTACGCCAACAGAAGCCTACTGGCGTTCCTTCAACCCGACTTACACCGAGCCATATCATTGCGCCAACACTACCATCATCAACATTCTGGCTGGCGTGTTCGCCGCCACCAGCGATCTCTGCGCTGTTCTTTTACCAATGATCATAACATGGAATTTCACCATGTCGCGCAAGCAGAAAATAGCTCTGAATTGCATCTACTGCTTGGGTTTCCTTGTCGTGGCGGCCAGTGGGGCACGAACGTATCATCTGTGGGGTGAGTTGCGAATACCTAGCCCTTGGGCAAAGATCATCGGAATATGCTGACATTTTCATCGCAGAGGTTGGCCATGAGTCAGATGTCACCACGTACATCTATAACTCCTATGTCTGGGCGATACTCGAATTGAACCTCGCCATCATCTGTGCGTCAGCACCAGCGCTTCGATCACTACTGCGCGACCACCTCGACACGCCTATGAAACGGTACCGCAATGCAGAGTACAGGCCTGCAGAAACTCGAAGCTATTCCAATACCAGCAAACAGGTCCTGGTCGATCGACGCACCGATCGACTGCCCAGCGACTTTTCTGGCTATCAGGACTCCTCGTTGCGACATGGCTCACAATCCGAGGTGGAAGACGGTTCTTATCGCTCAATGGAGAATTGCCATCTCGTCCGCACGCCGTCGTATCCAGATGGCGAGGCATACGGAATGCAGACCATGGGCTCGCCTGGTCGCGGGCGACGCGGGAGTGATTGATCGAGATCACTTCGCGTGGGAGCCTCTGAGGCGGTGCTTGCTGGCGAGCACCATTTCATTCGGAACGAACAAAGATCCATGATCGCCCATCCATTGGAGAGATGGAGGCGGATCGGCGTCACGAAGTCATGAGCGAATTCACGCAGCGTCACGATGTAGCATTAGTGTTCAACTAGATACCCCCAAGAGCGTTTTCGAGAATGATATCACCAAGCAGTTCCATTGTGTTCAACAAGAGTTTTTTTCCATCAGAATCCTTAAAGTGTTATCTAAATTCCTCGTCGTTTGTCGTACCGAATGAGCATTTCCATGGGGGGAAAAAGCTTGGACCACACAAGCGCGTCTTCCTCTCTCTCGCGCGCGACCCACGTCATAATCCTCCAATCTTCAATTCTTCCGGGAATGCCTCATCGATTTCAATGGCGAGCCTTCTGCGACGGCCTCCGTCGATACGCCCGTCATATTGGTCCGCTATTCTGAGATCACCAAGATCTCCATGTCGGCACTCCAGCTCCGCCGCCGATGCGTCAGAAACACCACCGCCGGTGACCATCTCCTCCTCCGCCGCCGCCGATGCATCAACGACATCACCGCCGTCCGCCAGACCCGACTCTTCAAAATTCCACGTCGAACTCGACCCCCGCACAACAGCCCCTCCTGATTTCACGCTGAGGTCCTCGACCCTCAACACCTACAAGGTCGCGCTGGCGCCGACGGCGGAGAACCTCAAATCGGCGTCGCGGTACTTCACGCAGCGGGCGCCGACGCTGCTCTACCGCGCGCAGAACTACCGAGACGTGCCGAGCGAGAGCCCGTTCCCGGAGGTGGCGTTCCTGGGGCGGTCCAACGTCGGCAAGAGCTCCCTCTTCAACACCTTGCTCTGCACCTCGCCGACCGCCGCCCACCGGGCGCAGCACGCCAAGGTGTCGAAGAAGGCCGGCAAGACCAAGATGCTGATCGGCTACGGCATCGGCGGGCAGGGCCAGGTCGGCGCGGACCCCAGCGCGCGGCCGGAGAGCGGGACGCAGCGGAACGAGCGGGCCTGGACGCGGATGGGCCGCGGCGGGCTGGTGATGGTGGACATGCCCGGGTACGGGATGGCGAGCCGGGCGGAGTGGGGCCGCACGGCGATGGAGTTCCTCCGGGGCAGGAAGCAGCTGCGGAGGATCTTCGTGCTCGTGGACTGCAGCCATCGGATCAAGCAGAAGGACGTGGCGATCCTGCGGCTGCTGACGGAGGAGAACCTGCCCGTGACCCTGGTGTTGAGCAAGGTGGACAAGATCCTCTCGCCGGGGAAGAAGGCCGTCGGGGAGGAGTCGGTGGGGAGGAGGCTGCAGAAGCTGCAGGAGGTGAAGGGGTTGATGGTGCAGATGTTGGCGGACGAGGGGATCGTGAAGAGGGCGGGGAAGAAAGGTGATATGTTCTCGTTGGATCTGTTGTGTGTTAGTGCGGAGAAGAATTTGAATGGGAGGGCGATCGGGATCGATGAGTTGCGGTGGTCGATTATGGGCGCTTGTGGAATCGAGGTGGATGGATAAGCGGACAAGCGTTCATCTACATGGAAGAGCGGGATCAAGACGATCATTATGTGATCGAGGAACGCGCAACGGAGACAGGAGAAGCGACACGGCACGAAGGAGCTCATTGCATTCGTCATACGTCCATCTATGGCCCTCAAACTCCTCCGACATGTTGGTCCACTCGAGAAGCGAGGAATCCTCCCACTACGAATTCGTTCATCAATCATCCTCATCCCAGTTGGGATTCGGCCCAGGCGGCTTCGGACCACCCGCTTGTCTCGCCACAATGATCTGGTCCACACTGAGAACCGTTCTCGCAGCCTCCGTCGCCAGCTTGATCGCCCAAAATTTGGTGACCAAGAGATCGAGGATACCTTCCTCCTCGGCATCGATAACGCCAGTGCCAGAGGAGTTGTCGAGGTCGACTCCAAAGCAGGGGACTTCCTCATCGTCTTCGTCATCGTCCTCGTTCTTGGCGGCGGCGGGGGCGGCAGGTTCGGCGTCTTTGGATTTGGAGGATTTGGTGGCGGGCTTGGGTCGGCTCGCGTTGTGGTGCGCGGTGTAGAGTCTCGCGAGGACTTCGGTGGCGTCGAGACCCGCGCTCTCGGCGAGCGTACGCGGGATGACCTCGAAGGCCTCGGCGAATTTCTGGATGGCGTACTGGTCGAAGCCTGGAGTACGCTCAGCCAGGGCGGTGATTCTCTGTGCGAGCTGCAGCTCCGTGGCGCCAGCCCCCGGGACGAGACGTGGGTCGCGGGTGATGGCTTTGACGACGTTGACGCCGTCATCGACTGCGCGCTCAACATCATCGAGGTGATTTTGAGTGGCGCCGCGAAGGACAATGGTCGCGGTACGGGTCTGGTCGTTTTCTTGTCGGAAGACAGTCACACGGTCGCCGCCGATCTCGAGAGTCTCCACGATATCGATGTTGCCCATCTCCTCGGGCATCGGTGCGCCAAGACGAGCGAGAGGAGTGGCGCCGACAACCCTGCATAGCCGTCGAAGCTCGAATTTAGAAAGAACCTTGATAACCAGAATTCCCGCACGGTTGAGGTAGTGCATCGCAAGCTCGCCGACGGTGGTACCAGCCACAACCACGCGAATGCCAGAGTCGTGTAGTTCCTTAACAATGTTCTCCATCTGTGTCTCCTCGCCCTTGGTGAAGTTGAAGAGCTCTTTTCCGCTCTTCAACAGCACCGTTCCCTTGGTCTCGGTCTGTGAGATATCGATCGGGCAACTGAAAACTCCCACCTTGGCTTTCGTCGCCTTTTTTGTAGTTCCCTCCGGTTCTCGTCCGAAGACCATTCCTCGTACCACTCTCGACTGCTCGATCGAACCACCCATGATCTTGACCACTCGGATATTGTCCACGTTGAAATTCGCAGGGTTCTTCGGCAGCACGGCGAGGACCGCCTCGGCCACCATCCTCGACAGACCGTCCTCAGAACCGGACTGTTTCGCCGCAATGACCGTTCGTAAAGCCTTGGCCAGCTCGGCCGACGATCTGATATCCTCAACACGATCCACCTCCAGCTCCTCCAGCTCCTTGAGCGCAAAGTCTCCCGCGCGCTCAAAGCCCTGTACGATATCGCTCGTCTTGAGGCCCATTCGGATCAACTCTTCTGCCTTCTTCAACAGCTCGCCGGCGAAGACGATGACCATGTTGGTGGCATCGCCCATCTCCGCCTCTTGTTGCTGCGAAGCCATGACGAGGAGCTTGGCGGCAGGGTGGACGACGTCCAGTTCGCGGAGGATCGTGGCGGCGTCGTTGGTGAGGATCATCTTTTGCAGGTGGTTGATGACGATTTTGTTGCGTCCGTAGGGTCCGAGGGAGGTCTGCACTGTTGACGCGATGGTTCTGCAGGCGTCGATGTTGCGAATGACGGCGCCATCTTCGGCGTCATAGCTGAGGATCTTGTGGTCAGTCCAAAGAGCTCCTATTCCTCATGGTATCTGCGTGAGGTAAAACTCACTTTTGGTAGCCAGGCTTGAACAACCCAGAGTTGGGCGCATTCGGTATTGAGAGCGACATGCCGGTCGATATGAGATGAAGCGCGAAGTCCGCTGGTCGATTTGAAGGCTCTTAGTCAGAGACACCAGCACAGGTATTGCTCCAGGTCGTATATGCTTGGAGCTTGATTTTGTTCGATCTGCAAGTAGATGCAGATGTTGAGTTATTGGCGGTGATGTAGTAATAACCTGCCTAAGGCGCACGAGTAGGAAATTTTGGCGGAGCAAGTTCTCGAAATCCAGGGACCCGCAGCTCCACCACCACCACCGCCGAAGAGAACTCGCGTGCCCTTATCGCGTGTATGTATTTCACCCCACCAAAAAATAATGTAATACATAGCAGGAGAGCATTGATTTTCCCCCTTTCTTTATATCCACACCTGTTCATAACAAAAGGAACAAAGAAGAAGTATCGATCATGATAATGCATAATTTACTGTAGCATAGAAATATACATAAAAATCTTTACACACAAACAATCTACAGTGTAATGGTATCAATGAATTCAGAAAGAAAAAAAGAGGTCATCCCGTAGCAGCCATCACAGCCGGACGCAGAGGAACATCGAGCTGCCACTCCTGCCGATCGTTCTCATAAACTCTGCTCATCTTGTCTTTCCCCGTCCAAGGCTCTCTCGTCGATTCGTAAGAAGCGGCAGCAGAAGCAGTAGTGCCCACTTCTGTACTCGGGGCACCATTTTCCTCAAGGGACTGCCTCCTCGCTGATGACTTCTTCTTCTTCCCGATCGTAGTCGTGGTCAGAGGGGTTTCAGACTGCAGCTGCTTCTTCCGACAATCCGACAAGACATACAACAGATCCTTCATATGCCTGCCGCTCTCCATTTTCTGCTGGATGCGGCGTTCCGAGAGGGCAAGTCTCGCCCGGTGGACTTGCTTCGCCAGGGCGAGTCCATAAATATGTGAGGAACGGAGGAGCATTCGGGCTTGGTTGCGCAGGGTGTTGAGGCAGGCGATGTCGACGCGGAGGTTGTTGTCTAAGATGTAGTCGACTGTCCAGTGAATGCCTCTGGTGTGGTTGAGGGCAATCAGGCCCTTGAGGTAGACTGTTAGGGAAGCGAGATCGATGGTAGATTCGGGGGAGGTAGGGGAGGGTGTCTTGGGGAGGAGGGTAGTCTTGGGAATTAGTGGGGCCTTTTTGGAGAGGTCAGAGGGCTCGTCGGAGGCAAGATGGGTTCCCGTGATATCGGGAGAGGGGCCTGGGAAGAGGTCCCTGAGAAGGCGGAGGCCATCCAAGGCGCAGTGGTTGTTGATGAGAAGATTGGCGGCGTGAACCCCAACATGCTTTTTGAGTTTGACGCCGTTGTCTTCATTGGTGCGGTAATAGTCGACGATTTTCCTCCGGAATTTATCCGCATACCTTCTGTCCTCGCTGGAGAAATTGCTCATTTCGCGGAGGAGCAAAGGGCCCTGGGCAGACGCGGTGTTCATGCCAGCGAATCTGGCTTCTGACACTATTTTTTTGGCTGCCGCTTCACGATCAGCGTCGGTTTCCTCGGGGGTATTTGCATCGCGTTCCGCTTCGCCGGTCGCCATAGGTTCTAGGAAGCATGCCTCGACTGCAATCTCAAGAGCTCTCGACGACGCTGGCATACCACCGGGCCCCAATGATGATCGATACAATTCCAGGACATGGTTGCGATCGCGTCGTGACAAACCAAGAAGCATCTCGCTTTCTAATTTTCGAGGTCGAACGGGTAAATCATCCGACAAAGACCACGGCCGTCGGTCGCGAATGTGGCGTAGTTCTACGCCGTGTCCATCATCCGACTGCTCTTCATGCAAGTCGTCAAAACGGACTGAAGTGTTCTGACGGCTATCGTCGAAGACTTCCAGTCCTGAAACAGCGTGCTCGTCTCCCAGGTCATCATCTTCGTCCAGCGCCGCATCAGCTTCGTCCATTGCCGCATCGAGCTGATTAGCCGTCATATGTTCTTCTTCGGGCACTACGTCATTTCCAAAGATCGAGACTCGCACAAGCTGAGAAGCTTTGCGAGCCGCCTGTCTCTGCTCGTCCACCTTCATCCTCTTCAAGGTTTGGTCATGCATGATTATTTCTATCGAGCTGGACGGCTCCGGAAAGACGCCTCCTGCACTTCTCACACGGCGATAATTCTCCGCCACCAACCGCAGCAAAGTCGGCATATTCTTCGGATTGCCGGAATTGTGCCTCATGTCATATGCGATGCTGTCGGTAACGACATCCATGAAGGTCTGGTGATCACGATAGCCGGTTCGATGGATGAAGTTGTAACACTGCGCCATGAAGTAAGTATGAGGTAGACGGTGTTTGAGGAAGAAATGTGTGAGTAGATTCGCCACGCTGCGCTCGTTCAAGTCAGCTTCGCCGTTAAGGGAAGAGGCGTGGGAAAGCCATTCGGGAATGAACTGGATCTGGCGGTTCTCGACGAAAGACTCGAGGACAATGTCAGTGAGGCGCTGGGTGATGGGGATTTTGAGCTGTGCGGTGATGAGGGTGGCAAATTGCCAGATGTCGTCGGCGGAATGGTCAAGAGTGTAGAGGTGGAGGGCCTTTTCGAAATTGCGGAGGTTGTAGGCATCTTGGGCGAGATCGGTCCTGTCAGATAAGACTTTGATCAATTCGTCGAATTGCTTCCAGGCACGCTTTTTGGCCAGGACTGGGAGAACGGCACAGAGGAGGTGCGTGGTCTCCTGCCCGCGCCCGCTGACGACGGCAAGTAACTGCAGCGCCTGCTCGACCTGACCAGCCTCGGACATGACCTCGATCAGAGCGATTTCGAGGGACTGCATACTTTCCGAACTGAAGTCTTGCTCACTGGCCCGGCCATGGGCGTCCTTGAATAAATCTTTGACCGCCTGGAGATCACGCGTCGTGCGCCAATCACGCTTGATTCTTCTTGCCACTCGTTTGCCGATGATGTCGTGTGAAAGTCCTGTCTTGAAGATATTGTCCAGAGCGACCGAACTGTCGGTGGTGAGGTCATCGATATCGGCATTGGCCGATACGAGGATTGCACGCGCATTCACGCTCAATTGCGGCATGAGCAGCGCAAGAAAAGCTTGATCGTCCTGCAATTTCTCGAAATGTACTCGAAGCAGCCGAACCAACCCCTTTCTCCCGCACGTAATTATCAACTTCTCATAGTCCGCTAGCAGCTCGGGGGTGATATCTTCAGGCGTTCGTCGCTGTAGGAGGATTGTGCTGCAATACACGAATCTGCGCTGGTTCATACTGGAATCGAAGAGGAGTCTCAGGAGATGCGTCGGCTTGCTGCTGCTGTACGCTTCCCACGCATCCAATAGGCTCATCGCCTCCGCATATCGCTTCGCCTTCGCGAATTTCTTGACCACAAGATCGACGGATTTCAACGACGAGGCCACCGGGGCATCTTCCCAGGTGACGTGAAGATACTTCTCCACGAGCGCAGACCTCTCGCCCTCCGCATGGATGATGCGTTTCGCTTCAACCATCGCCAGCCCGAGTTCGAGTTGTAGATTCGGTGGCATTCGTGAGATCCTGCCCGTTTCAAAAATCTCATCTAGGAAATCCAACACCCCTTCCTCCTCATCGGCTTGTCCGATTTGGCCGTGGATGTATGAAACAAGCGTGCGGCATAGTTCATCCGGATGGAAGACCTGCACCTTGCCTGTTGCGAATCTCCATAAAATCAACGAACGCGCCTGTGCCAGTGTCCCGTGGTGCAGCACGCCTTTCAGAAGCGCGTCGGCGGTCTCGACGTATTTCTCCGTCTGGCGATCCACTGTCGGCAGAGTCCGGAAGAACTCCTCCAGCTCCGTCTCTAGATCTGCGTGCTGGCCGACAGCTTGCGGCCCAGTGCGCAAGCTGGGGTCCGTCCCATGCTTGAACACCATAGGCCGTCGTTCGAAAGCGCGCGTCTGTGATCGCAGCATATTTCGCAGAAAAATGTTCGCCGAATGAGGCCTGAACCCCCAGAAGATTGTATCCGACGCTCTCTCGTATCCATTCACGGGCTTCTGCGTCGGCTCCTTCACTCTCTTGTTTCGATTTCCGGACTTCCGCGTCCCCTTCCCCGACTCGACATCATCGACGAACCACGAAGGACGTTTCGCATCCTCGGCAGCTGAACCAGCATTTTCCCGCGAATCGCCCGCCTGTCTCACCTCCCTCCCGATCCAGAAATTTGACCTCTCGGCCGACCTCCTCTGCCTGCCCTGACGAATCGGCAGACTCCTCGACGGCCTCCTCTTGCCGTCCTCCAATTGCTCATACGCCCTCTCCACATGCGAAGGCAGATCCTCGTCCTTCGCCGATCGTGCCAAGACCTGCGTGCCGGCACCAGCGGCCGCAGGATGACTCGTCGAGAAAGACCTCCTCCGGGTCCTGTTCATCTGCGCCGTGCCGTCTCCTCCGCCTCGGCCGGGCAATCCTTCCGCTGGGGAGGAATTGTCGACATGGCGCGGGCTCTCCCTGAGTCTCTGGGCGTTGTCCGCGATTTTCGCGACGATGGCGGTCCGGCGGCGTCGTTCTTCGGCGCAGAGCGCGGCGATGCCCAGCGCTGTGCCGGAGGAGATGTAGGCGAGTTGATAGAGGGCGCGGAGGGCGGCCTTGGACGGGACGGGAGTTGGGCGGTGGGTGGCAGATGGGGACGGTGGGAACATTATTGGGCTGTCATGATGGGATGCTGAATTCTCGAGGGAGGTGCGGTCGGGTTGGTGTGGTTGTCGGTGGTGGAATGGTCTCAATGCAGGTGGCGGTCGATTGTAGGTGTCTGTGGACTGTCAAAAGTTCGGCGTAGGGCTTGCGGAATTTGATGAGCGAGGGTCATTGAATTCCTCGGAGACAAAAGCTGGAGGACCACATGAAACGGATGTAGGGCGTTAGCACGTGATACTTTGGATATCATGAGACACGAGACGATGCCATTGTCATTTTGATAGTCATAATAAACATTGACATTGCAATTTGCTATGCTGAAACTGAACAGTCGAAAATGAAATAAAGATAGCACCGATTGGTGGTTTGGTGATATTACATGACCCAACTCCCATGGCCCGAACTTTTTTGATACAGCAACATTCAAATTATTATCATCATTATCCAGATTCACCACAGATCCTTCCCTGCAAACCCATAACCACCCCAATCAGAAGTAAATGATGCCTCAAAATTCCCCAACAATGCTCATTTCATCACCATCCCCTCATATCCACCTCCATCACAACATCACACATTCCGATACAGCGGCTCCAGCACCGTCCATCCCCAGTTCGCAATCCCGTCCACCTGACGCATATCACGGATCCAATCCAACATGAGCCCAACGGAGCGGGAGATCTCCTCAGGATTGACCCGTTCGGCGCAGATGCGGGCGAGACAGTCGTTCTCGTGGCGCATGCGGAGGATGAGGAGGATGCCGATGAGGTTTTGCGTCCTGGGCGATTAAGAAAAGGTGGTTGGTAAGTTACAAGTCATGTGTTTGGGAGGATATTGATGATGATCCCTGGGAAATGGGAAGAAGGTGGGGTTGATTAAATGGAAAGCGAGGAGGCGAAAAAAGAACTTACCAGGTGAAATGATGCGGGACGAGTCTCTTCTTCGAACGGGGCGGGCTCATCGTCACGGGCCACATGATCGCCGACCGAATGGCCATCGCGCAGCATTCCTCGTCTTCTTCGGTCATGGCCTCGCACATGTGGAGCGCACGCCAGATGAAAGGGCGGTAGATCATGAAGCGCGCATAGTAATATCTCGTGCGGAGCTGCGCGACCATGATGTCGATGTTGTGGCGGTGGGCGATGAGGATGGGGAGTTGTGTGGCGGTGAAGAGGGGTTCGTTGGAAAGGCGGTTGGAAGGCCCGAGGGGAGGGAAGGCGAAGCGGTCGGTGTCTTGCCATTGGAGGGCACGCGGGAGGAGGTTTCGCCAGGATTCGAGCTGGTGGGCCATTTCGCGGACAAGCCCGAAGCGGTTGCTGTTACCTTGGCCAAGGGAGATTTCTTTGTCGGCGGCTGGAAGGCTTGTCAGTTCAGGGGGGCATGTTGTGAAGGAAAGCGGACTTCCGTCGTATGCTTAAGAATATGACGTACAACGATGAAATGCATCATGGATGCGAGCTATGAGCTGCCGTAATGTTACCATGGCGAGGAAGTGATGGTGAAACTCTGCTCGATCGTCCGACGCTGCCACGGGTGCCAGTCCTTGGGCAGCGTTGTAATATGATGGAGAAGGGACAAGATCTTGGAGCTCTTCAATTCCGGATTGTGGAAAGTCCAGATCGTGATGATAAAACATTTCATTCAGCATGCAGACCCAATAGGTACGCTTGAGACAATGCCCGTAGGGGGTCTCCCATTCGACGCGCTGGCCTCGGATGAGCGCCTGGCAGGTGACAGACGCTGATACAGCACATTTCCAGAAATCCAAATGTCGCGCCGAGGTTTCATAGTACGTAGCCATGAGCAACATGATTTGCACCGCCTCAATAGAGATTTGTGTGAAGATGAATCCGAACCGCCTCCTGGCTTCGTTGAAGTATTCCAAGCCGGGTGGCTTGTCTGGAGTCCCACCACGAAGACCGCTCGCCACGTCTTTTGCTTGACTCATGGGATCACCAAAGACACCTTGAATCGCTACATCGCCGAGCGCCAGGACAAGCCATGTCAGTACGGTCCCTTCATCTTGGCCCTGACATCGATTGCCGAGAGCCGGATTCATCACTTCTCTGATGAAGCGGTCCTTGTCGAGGATAGGAGCCAGAATGTTGAAGTTGTCGAAGTAAGCCGCACAGAGTTCTTCACTCCGGAACAGCAGTTGATCGGCAGCGTCAGAGGCCGAGACATCAGTACGCAGACCGAATTCCTGGAATGCTCGCTCTTGTTGGAGGAACCATGCAGTGCCTTGTTGTAGGATATTTTGTGATTCTGCCGCAGCCGAGTTGCCTGTATTTGCGAGGAAGATATAGATCGAGGGCCAGAGGATGACCTTGTGAGGTGCCGTCACGTGCTCGTACGCTTCCCGGTGTCCCCTGGCAGGACCCTGGGTTGTGAATGAATCTGATTGCGATTGGGAATGGGAATGGTCGTTTCCCGGACTGACACCTCCGCCGCCACTGATCGCATGGTCCATTTTGAGCTCCAGCCGGGCAAGTGAGTCGAGGATGTGCACCATAGTTTTGTCCTTCCTGTTCGTAGGACCAATCAGCATACACGAGAGAAGTACTCCGAGGCCATCACCATTGACACTGACTTTGTTGGAGGAGGCTCTCGGTAGACACATTCGAGTTTGAGTCGCCGACAAAGCCCACCTGGAGGAGCTGAGGTCAATACAACACAGCGAATAATATAGGTGCATCGCTCCAAGAGACATACAAGCCGGTCTTGCTTCGTCACATTTGCTCTTCCTGTCAAAGTGTCAAAAGTCTTGTCTTGTCTCCATGAGCATAGATCTGTGCTTTGCGGCGACCGGATGAAGGAGAAAGCGATACCTGGTACGACATGTCTGGCAAGCTTGCGCTGCGACTTGGTTCCTGTCACGGCGAGGTCCTGGTGGTTCCGGCGACGACATTTCAATACGAGTTACAGAAAAGCCTGCTGCCTTGTCGTTGCTTGGTATGATGTTTTGATGGCAGTCTGATTGGTAGTCCAGCGCTGCATATCCCGCTATGATCATAAGCCGGGCCTTTCTATGCGCTTGCCACGAAAAATATCAAGCGCGATCCCGATGACATCATACCGATGCGACAATGATGATGACCGTGATCGACGTCGTTGCCCGTTTACGAATGTCGCTCGGGCCGATGTCGTTGTCGAGTGTCCGGGATGTGTGTCGGTGGGATCGGAGCAGCCGCCGATGGGATGGTTACAGGTGGAGCATTTTTAGCCGAGTGGGAAGTATGTATAGGCGGAGATGAGGGGTTGGAGAATGGACGATGATGCGCCGCGTTCGTGCAGAGGGTTTACAAGGGTGATTCATGTTCATTTCCGGCGACACAGATGTCGTGAAGATACATCGGCAGACCAGCGCGATCGAGAAAGAAGAAAGAGGGTGATCAATATGACCACAGTGTGACGCGGTTGATGATGATGGGATGTCGCGTGGTCTGGAAATGTTTATTAATAGGTAATTGTGGATTTTATTATTACTGTAAACAAAATTGATGCATCATTACCCATGAATGACGTTTGTATTATACAACAGTACACATGAAACGTACGCCTATTATCGCGCCTGCGGAGAAATACCCCAGCAGCTCGTCCGGCCGGTAGAACCTGCATCTGTATGGGACATGCGTGCACATGCGCTTTGTGCCTGCCACCATGGACCATCCTACTGGAAAGGGAATGCCAGATGAGGAGCCTCTCGTTGTCGATCATCACGTCTTGCACGATGTTGAGTCACAATTCGAGTGATATATATGTATCCCTGTGCAAGGTCAAGTCCGTTCTACATCGCCTCTTCCATTTATCCTCTCGTGATCGAATTGAGCAGAATCCAGACCGTCATGGGGGAGACTGTCGAGTACGAAACGTCGCAGAAGAGGTCACAGGTCCAATGGCAACACGGACAGAACCATATCCAGCTTGAGAGATCGATGAGGTCCAGACCAAATGTACCACACGATGCCGGCAGGCAGGAGGGATCGCGAAATCGAACAAAGAAGCTTATTTCAAATCGCCGGGAATGGTGGGTTTCACCTCGATTTTCCGAAAGGACTTGGCACCTGGGCAGAGCTCGTCCTTGCTCAAATGATGCACGGGGATATCGAAGCACGCGTTCGACATATATATTCGAGTAGCCAAGCATGTTGTCAAATGCGCACAGAAGGAGGACAGATGGCTCTAGACTTGGAAGTCATCAAGTCCTTATCGGATCATCATCTCACAAATGAAACATCAGGATAACAACAGCGTAGTACCAATCATCAGGCTGTGGCAAGTTCCCTTCTGTAGATGTCCCACCTGGGCATGTAGGAGAATCAGAACAAAGGTTGAGGGATCGCTGCCGGTTCATCGGGATTGCATCACACAAACCTGAGGTGGGCACTCGCTTGGGATAAAGAAAAGATGCAATGATGATGGGAGAGAGGTGGAGAGAAAATACATGTTCGCATCTACCAAGCAGGGCCTCACATTTTCCCGTTCAGCATCTTCATCCCACAGTTACGTCGGCAGAAGAGCTCGGTTTGGCTTCGCTCTCCTGTTCTTCTCCCTTCTCCTCTTCCTTCTCCTTCTCCTTCTCCTCCCTGTCTCGCCTCCTCACCTTCCACTCCTCCAACAACATGCTCGGAGTCTTCCCGTTGACATCCTTGACATCGGTCTTCGCGCCCAAACTCTCCAAACATCCCACCGCCGCTTCATTCCCAGCGTGAGCGGCAAAGTGCATCGGCACCCAACTGGCCCACAGGGCCGAGTCATGCCAAGATTTGTCCAACCAGTGTTTCTCTGCAGGGCACATCTCGTCTACATCAGCGCCTTGCTCGACCAGGAAGCGCACTCGGTCGACGGCGTTGCGCTCGGCCGCCCCGTGAAGCGCACCCGTCCCGGGGATGGTGTATCCGTTGTCGAGGAGGAGTTTTAGGATCGGCACGGAACCGCAACGGGCGGCGTGTCGGAGACGACCCTTCCAGTAGCCATCGTTCTGTTGGGGATGGCATTTCATCAATTCGAGAACCCGCGTGACCATGTCAAGGTTCTTGCGCATGATCGCGAGGTCGATGGGGAGATGCTTGTGGTCGAGATGGCCAAATAAGATGTTTCGATCGATTTTCGCCATTGCGACGAAAGCGTCAGTGTGGTCGTTATTGATTGCGGCGATGATGGCTGGTCTGGAGACGAAGGCCTTCGATTCGGCCGCATGGGGAGTTGTGAAGTTGAGCAGGAATTCCACAACTTCCGCGTGGCCGTTCTTAGCGGCTGCCACAAGAGCTTTCTGATTGCCCCGATCCTCCTTCGTTGCGACAGCTCGCACATCCTCCCTGTTCTCTGCTGGGCGGTTCTCCGTGTCGACATACTGCTGACGCCGGAGCGCAATCTCCGCCCAGGACGGATCCTCAAGCATGGTCCGAAGCTTCGGGAGGTCTCCTGCCGAAGCAGCTTCTATGAGCGGAGCGGCGACGTCTTCGCCTTCCAGAACCTCGCCGATGGGATTTGATGACCGGTGTGGATACAAGCTCGCTATCCATTCTTCATAGGTTGTACCCGGGTACTTCTTTTCTATGAGCTGTCTTCGTTGTAGCTGCTCTTCGGGCGAGATGTTCGGCAAAACGATGCCACGGGTGTCGGGACGGGTTGTGGTCATGTTGAATTTGGGTTCGATGTTGAAAACGATACAGCAATGTGACAAATTGTTTGAAGAGTACTTCGGGGTGATAAAAACCCACTGTTTGCGAGAGAACTCTTCCGTTGTAAATATGAGTCAATTTGATGCGCTGGACCTCAGCTTTTTCGTTCCTCCGAGATGCTTGACTGATCTGGGCCGTGCCAGGCGATGTTTGGGGGTTACGTCGGGAGCCTATTGGTGGCTCTGACATCATTGAGGAAGATTTCTACAGCAATTGTGGCACGGTCAAAGGCGTGGAAATCCAGAAATACGGACATGTCACCGGATCGAGAGGACATCTGGGAGACTTTGAATCCTCTGAACTGCCCTTGCGACGAACCATTGTTGAGATTGGCATCGCGACCACCATGTCAAATCGTCGCCTAGAGAGTGGAGAACCTCCCTTCAGAGGCGAGAGGAGCTAGTTTGGTGGCGGTGGTGGTGGTGGTGGTGGTGGAGAGTTGGATGGCTGAGTGTGCGGTCAGCTTACGAGGGAAGTTGGTTTGTTGTTGGTGATCGTCGTGTTTCCATCGTCATGCGTTGGTGAAGGCTACCTGAGGATACTCTTAACTTCAAAAATACTGGGGTTCGGGAAATCCGCGCTAACACTTGTAATTTGCATCGTTCACTGATATGCATGTTCTACAATGACGGGCAAACACGGAACCGTCTGCTCAAAGCACATATTGGGCGTCCGAATGCTAATTCAAGAGACGAAGATTGCCCGAGCGGATGCGCCGCGGACCAACGACTGTGCCATTGGTTGACTCGAACTAAGGTAACGAACGTGGTGATGGCTTCATCGTGAAAGCAGCCATCTTAATCACAATACACAGCAGTTCCCAACTCCTCAATCTCAATCGTACCCCTCAAGCCGAAATGGTATCGAGCCAACCCTCCACCTTCAGCCATATCTTGCACCTGAAACCGATCCCACAATTCATCACACCAACATGACAGACCCGGATCACCGTCTGTCTCCCCCCATTGTGGAATCCCCCGAGATCTGGCCCAGGTCCCGGTACATGGCAGAGAAGCGGTGTGTCGGCGCTCTAAGGGCCATCATCGAAATTGCCGGTGGAGTTCGGGGTCCCGTCGGCGTAGCCATTGACGTAGGTGATTTTCCCGTCGGCGTCCTCCTCGGCGAGGACCTGCGATGGGTCTGTTGTATCCTTGACCATGTGCAACATCTTGCTCAAGCGCCCGTTTCCGAGGTTGATTTTTACCCAGTGCATTTCTTGTTTGCCGAAGAAAGTCCATCTCCCCTTCTCGGTCTGTGACCACTGGACCGCGCCGAAAGCCAAGACATCGCCGGTGGCCACTGCAGCAATGGCTTCGGACGACGCCTCGGCGTTATCAGGGCGGTAGCATTTGTTCTCGTCTTGAGGCCATGTCCTTGCGTAGGGATTGCCGGGCTCGTAGGTAAAGACGTCTTCGTAGTACAGGTAATCAGGGTTGACGGCTTTGAATGCCTGCACCTGTGTCTCCGAACCGCCGCTCCACAGCATTATCTTGTCTGTCGGATAGTTCAACTCCAGATAGTAGAAATAATCTTGGAAGGTCAGCTCATCTCCATAGTAGCAAGGTTCTTTTTCATCCCTCGGCCCCAGTGAGGTGAGATTCTGCGATATAGGCGCAGCGAACACGCTGGCGGAGAACAAGAGAGCGGCAAGTGAGAACGCGGAAACGCTCAGTGGCGACATGGTGAGCTGCATTGTGGCGGCTTTGACTGGAGCTGAGGCTTCAGTGAATAGGCGGAGGGATGGGTGATGAATGATTAGAATCGAGACGGAAGCCGTCTCGTCTTATATAGTCACGATCCCCATCATCATGGTTACTTGAACTCCGCGAATGCTCTCCTTCTCGACCACAGTCTCCATCGAGTCATGTCAGATTGACCGGGCGACAGAAACCGCACGATGTGTTGGCGGCGTTCACGATTGGCGACCTCGAGAAAGTCACGGTAACATGCCAACATCTGACCGATAGCCCCAAATCCTTCGGCAGGATGTCAGAATAGGAGTTGTATCCCACGGTCCCGCGGCACAGGGCCGTAGTGTCCAGGCGAGGCGAAATCGACCATCACCAACAGATGGTCAGTCCCAAGACGGTGATTAACTACCCTAGGTGGCTTGCCAGCTCGCATGAGTTTGGTCGCAGGATCCATTCACCGAGATCGCGGACCTCCGCCGTCCAACATTCGTGCATCAGGATGGTCGCTACGGGGCCGATCGAAGTCTGCGGCTTTCGCAACGCCTGGCATGTGTCAGTCTAAGTTATCGGAAGCGATTGGACTTTCAGCAACGTGGTGTATCAGGTAGGCGACACCTGGGTCTAACGGGTGAACGTCTACAATGCTGGCAAATCAAGTTTTGCACGAAGACGCGGAGCGGGAATAATGATATCGTATTCTGACATGTGTCAATCACTTTCCTGGCGCTGGCTTCAACGGCTTGACGCATGCGCTGGGCACCAACTTGTGCACCGGCGGTTCCTCCTCCGACGATCGCACGACCCCTCGCGATTTTGCAACAAACACCGGCAACCCAAAGCTCTGAGGTCCGAGACAGCATGCTCAAACATCAGTAACCATTCCGCTTGGGAAGAAGGCTCGGCACAGAAGCGGGCAGGTTGGGCCTTCGCCAGCACGAGGAGCTCTTCGATAATGAGCGGGAGCTGGCACAGGATCGATTCGTCATCGGGTGTCTGAGATCCCTGCATCCAGCGAATCGACCGTAAGGTCTTGAGGAGATCCAACTCGTCCCAAATCCGCCCGACGTCTACCAGACAGTCCACCGGAGATTGCACGGCATGGACGATTCTTGAACCCGGCGGTATCAGGAGCACATCGTCTCTTTCGAGGACGATGAGTCTCTCCCTCCCGCTGGGATCCCACGCAACGCCTGCCTGCACAAAGTTCGCCCATTCGGATTCCATGGCGGACTCCGCGACAATCGTGTAGAATTGTGTGCCATCGAGATTTCGGATCCAAGTCCCGCTTGAGCTGCAGAGTTGTGGACCCGGGAAGGATCCGGAGAGGCTGAGAACGTTGAAGCTTGAGTCGCTCCGGCCAGAATTTTGGACTTTGGCTTTGAGAGTATTGAGGATCCGGTAACGTGGGAGCATAGTCAAAAGAGGCCTATGGGCATCCATAATGTTTCGCAGGCGGTGGGGCATCGATATGTCGGCATTAAATTCTCTCCGTTGGACACTTTCGCATGCTTCTGGGCACTCAGCCGGCCGGGGAGTGGATTGTTCATCGTTGTAAAATCTTGGACTTCGTTCTAGACTGCCGCAACTGTCCTGCAAAAGACGGATAAACCCATCTACCGTGTGCATTCCAGAGTCGGAGAATTGTTCTTTGATAACGACAGGCTTGAGGAAAATTTCGCCGGCCTGAGCAGCATTGAGAAATTCATCTGAGGTAAAATAAAGAACATCGGCATTCGCTACTGATTGTGCTTTGCCCCGTGTCAGCCTGCTATTCGGTAGTGTAAAAATCTTGGCCCAACTGGTGGCAGGATTCAGCCACTGTCGACGCGAATCGAAATCCACGCCGGCTTCGTGCTGGCTTTTTCCGCTCTCGAGCATAGATAAATAGGAGGCAATCAGCGTTTGATACTGGTTGTGGAGGATTTCCTCCATTCTCAGCTGGTGATCTGGGGAAATCTTTGGGGAAGCAATGGTAAAATCTCCTTCGTCTGGGCCTCTAGCTGGAACAGGTGGGAGACCGACCTGCGTATGTGTCAGAATCCCTGCACTCAGGTGACACGACACGGAAGGTGAGCGCTCTCTCGCTGGACGTGCACAGCGACCGTCGTCGGCAGGACTCCGCCAGGACTCATCGACGTCCTGGTGCGGCACCTCGAGATATTGAGTAATGGTAGGGAACGCACTGCTGGTTGACGCAGAAAGATCTGTCACGGAAGCTGTGAATAAGCTGTGCGCGTGACCAAGGAGATGTGAGGGCAAAGGTTCGTTCAATGATGACATCGGAGAAATATGCGTACTCGCCCCGGACGTAGGAGGTGGATACATGGGATGAAACGGGAAGTCCAAGATACTGTGGTTGAGATGTCCGAAGAGGAGATGGAAGCTTTCGAGATCAAAGTGCTGGCAGTCGATCGAAGTCTCGACGCTTCCTGGTAGCGTCGAACAATTCAGACTTGAGAGATCTGGTTGGACCGCTTGGTTGCTTATATGAAATGCATCATGACCCAGAGAACCACCGCCAATACGGTCGTAACAGGAAGAACTTTCCTCGAGAGTGGAAGGAGTCAAGTCTTCGTGGACAACTGCCGGGCTTGATGTAGGACTATGTGGCTCACCAGATACGTGATCGGACATCTGCTCAATACCTCGATTGAGAGCAACTTGAATCGAGCATGGACTTCTTGAAGCGACTTCAGTGGTTGCTGGAGTTGGCGGCCGTCCGAACTCCCCTCGGACGATGAGCATGCCGAAGCGATCTTTGCACAGCAAATACTTGTGGAAGTGGCATGGGCGTACATCATGGAGCATTGTACGGCTGGCGTTCACAGGCACATCGCCAGTTATACTCGTCAGCCATTGGACTTCGGCGTCTTCGTCTGGGATCGCTGAGTCTAGTATACCAGTATCCAGATCCCGGAGAGGTTGCAGCGGGGCCTCGTTGAGCGTCTTCAAGTGTCCATCAGCGATTGCTTCGCGGTGTCTTTGGAGTAAGACGCTGTTAAGTTGTGGGAGCAGATCGTGCACAAAGTCGGGGAAGCGGACTGCGCAGGCTCGGATCGCGTGGATTTGACACTGTCCAGCCCGATCCCATCCATATTCATAGACAAGTTCCAATGACCAGAGTGCGGCGATCAGAGCGAGGTTTCGTGCTCGACTGGCTTGGTTAGAGCTTCTTTTACGCTTTTTCGTGTCCCTCGCCTCGTCCGCATCATCCGTCAGCTCGATGTTATGCCATTGCGGATGGCCCTCCCACTCGACGGGATGTGCTATCTTAGCAACGGTGCCAAGCATAGACAGACGACCGTCGATGTTGTCTCTCTGAGCAAGGACGTCATCTCGGATGGCAGCATACGCAGACAGGGGTGCATTGCGGGACCAGGTCTGATGAAGTTGTTCAACGAATCGACGAGTGTGTACGTCCAGAATCACTTCGGTATCTGACATCTGACATGCAGACCGCACGGACCCGCAGTAAAGCAACTTTAATGGCGATCCGTGCGTTGGACAGCCTGGGCACGTGCGAGTGGGAGTGGCTTGGTCCGACGCTGCTCGTCGTGCCGGATGGTTTGGTGCCGACGCCTCATCAGGTCGCCTGTCCGAGATCTTGCTGACTCCGAGGACAGTGATCGGCACAACGAGGAGGGGTGAAATCGTGGTGATGTACGGCAGAAGGATGCCTGTACAATCTTCGGGTCAAGATGTCGCCTGGGTGCAATCGCCCTCACGAAGACGGCGGAAATAGGTTCCAACTATGTATCTCACCACGAAAGCGGCACAGCCTTTACTCCCCTCACCTGAAGGATGCCAACACGTCCGATGCGATGCCCATGTCGATCTTCGCTTCGACGTAGCGGCTACAGGAATAGAATTGTATAGTTCCGTGAGCGGAACCTTTCCGCAAAGGTTTCCGTGATGAAAGTAAGAGAAGATCGAACGAGATGATTCCGCCCTGCCGACGCAGATCGTTTTGCAACATACTTAGGGAGTCCAGAGCAGAGTGTGCCTTGAACATCCGTCATCTCTGCAAACACACCAGCACTCGGTTTGTAATCTCTTCCTTTATGGTGCGCCGTCAAAGGAGAGTCTGTGTTGCTCATGACATAGGACACAGATGAAGAATCGCCTTGCTGTGGGCAATCATTCCCACTCCTTAGAGCTTACTTTTTCCATGATTACATGGAGCAAGCATAAATATAGGATCAGTTGTGTTTCCGTGGAAGCGCCTTGGGCGTGATCGTAGGGGATTATCTGGTATCGATTACCGCTTCTCGGTCAGGTGGTCCGTAGTGAAGATACATGTAGGCCTGTCCGAATATACCGCACGCCTTGAACAGTCCGTTCCCACATAACATCCCAAAGTCAAGCATGCGTGGCGCCGCATCGAGCAACTCTGATACTACGGCAGTGGAGAAATCTTCTCGCGCTGCCTGCGCCTGGACGACCTCACGTCGAAAAGGAACAACATCAACTATGCCGCGGGCATCTCCGGCGTCGCGAGGAGGAGGAGGAGGCACCGGGAATGAGATCGACGGCCTTGGTCCGAGGAGGTCCTCTTTCCCTGTTGCAGGATGTCACATGAAGGTCGGGGATCCGCATGTAGACGGTGTATCGCGGATGTGATGTGAAATGATGCGAAAAGCAAAGCGCGTCTGTCGAAAGGCGAGGTCGCGCGTCTCGAGGGAAGACGCCGGTCCGTCCGGCAGCCGAATGAAAGGATGGATTCTAGAACATCACCCTCGCGGTCCTCGCCCGTGTGTCGATGAATCCGCCGGCGAGGGCTGGCCTGGCGTGCCCGGCTGCCCTGCCCTATCCACCCCGGCCCCGGCCCCGGAATTGCCCGAACTTCCTTCATGATTTCACTCCCGGAGAGCCCTATCTATCAATTTGGTACAGGACAACGAGCAATTCATTCCATGGGTGACATGGGTCCCTCCTGACGAGAGTATATATGTATATGAAGGTGGTACGGTGGCACTGCTGGCTACATCGGTCTTTCGCCGACTTCCCTTTTGTGTTCCACTTCACTGAAGAAGAAAGGATCTGGACGTGAGGCGATGCATCTATGAATTGTCAGATCGTTCCAGCAATAACAAGTAGGGCCCACTGCGATTACCCAGGTGGAGTCTCGTCAGCCCTCCCGCCTTGACATGAGGGCACGAGCTCATCCACATGCATATTCAGGCGTGGAGAAAGAGAGAGAGAGAGAGAGTCGTGTGCTCACATTCACCACCGACACGGACGGTCCGTATCAATTCACTTCGCTCACTCAGCCGTGCAGTAGCCTTTCGACCCCCGCCCGCCGCAACGGCTGATGACTGCGCGCTGATGACAGGGGGGTGAACCACCACCACCACCACTGGCCGGCGTGGGCTACATCTGCCGTGGGATGGGATGATGAGGATCTGTTGTTCTTTTTTTTGGCGTCTGCCGAATGGATCTGATCCGATGCCGAGGGCGGAGGAGCAGTCAGGATCGGTGTCGCATCATGAATGTCGGAGGGACGTGGGATGATTTGATGATCTTCTCGTGTTTTGTTGTACTGTATATTGCCACTACATGCTCGCCGCCATTCAGAATGATAAGAGACAGGAATGCAAGAAATTGTAAAGAACCATAACAACACACTCTACTCTGCTCGCAATACATCATCATAGCTGGAGGGAATGAACGTCGAAACTCTCCCTCTTCCTTCCGCCTTTCCTTGACCGACATTTCATCATCAGGACATGTAACTCTCATAGATGTACAGTAGTCGGTAGACTAAAAGATGCCGTGCATTGGGATCTTATCATTCGATTATCGTCGTGAAAGTACATAATATGTCATCCGAGACATGCGCCCGTCCGTCTGGTCTTTGATACCTAGGTGTATGTGTATGTGTGTGTGTGTGTGTCACCACCACCACCACACACAAAGCTCGTACCAAACGTCCACCTGCACGGATTGGATCAATCTTGGGCCGCTTTCAACCGTTGCCGTCACCGGCTGTCTGAGAAGTTCATCGTCTCTCTCGCTCTCTCGCAGCTCCTGCAATGACATCTCCCTCCAAAAATCGATTAATCGATTGATGAGGGATGGTTTACGACCCGCCACATGAAACAGCAAGATCGGAACCGATCTGGTGACCGACCAGCTAAGATCCCTTGTACCGGATGAGAGATTGCAACATCTCTTACGTGCGCAAAGAGGTCAGAGCCGAGAGGGGATCGATCCTCGTTGATGATAAACCATAGATAGTCACGGCGGCGGCGCGCAGAAAGAAGCGCAGGTACAGTACCTACAGCATTGTTCTTATTATTAACTAAACGATGTATTCTGGAGTCATCGTACATTGTCACAGCTCCGATAGGCAAAACGCGGCGGCGGCGGCGACAGGGGCGGGTGGTCGGTCGGGATAACAGTACAGTCCAGCACAGTAGCTGGCTGCACACGCGAGCAGAGGCATATGCATGGACGGGTAAAGGTAAAGGTAATCAACCATGTACATGTGATCTGACCGGGTTTTCTCCTCGCTGTACTTGCTTACCGCACATGCCTTGTCATGCTCCGAACCTTGTATCGCACTCTCGTGATGACCGGGGCGATACGTGTCTATCTCGTGATGCGATGACTCCTTTCCTATGCTGTCGTGCCCTATGCTGTCGCGCCGCAGGGGAGGAGGAGGAGGAGGCGTGAGGGACGGCGCGGGAGTCCAACACATGCGCTTTCCAACGTGAGATGCTGGGTCGGATTGGTCAGACTCGATGCCAATGGATGGATGAATTCCTCTGCCAACGAATGAGGGGATGAAACACTCTGCCAACGAGGGGATGGATCGTCACTCTGTCGCTGACACCGATGTGTAGATGTGTCGGTGTTGTCGGTGGTGGTGCTGTTGTCGGTGGTGCTGCTGAGTGCTGGTAGGGCTAAGACTCGCTCTGGAATCCGGCCGCAGACACCCACACACAGACAGACAGACAGCTCTGAACAGGTGGATACCTGCACCCACGGACACGATCCCGGTTATTTTACTGTACTCCAGCTATTACCTAGGTAGGTACTGTAAGTGCTGTAAGTGCTGTACTAGGTATTACTGTGATCCCTCCTCCTCCACACACACACCTCTTCGTTCGGGAAGCTGCGGTGGAAACTCTCTTTGCTCCCGCCGCTCTGGGCTGCCGCTGCCGCTGTTGCTGCTGATGCTTTGCTTTGCTTGCTGCTGATGCTCGGGCGGATTTCCGTTTGCTCAACAAAATTCCAACCACCACCACCACCACCACCACCACCACCGCCGCCGCCGCCGCATCTACCTCTCTCTCCATCCGCGATCGGTATCTGTAATCTCTATCCACCACAACTGTCTGTCACATTACCGACAATTCGACTCACCCACAACTCTCAACCACCCAAGAACACCTACAGACACCTACAGACACACACACACACACACAAAATACACACTCACACACACACGCACGCACATCCAACAACTCCTCTCGCATCACTCACAACCGACTTGATGCGGACGGCCAACACAGCCTGCACCCGAGCTCACCCGTTCGCATTGCTGCTGCCGCTGCCGCTGTCTCCACCGTTCTCGACACCTATCGTTGTCCCACAATAACACCCAGACCCAATCCGTCTCAAGCTTTCGTGCCTCTGTCGCACCCACCACTTTTGATGGCCGCAATTGACGGGCGTGAGAGCTTCACCCGGCGAGACGCCTACCGGCGCTTGGTCGCGGACTCCTCCTCGCTCCCACCCGATTTCCTCCAACGTCTCGAATTGAAGCGCAAAGCCCTCGATGACTCGATCCACAAGTTCATCGCCAGCAAAGACCGCGAGTTGAAGCAATGGATCAAACAGGAACGCTCCCTGCATAAGCAGCAGACGCAAGAGCGGGAGGTCAAACTCGAGCATGCCCGTTCACGCACCTCATCGGACTCCACCCAGGATACCATGGATTCGCCGCATCTGATGGCTCGGCGACCGGGGAGTCATGGGCTGTTGTTGGGGAGTCTGAGGAGGGAGGGGGAAGATGGTTCGGCGATCGTGCTCGACGAAGACGAGGCACGAGGACAAGCCGATGCTCGTGCGGTTGAAGCTGGCCTGGCAGATCGTCGCGCAAGCCTGGAACGTGATCGGGAATTTCTGGGTGTCTTCACACCGGCTTTCTTACCAGCCTTTGCGGAAGACACACCATCATCGTCGATTGCACATGGCACTTCACCGGATGAGATCTCCTCGGGGAAGAGCGCATTTGGTCATATCGACCCTTCAACATCAGACATCATCGCGGTTGACTCTTCCCAGCATGCCGAAGGCGCAGATGCACTGCACGCGATGGAAGCCAAACGACCAGCACATCTCCTCCTTTCCAAGCGGCTTTCCTCAACGGGATCTTCATCCGAACGACTCCTCACATCCGCCCTCAAGTCCCCTACAGAAAACAAACCCAAGCGCAAGCGAGTTTCGATCGCATTGGGGACTACAATCGTCGCTCCCTCGGATAGCGTGCCCATGAACCTGGACCACCACAGCACCCCTTCCCACTCGCTTCAACGTGTCTCCATTAGTGACGACGAGTCATCTCACGCGGGCGACGACGATACGAATACCTTTTCCGACGCAGAAATCAGCACTCCCGGGACATCTGCATCCCCTAATCTCTCCGCCTCAATACCGATCCGCGAGAGTCGCGCTGATCAGACAAACGACCACAAAAGTCCCAGCAAGCAGCCACACGAACCCTCATCCTCCCGCCAACCCAACCCGACCACAACAAAAAAGGCTCCCCATCAGACCGCCCCTGCTCCGTCTTCAAAACGTCACATCGACCCTGACGGCGACCTCTTCGACCTCGAAGATGATTCCGACTCGGACCTCGATCTCAGCGGCTCCCTCTCCCCGAAAAGCACCGCCGAACCCCTCGACACATCCCTCGCCGGCCGCGTCGGCCTCGACCGCACAGGTAACCCCGACGCCTCCGAAGACCCGCAAAACTGGCCCAGCGACCACGACGAGCCCCGCGCCCTCCTCCTCGACCCGGACGACCCCGCCCGCGATCCCAACTCCGACCGCGAAGACCCCGCATCCACCCTCGGCCCCCCTTCCTCCTCCGCGATAGCCTTCCGCCCCACCTCCGTCCAGTCCCCGACGAGCCCCGGTTTCCGCCGCCCGCCCTCCTTCGTGCGCGATCCGAGCTACATGACGAAGAAACCCGGCAGCAGCTTCCAGCCGCGCGCCAACAACAACAACAACCACCTCTCCTCCCCCTCCTCCTCCCTCTCGGCCTCGATCAACTCCCACCCGCAGTCCTTCCCCTCGGACGACAACGACGACGCCGGCTACGCCCGCGCCCAGAAGGCCGCCGTCTCCGAGGAGATCTACGGCTCCTCGTACGCCCGCCCCGCCTCCAAGGGCAGCTTCACCGCCGGCAGCATGGGCGAGTCGTACATGGCGCGGAACGCCGAGATGTTGAGACGCCTGGGGTCGTCGGTCGGCTCGAGATCGTGAACGGCATTGTTTTTTCTTTTCTCCCTTTCGCGGCGGACCTGTCTCATGGGCAGGTCGCTTGGATAATTTGACGTCAGATCCTCCTCGGAAGCGGGTCGATTGTCGTGGGAGAGGGATCCCCTGGCCTTTCTTCCATTTCGATTCTCGGGGATTCTTTGGGGATGCTGAGGATGCGCAGCTCCATATTGTATGGGACTGGGATTTGGTCCCGCCAACCTCATTGGATTCGAGATCGGAGCAGTTGGCGGAACTGCACAACAGAGGGGCATTTGGCTGCATCATCATGAGTGGCATCATCTCCTTCTTATCAATTGGGAAGAAGGAGGACGGGCTAGGATTTCGCTTCTTGGATTGGATTGTTGTTTCCTTCCTTTCGAATTCGCTGGATTTCTATCAATTTCTGGACGTGGACGACGAAGGTGTGTTTTTTCTTTTCTTTACGGTGCACTCGCGGACACATGGGAGGAGGCTACGTTCTAGGAATTTTCGGGCGTGTCCTCTCTCTGTGTCTTGGGCAACTCCGGTTTTTTGTTTTTTTTGTTTTTTCTCTTGGGTTGCGGTTTCTTCGCATCGCATCGCAGCATCGGCGTTGAAGAGTATAGCATAGCATAGCACAGCGTGGCATGGCATGGCATTGGCGTCTCCTTTCGTACGCTTGTTGAGGTGGGCTTGGTTTTTCTTCTTCTTCTTCTTCTTCTTCTACTGTACACGGAAAGGATTACCATATTCTCCCCCTCTCTCTCTTTCTATTCCAATGCTAGAGACGATTCGAAACTCACTTCTCCCCAGGTTCCAGGGTTATTCCACGGTTATGTCATGGCTTAGGGTTGGGGTTGGGGTTCGAATGGTAACCCTTGTTGAAGACACTACCGTCATCGCTACGGTATGTAGTATCGCGAATTGCTATTGGATATGATTGGAGACTGATATAGTGATGTCTACTGCGTAGTGCTTTAGTGGAAATAAAGAGCCAGGAGCGAAATAGATCCCGTCGATCTTTGTTTGGCAATATTGAAGATGTGTTATTAGTACATGGCTTTGTAAATGTTAGTAATCTACACATGATGGCCCCACATGCGTATACTGTTCTGTCGCATTCGTGATACACGAGCTCGGTGATGATTAGGAGTATGAAGGCGCACTTTCCTCCTATCACATGATTTGATAATACTATGCAGCGTCTCTGATTGTGTCGAGAGTGTCATCGGCCATTCTCCTCCGTCGTCATTGACTGGACCCTTGCTGCGTCTGTTTCGCCCAAAGTCACGTGAGTGGCTCTCGAGATCTCGTTTCCACCCAATCTGGCCCAGCGTCGATCGGGTCCATCAGCCAATTGAGTCGTGCTTAATCCACCTCGACTTAGGTCTGTGCTCGCATCATCAATTCAATCCAATCCATCCGCCTACCGTAGGGCACTTCTCACCTTCTGTCCACGACCTTGAGCGCCACTGTCCACCACCTCTCACAGGCACCGAAGCCGCACAAACACCTCTTCCGAAAGGCATTGATACACATCACCACAATGCTGTCCACACCCGCAGGAAAGACGGCCTTGCGGGCGACCGCCACCACCGCCTGCGCCCCAAAAACTTCCGTCCGCCATCTGGCTTCATTAGCCGGCACCTCGAGCACCGCGGCCGCGGCCGGCCAGGATGGCCAACAGAAGCGCGGCATGGCCACCGTGCAAGATGCTCCTCCAGTCCACCGCCACGGCGGCCTCAAAGACCAGGACCGTATCTTCCAGAACCTCTACGGCAACCACGGCGCGGACATCAAGACGGCGATGAAGTACGGCGACTGGTACAAGACCAAGGAGATTCTCGACAAGGGCCACGACTGGATCATCTCGGAGATCAAGACGTCGGGTCTCCGTGGCCGTGGTGGTGCGGGTTTCCCCTCGGGCATGAAGTGGAGCTTTATGAACTTCAAGGGTTGGGAGAACGATTCCAAGCCGAGATATTTGGTCGTCAACGCGGACGAGGGTGAGCCAGGTACTTGCAAGGACCGGGAGATTATGCGAAAGGACCCGCATAAGTTGATTGAGGGATGTTTGGTGGCTGGCCGTGCGATGAACGTGAGTTTCCCAACGAAGAGGGATGTATCATGTCGACGATTGGGGCATGCTGACCCTGTCTAGTGCACTGCCGCTTACATCTACATCCGTGGTGAATTCTACCACGAGGCTACTGTTCTCCAGCGTGCGATCCAGGAAGCTTACAAGGAGGGCTTCCTCGGCAAGAACGCTTGCGGTTCAGGTTACGACTTTGACGTTTTCGTCCACCGTGGCATGGGTGCCTACGTCTGTGGTGAGGAGACTTCGTTGATCGAATCGCTCGAGGGCAAGCCCGGCAAGCCTCGCCTGAAGCCCCCGTTCCCCGCAGCCGTCGGTCTGTTCGGTTGCCCCAGCACGGTCGCCAACGTCGAGACCATCGCCGTCGCCCCGACCATCATCCGACGAGGAGGTTCGTGGTTCAACTCCTTCGGTCGCGAGCGCAACTCCGGCACCAAGCTCTTCTGCATCTCCGGCCACGTCAACAACCCCTGCACCGTCGAAGAGGAGATGTCCATCCCCCTCAAAGAACTCATCGAGAAACACTGCGGCGGCGTCCGCGGCGGCTGGGACAACCTCAAAGCCATCATCCCCGGCGGCTCCTCCACGCCGATCCTGCCGCGGAAGATCTGCGACGACGTCCTGATGGACTTCGACGCCCTCAAGGACGCGCAGTCCGGCCTCGGCACCGCCGCCGTCATCGTCATGGACCAATCCACCGACGTCGTGCGCGCCATCGCGCGCCTGTCCAAATTCTACCACCACGAGTCCTGCGGCCAGTGCACCCCCTGCCGCGAGGGCTCCAAGTGGACCGAGCAGATCATGCAGCGCTTCGAGCGCGGCGAGGCCCGCCTCCGCGAGATCGACATGATGCAGGAGCTCACCAAGCAGGTCGAGGGCCACACCATCTGCGCCCTCGGCGAGGCCTTCGCCTGGCCCATCCAGGGCCTCATCCGCCACTTCCGCCCCGAACTCGAGGCCAGGATAAAGGACCACACGGCGCGCGCGGGCGGCGAGGCGCTCGCGGGCGGGTGGCAGCACGACGCCGTCAAGCAGGGCATGTTGGTCTCCCCGGGTCAGTAGATGGATTTTCTCCTCCCCCCACGCGAGCCAAAATATTGGAGGCATGGGATGTGCATTGTTGGAACGTCATGGTAGATGGTGAGCATTGAATTTCGCGTTCATGGTAACGCTTTGATTCTCGACCGCGATAGTCTGCGTCGGTCGGGAAAAAGATGTATATACATTTTCTGGCTCGGTTCCTGTTTCTTATGTATCGATGGGGCGTTTTGCACAATAGAACGGCGGGTACCTGAGTATTGCCCATTCGTCGGACTCGACATGCACCAAACGCAAAACAAGGAAGGCGAATGCGGGGCAGCCTGAGCTACATAAACTGCTGTGATCGGTTCATTCTCCATGGCACTTTGGCGGAGTGGTTAACGCGCTGCCCTGCTAAGGCAGTTCCGTAAGTTTCACATCAGCATCACCTGAGCCGCAAACGCATCATTCTAACATACTCAAAGTTCGGGAGCGTGTGTTCGAATCACACAGGTGTCGCAAACTTTTTGTCGATTTTTGGACCCCATCTATATTTCCAGGTGGCAAACCATTACCATTTTGATAAATGTCATGTAGGTGAATGTGATGGATGTATTTTTGCTGTGTGATGGGTCAGTTGAAGCCGCGACGATGAGTCTTGCTCTGGTTTGCTTCAAAGTAAGTAATATGCCCATAGGCTGTCCGACATTAATAATACCGAGTCGGCATGATGTAATCGAGAGGGCACAGCTACCTCCAGTGAAGCTCGGCGTTCCGCAATTCTCCACTAGAAATGGTACTGTAAGCTCTTGCACATGCAAATACATTCTCCATTGACGTTTGCATTCGTTACATCAACATCCACTACAACATTGAACACCGCACCGACAGATACCTCACATAATGGCGTCCGCACTTTTGAAGCAGAGCGCTGTCCGCTCCGCCCTTCGCTCCGCCAATGCTCCCATGAAGCGTGCTGCATTCGCCAGCACCACCTTCACTCGCAGCAAGGTCACTCTTCCTGACCTCGCCTGTACGTTCACCGAAGAGTCTATCCTTGTCTTTCACAAAAGCTTGTTAAAACGACACCCAATTGCTGACATGTCATACGCGACCAGACGACTATGGCGCCCTCGAGCCCGCCATTTCCGGCCAAATCATGGAGCTCCACCACGACAAGCACCACCGCACCTACGTCAACTCGTACAATGCCCAGCAGGAGAAGATGGAGGAGGCGCAGAGCAAAGGCGACATCACCACCCAAATCGCGCTCCAGCCCTTGATCAACTTCCACGGAGGTGAGTAGAGTGCGAGATCAGAGCAATCCCCGATGTGTCCGCGCCAGAATCAGCACCGGCGGGGAAGAGTTTCATATTCTGACGACGGATTTATCTCCCATACAGGCGGTCACACCAACCACACCCTCTTCTGGGAGAACCTCGCGCCCAAGTCCAACGGCGGCGGTGCTCCCCCGACCGGCGCTCTCGCCAAATCCATCGACTCGCACTACGGCTCTCTGTCCGCTCTGCAGGAGAAGTTCAACACCGCGCTCGCCGGCATCCAGGGCTCCGGCTGGGCTTGGCTCGTCCAGGATGTGCAGACCGGTGCCATCTCCATCCGCACCTACGCCAACCAGGACCCGGTGGTAGGCCAGTTCCGCCCGCTCTTGGGAATCGACGCGTGGGAGCATGCGTACTACCTGCAGTACCAGAACCGCAAGGCGGAGTACTTTGGCGCGATCTGGGAGGTCATCAACTGGAAGGCGGCGGAGAAGCGATTCAAGTGAACGGATGGGATTTGATTGTGGTTAATGTATATCATATGTGAACAAAGCTTCTGACGAGGGAGAAGTTGAAATTTCATACTGTTCCCCTTTCTTCGTCTCTTCAGCAATTGACATTCCGAGTATCTTTTTCCAATGACTAGAACAGAGCCAACGCATTCGGCGGCGAACCCACCAATCCAGGCACCCTCAGAGGCGCACTCGTCACCAGAAAGCTCCAGCGACCCAAGCGCTTGCACGTCCGACTCAACTCCTTCAGATCCCAGAGTTCTCCAATCGGCATCCCGAACGCCGCAAGGCAGTACTGATGAATGACCAAATCGTTGATCGTCCCCTTGATCGGCGGAATGACCTCAAACGCCGGACTGTCGCCCGCCACCGCCGCGAACCTCGAATCCCACAACCACCTCGCCATATCCACATCCCCCCTCACACCCGCCGACCCGGAGCCCATCTTCGCCGCCTGCTCCTCCCCGGAAAGCGGCTCCAACGCCTCCGTCATGCCCGTGCGGATGATCAACAGATCCCCCCTCCGGAACTCCACCCCTTGCTTCTTCGCCACGGCCTCGATGTCCCGCACCGTGATCTGATCCGACCGGAAGGGACTGAACTCCCTCCCCTCCTCCTCGGCAAACGCCTTGAAATCGATCAGCACGCCCCTGGCCACGAAGCCTCCCCGGTGATGCCAATGGTCCAGCGTCGGGAGGCTCTTCTTCTCCGCGTCCCAGTACGGGTCCATCTGGCCCAGGAGCTCCTTCGTCGGCTTGGCGTTGTTGTAGCCCACCGCGAGCTTCTGGTGGTGGAAATGCACCAGGCTGTCCCACTGGCTGGAGCACTGCGTGTTGAAAGAGACCTCGTCGTCCCACGCGTGCATCCCGCCGCCCATGTCCAGGAAGGAGATCACCTTCTTGGTCACCGTCTGCCGGAAATGCTCCTTCATCCGGAACCCCCCCAGGTGCCAGTTGAGGCTGACGCTCTCGCCGCGCTGCAGCTCGCTGGCGTAGGCCGCTTGCAGAACCTCCGGGGTGATCAGATTGAGCGTCCCGAAGATGTCTTTTTTCCCGTCCTTGTCGAAGAGGCCCCAGGCGCAACCTGTGGAGAAAGGGTGGGGTTAGCAGGTGAGACGTGGATGTTTTTTTGGTCCTTTCTTGGATGATGTGGTGCGTTTACGTACGGTCTTCGGTGCCGGGCATGAATGGGAGATCGTCAAACTTGGGGAGGTCGACGGTGGAGGAGGCCATGGTTGATAGGGTTGCTCTCTCTCTCACTCTTTCTTTGCTTTGAAAGCTGGGGATGTTGTGAGGGTTTCGATGGTGTTTGTAATCACGACTGTGGATACAGGTCGATCGTGAACGCAACTCGAGAAGCAATGGTGACTTCTTTAAGAGAGCAACGATCCCGACTCGTGTGCGGGTTCTGCAGGCAATTGAACGTCTTTCACAATCAGCCGAAAGAGAGAGTCGCTGTTCGTATCTTGGACGTCAACCAGCAGGCCATGCTCTGCTTAAGTATGTATACGACCGAAAAGGTTCACAAGCTATACGAAGAAGGCTTGGAGAACGCGTCTTGGCGAGTTTCGCCCTGCATTGGTCCCGGTCATCGAGACGCGTTGTCTCGATCCAATGAGGTGTTGCATCATTCCTCACATTTATCCGACGTAGATGCGCATAAAGTTGTTGTGCATAAAAGTGAGGGGCGCTCAGCAGCAGCAGCGGGGCTTCTCATGTGCGGATAAAGTGTTCGGGTAATATACGACAAACGAGTGAGGAGACGTCGGACGACCGGGTCTGGTTCATAGAGGCCAAAATCAAGAAAAAGAGTGTCGGTATGCACAATGATTGGAATGGAGACCGCCCGATGTGGACAGTCTTTTGAATCTTCATCATGGTCATATGTAACCAGTGTATGAGCGGAAGGGAAGAAATGCGCCACGGGAACGGCACACTACATATAGACCGTGAAAGCAAGACCGAATGATCCGTCGAAGTCTCTCAGGGCCGTGATATCCGGAACAAAATATGATAAAGATGGTATATAAATATCGAAAGATAATAATCAATCCTCAAGAAGAAGACATCGGAAAAGAAGCGTAGATGCGAGAAGTCTCCCTCCCGCTGTCATAGTCATCATCGTCAAACCCCTCCCAGCGCCGCCGACCACGCCAAATACCACGTCCGACTCGCTCCTCCATCCAAATAACTCGAGTCGAACCTCGCATCCGCAAAGAAGCGGTACACCGTCGGCGCATCCACAATGGCATAGTTCGCCATGAGAATCCCCCTCCAGCCGCCGACGATCGACGAGATCTTGCTCGAGAAATAACTCGCCCATTCCTGCTTGACGAAAGTCTGGGTGCGGATATACGCGCTGAACGGCATCAGCGGGAGCATGTGGATGCCCTGGACATACTCCGGGTTGTCGCCGAAGTAAGTCGTGTGATCGACTTTGTTGTCGAAGAGGATCCCCGCAGCGCGGTTGCCGATGAACTGCGAGGGCAGGATGGTGTTGTCATCGGTGGTGAGGTAGTAGCTTTGGAGGCTGCGGGCTTGGATCGCGAGCATGAGGTTTCCGCGCGCTTGCATGTTGATGTCGCCGATGACTTGGCCCCACATCTTGAGACCGTACGAGGCCATGGTGTCCTCGCTGGAGGACTCTTGGTTGCGGCCGTCGAGGGCTTCAAAGAGGCCGCTGGCCCAGCTGTGGCCGTGGTACCAGTCGAAGGATCGGCTGAAGGGGAAGCTAAGGTCGGTTTTGATGGAGTTGGCGTAGTCGCGGACTAGGGTGTTGACCCAGGCTTTGTTGGTGCCCGCATTGAGCCAGCTGGGGTCGAGGTATCCAATGACGGCTGCCGTGTAGACAAAGTACCCAAAGTGGAAGTGATCTAGTCAAGTATTAGCGAAATCCTCACGATGACCTTCTTGGTAAGGGAATCCTCTAACTTACGGTCGTTGTAGTAGGTGTTTCCAAAGTCAACCCCAGCATCGCCCGTAACATAAGTCGCAGACGAAACAACGCCTCCCCAAGCAGTGTCATAAGCCAGTGGCCAAGCCATCTTGTTGTCGACGTGAAGCGCAAAGGCTTGCTGGAGCGCCTTCAACCCCGACAATGCAAGACTCGTGTTTCCGGCAATGTCGTTGAGCGTGTAGATTATCGCCGCAAATTTGGCCAGAGCCTTGCCATCGTAATACAGACTTCCAACATTGGCCTGAGCTGAGATGTTTTGTTGCAATTCCGCATAACCTGCAGCGTTGATCGCGGAGACAGCAGCCGCCGCTACCTTGGTGATGCTACCACGAGCGGGCGTCCAAGGGGCAAAACTCATATCGATGGGAAGGTTGGATTCCTGGAGCGTCCAAGAATTGGCACGAACAGCAGTCGCCATGCCCTTGGTCGTTGTCATGAGCTGCAAGCTCGTGAGGCCTCCGGATGCCAATGTTGCTCTGTGATGTGGTAGCGCGAACATCAAGAGTGGCTGGCTGGTGATACCCTTTTTGGTGAAAGAGAATGTATAGCTACCAGTCTTACCATTGACGGAGCCATCGATGGTAGCGCCAGTTGCATAAGTGCCTGCAGTCGAGTCGTAGATGCTTTCTGGGCCGCTATCAGTGGCGGTTGATGGGATCTTCGCGATCTGAATGGTGCCACTGAACCCGGAAGGGCCTTGAATACTGGCAGCATTGACCAAAGTGAGCTTGTTGCCTGGATATTGCTGATTAGAGGGAGAGACATAGATAAGCCAGGTGTAACCATTTCCAAGCAGGACGCGATACTTGTAGGTTGCACCATTGAGAACAGTGCCGACATATGTAAGACGTTGAAATGCAACACCGGATTGCAACAGCGGCGTTGCGCTGCGGTATACTCCCGTGACGAAACCCATGCCCTGCACGAGCGGAAAGGTAATGGTCGGGAGGGAGGCTCCAGCTGCGATCAAATTGGCATTGGCCGAGAAAGCATCAATGGTATCCGTAGTTAGTTTGGTGCCATTCCTGAGCTCCGCTGCGGAAAGGATGATCGAGTAGATACCGATGGGGTTGATGTAGTACGCCCATTGACCAGCATCGTATCCAGGATTGGCCAGACCAGCTGCAAGCTGATTACGCTCGATGTGGGAGACTCCCATGCCCCATGTCACGACCGAGGTTCTGTTGTTTGTCCATGTCAACGAATAAGGATGAGTGAAAACAGGCGCAGTCTGGCTTCCGACGAATAGATTTGCGTAGAACTTGTTCGTTTGCAATGGGTATTGTTGACGTTGAATGTTCAAGCGTGGCGCAGGGTGATCGCCACGTCTTGGGATCTGTGCAGGCGGGGCATCAGTCGCAATCGGCTGGAAGATGTTGTTTGCCGTAATCGCCGTGACAGTCGATGCCGTAGTGGGGTCGGCCGCAGCAGCAGCCAATCTCAAAGGTCTAGTTGCCGTCGTCGATGTAGGAAATGGTTGTGCAGCAGACGTCGTTAAAGACGTGACAACAGTGCCGCTTGGGAGTGACGCGAGAGTCTCTTTCGCTGTTTGCACTGCAGAAGTCGAGAGCGTAGTCAGCGAAGAGTCTGGAACACTGACAGATGCCGTCAAGAAAGTCTGTGGACGGCTCGTAGATGTGAGTGTTCCTTGTCGCGCGGCGAGTCGTTGTTCGTCGAGATACTCGGGCGAGAATCCTTGGGGTATTCCTCTGTTTACGAGGTTCTGCTCTGCGACAACTATTCCAAATTGTCAGCAATGCATCGATTTGGAGCTCTTTTCGACAGCACACATACCATTGTGTTTTTGCTCCAAGCATACAACACGTTGCAGCGCAAATCCCACCACGACTGTCAAAACGGCAGCCATGCGTGGAGTTGTGACCATCTCGAATCACAAACGAAGCTTTCTTATATGAGAGTCTCTGTCGCAGTGGGTGACGTCCGCAAACCGTAGAAACGTCCCTGGAGTGGTTCGCCAACGGGCGAAGTCACAATCACACGATTATCCTCAACGGCCAGCACGTCACAGGCGTGAGTGAATCGCCGCCAGAGATGTGTATAGCAGGAGTTGGATCCGAGAACACATCTCGAAAAATTCGCCTGGAAGTCTACCGCGATCGGCAGCATCTTTATAATCCTTCTGTCCTATCGCCATGTCGCCTAATTTTCCCTCGTGGTCTCGACCTGACTTTGCCGAAGAACGAACAATCTAGACATACAGATAGCGTGCATCCTACTGGACAGGGCTAGGAAAATTAATCTCCACGCGAGTGATCAGCCCTAAGATCTTACCCATACCTGCTGCCATCCCGTCGTCTCAAGTGAGACCAACAGGACATGTTGGTACACCTCTTTGTCGATCTGTTGTTGAATACAGACTGCGTTGGCATCAACACCAACAAACCCTTTTGTTGTCCTGGCATCTTTGGACTTGGCCTTTGAGAATTCGCGTCCAAGAGCGATATTGGGTCACTTTGTCAATATCACGTCCCTTGACCCGAGGACGCGTGGCGAATCCGAGGGGAACAAAGGTGCTCGAAATGATCTGCAGACACCCATGTCAAACGGCAGAGTTTATTCTGACAGACCGTACGACCTCTCGACAAGGCCAACCGACGAGTGATCGATTGTCATCAAGGTCACAAAGCCTCGTCCGAGTCGAGGAAAGACGGTCACGGTACATGTATTCGCCCTGATCGCGTGGTTATTTCTTTGACATGAACGCGCGCTCGGCCCGGCCGCGCCGGAAAAAAGCGACCATTGAGCTTCAGTCATGAGATGTTTCGAGCGATGGTCTTAGCTTTGACCGTTGAGAATATCATCCGACCGGACTCGGACTCCACGTAGACGCGATAGCTCCTTTGTTGAATCAGCTAGAAGAAAATGCAGACCCTGCGTGATCATGCACAAAATCATTCCAGCCTGCGAATGGAAATCGAGAGGCAAATTGGAATTGTCAGACCGCTGCACGTGTCTTCGAAGCTGCACGCGATGCGTGCCGTGCCAGCCGAGGGTCCTTGTACATAGGCCAGACGATCCCAACCATCAGACGACAATGCAAATTCAAATAAAGAACGAAAGAAAGAAATGGATGGCCATGTGTCGAAGCAGGTGATGTCTCCCTCTTGAGGAAGAATGAAGTCGGCCAAGGTTTCCCCCGATCGCACAGTGGCCAGCGCATAGTATCATTTTACCTGTCATACAGGACTCTGGTGGCGCGCTGCACATTCCTCGAAGCACTCCACATGTGGAATGTGATACATCGCCTCGAAGGTAAATTCGCGCCAGCGCGTGCGTTTTGCCTCGTGCGCTGGCAGAAGCTCAAGCGACTTTGGTTATAGAGGCGTGCAACGTCCTTGCATGCAACATATTCTCTTCACTACTGTCCATACGCTGTCAATTAGAGGGAAATGTGCGTCGCGCTCACTCATCAAGTACCGTATCGAATCGAGAACCTAAATGGGTCGCGACCTGTTCAGGAATGAATCAAATCGGACCAGGCACTCAGATGACTAATCCGATGCTTATCTCACTGATGACTAATAAACTACTTGTCCGCTTTCCAAGGCACAAGAAGAGATTTGTGTTCTTTTTAGCAAGGCCGTCTGAGTGCCCCATCCGATTTGGTCGATTCCTGCGTGTGGACAAAAATGTGCGACTGGTCAAATATTAGGTGATGTATCGGGAACATTGATTGATGGTGTAAACTATATGCGTACTGTTATTTTTCGGCCTCGCCCACTGGAAGAAGATCTGGCTTGGGGGTTCGGCGATACAAGATCCATGGACGGACTTCAGCCAACGAACACACTGTGTCACTAGGGACAAGTCTCCTATATGCATATTACCAACTAATGTCATCCCTGACGAAGATGCAGATAACATGGAGCCAATGGCCACCTGCAGTCGTTCTCAAATTGGTCAAGGTCTACGCAGTCGCGTCTTGTGCGACCGTCGTGAGCTGGCAGCACTAAAACCGCAATGGACCTTTTAGTGGGAACGTTAGTGACAAGCTCGTCGGCAGTCGATCCGAGGATCCACCAAACACACTCAATCGCTGTGAACTTTTATCATGACTTTCAGGGCTACACCTACTCCAATTGATTCCTTTTTCACTGAAAGTCGCATTCTGGATGACTTTCATTCAAGTCGTGCTGTGAGCCCCATGGAAGAGCTGGACCCTAGGAACATCAACCATATCGCCCACAGATAAAGCTCCCAGAGTGCCGCAAAGTACATTTCATACGTCATTAGCTTGGCCATTCATATCATCCGACAGACTGCAGTATCACATCGGCTGCAATCTACCTACGCGCCGTCGCCACACAGAGGCAGAGGATAACCGGGTACTTGCAGTACACACTGTGCCACATCGTTTCTTGCAGCCCAAGCTTCGAATTAAGGCCTGTCATTTCACGCCTTCTCAAGGTACATACCGGTGGGCCATATTTGTGGTAGTCGGTAACTCTATGTACATAATAAGTCATGATTCACAGGTGCAACCACAAAGCCTTGTGGCGGGGCGAATGCATACCTTGTGTTTACTCAATTCACTCCTTGTCCTCGGCACCCTCCATGCATTCCCAAGCTATTTATTGCGTGACTGGCCACTGACTTCCCACAGGAATTCCTTTTCTGCTTTCTCGCCTACCGTCTAGCGCATTGAGAGGTTTCTATTATACATTTGAACTGCACACACGCTTCTGTCACATCATTAAGTAAAGCCGACCATGTCAGGACGAGGTGGGCGAGGCGGAGGTGACCGCGGTGGCCGTGGAAACTATGGCGATCGTGGCGGCCGAGGCGGTGGCGGCGGCGATCGAGGTGGTCAAGGCGGCGGCTACGGTGGAGGTGATCGTGGCGGCCGTGGAGGTTTCGGTGATCGTGGTGGACGTGGAAGCTACCAGATCAGCTCTCGTGGCGGTCGACCCAACCAAGGTCCCACTATCTACCTGGCGTGAGTTGTGCTGAACATAGTTGAAGAATCACATCGACTGACGAATACCAGTGACACGCCACTTTTGCCCGAAAATCCTGCTGTGGCCAAGCTTGAAGATCAAATCGTGCAGGCCACAGCAGGCAAGATCATCGAGGGCCTCCCTGGGCGTAACGGGTACGGGACTTCGGGCACCGCGATCAAACTTCGAACGAACTCGTTCCCCATATCTTTGACTCCAAACAAGGTGTCATGGTACCGTTATCTCATCGACATTACACCTGCTCCATCGAACCAGAAACGTCGGGCGATCATCACGCAATTGATCAAAGATAAAGCAAACGTTTTGGCGGACAAGTCTCGTGCGACGGACTATGCTACGATCTTGCTATTGACCGAGAAGGTACCTGACACTGAGGTGTCTGTCCTTCTTCGACAATCGCCGTCTGTACCGGTTAAAGTTGATGATTCTGCCCATGGTGTCGAAGTTGCCAAGCGCAACACGTACAATGTGAAGATCACATATCAAGCCCAGTTTGCTCTGGAACATCTTATTGAGTGGCTGCAAAGCCCAAATGCTAGCGCAGTCTATAGTGCTCGCACGGATGTGATTCAGCTGATCAACATCATCCTGTGTCAAGGCCCAAATGACTTTGAAGGGATCAAGTGCATTGGTCAGAATAAGTTCTACCCGCACGATGATCACCCGGATCCGGAGCAGGGTCCGCTTTCTGGAGGACTCCAAGCACTGCGAGGATTTTATGCCTCTGTACGCCCAGCTACCTATCGACTGATGCTCAATCTCAACGTAACCGCCGGCGCGTTCTACAAGCCTGTGTCGTTGCTCGAGCTTTGGGATCTTCACCAGCCTCCACGAGGTGGCCTGCGCTCACCTGACCAATGGAAGCAGATTGCTAGCTTCTGCAGGCACCTCAAATTCCGCACCACTTATGCAAAGGATAAACAGCCACGTGACAAGAATTTCGTGAGCTTCTGCTCGAAACCTCCTTATGGCAATGCGAACCAGGTCAAGATTAAGTGGAATGGTCCCGGTGGCACTGGTACCGAGCGTGAGAATACTGTCGCCGAGTTCTTCAAGCAGGAGTATAACATCACGCTCAAGCATCCTCAACTGCCTGTGGTGAACGTGGCCACTCAGAAGAACCACAGCTGGATTCCTCCGGAACTTGCTGTTCGAGTTTTGCCTGGCCAGGCCTACACCAGATTGTTGTCTGGCAATGACACCTCTGATATGCTCAGATTTGCTGCTCGCGCTCCTTGGGAGAATGCCGAGTCCCTTGCCGGCACTCCGCCTAACGCGGTCGGAAAGGGCTTGCGAATTTTCCGTCTGGTGCACCCGAGCGGTGATATGCAAGCCAACTCGGTAGCCAAATGGGGCTTCCGTGTTGAGACTCAAATGATCACTATCCCTGGGCGTGTCCTCGAGGCACCAGTCGTCAATTATGGTGCAGGCGGCAAAGGCAAAATCCAGCCTCGTTTCGGCGCGTGGAACAGCGCCAATCAAATTTTCCATACTCCGGGAACCTTTCCCAAATGGCAAGTTGTCGCCGTCAATGGATGCATTGGTGGAAGCCATAAGCCCGTCGTCGATCGCTTCGCAGCACACCTCGCTGGCTGCGGCATGCGCATGGGCCAATTAGGCCCGCTTGCGAGAATCGAGTTGAACAACATGTGGGACGTCCGCAACAGGGATCTCAACGACGAAAAGATCCGAGACAGCTTCGCAACAGCGGCGAAGAATGGATGCGGTATCCAGCTCGTCGTCCTTCCAGACCAGGATAAGTGGCTCTATGCCCGAATCAAGTACTGGGCTGATGTGGTCTATGGTGTGGGCACAGTTTGCTGTGTTGCACGTAAATTCTTGAAGGAACAAGGCCAAGGGATGTACTTTGGGAATTTAGCTCTAAAGTTCGTTGAAACCCATCTTGGACTCGAAGCTGGAATGATTTACTGACAATTTGTTAGGATCAATCTCAAGGGCGGCGGAATTGCGCACACCATCTCGACTGCTATTGCACCTCCAGTGGACGGTAGCACAATGCTCATGGGCATCGACGTGACTCATCCCTCACCTGGCAACGCCGACACTGCACCTAGCATTGCTGCACTTGTTGCCAGCTACGACAGGCATATGTTCCAATGGCCAGGCTCTCTTCGTGCTCAAACCCGCCGTCAGGAGATGGTCGAAGGGCTCAAGGAGATGACCATCGAGCGCCTCAACCTCTGGGTGAAGAAGAATCGCACCTTACCAACCAAGATTATCGTCTATCGTGATGGAGTGTCCGAAGGTCAATACCAGACCGTCCTCGAAAAGGAAGTTCCGCCACTCGAGGAAGCTTTCAAGGAGAAATACGGGGCACAAAAGAACTGGCCCAAGCTGACCATGATAATCGTTGGCAAGCGGCATCACACGCGTTTCTATCCGACCACCTTGGCGCAGACTTCGCGCTCGTCCAACCCGCAACCCGGCACCGTAGTCGACCGTGCCATCACCAGCAAGATCTTGTTCGATTTCTACTTGCAGGCGCACGATGCCCTCCAGGGAACTGCCCGGCCAGCACATTATGTGGTCGTCAAAGACCAAATCGGCTTCTCGGCGAATCAGCTCCAGACTTTCACCCACCAGTTGTGCTACCTGTACAACCGTGCCACCAAGGCCGTCTCCATCTGCCCGCCGGCGTATTACGCCGATCTCCTCGCAGAGCGTGGACGTTGCTATCTTTACAAGTATCTGAGTGAGGGCGGAGGAGGCAATGACAATGCCAGCACGATCAGTGGAAACGGAGGTGGTGGTGGAGGATTCAACAGTCTCGTGGACTGGACAGGTGGTGTGCACAAGAGCCTGGCGGAGACAACCTGGTATGTCTAGTATGTATGCCGGCTAGCCTTTAGTACTATTGTTTGTTTGCAATTGTGTGGTTTAGTGGCAGTCTGTTCCGCGTATACAATGAACGAAGGATATATTGGATATTTTTGCCTCAGGCTTTGGGACCCTAGCTTCGGACTTCTCTTCCGAGATCTCGAGAGTATTGATCGCGGACCTCCATTGAATTTCGAATAATTCCATCCCCACCCGTGCATCCATCATGTTCCAACGCGCGCTGTCCCATCCGCCCGCCAGAGTCGGAAGCCGGGACATCGTCTCGCAGATTGCGAGAGGAAAATACGTTTGCTCAAACTGCGCCCGCGCAGCAGCAGCATCACCAAAGCGCGTGCCAGCCTTAACGAACCAGATCGCCAAACGACAATATGCGACAAGACGTCCAGCGCCGTCGACTCGCGATCGCCTCGATGAGCGAAAGCCTCGCCTGGCTGGTTCCAAAGTACAAGCACCTGCACGACCTACGGAACTGACGCTAGACGATGTGGTGAACAATCTCAAAGAATATCCACTGGATGGCCTCGAGGAAGACCGAGTTCGGGCATTTTGCGAGAGGGTGCTGGCCATTGACGAAAAAGCCTCGAGGCTTCGACAGCCAGTTGACGGACGGAAGCTCATAGCTTGTATAGACGAATTCAAACTCTCTCGCAATGCTAGCATGGTTCATTGGTTATTGAGGCTGTCGAACGGCAATATCAGGCCGCAAATGGCAGAACGCTGCTTACAGGCCCTCTCGGAGGCTGGCATGGAAGCAGCAATTTTTCTGCTTTTGAATCGTGCGTTATTAAGGGCAGAGGACGGTCACAATACTTTCGAAGAATATGGTGTGAAAAAAGCTCGCCGCAAGGCTGCAGAATACATGAATCGCAGCAAAGATTGGCACGTGGGATCCGAGAAAAGTCGCATGGATTGGCGTGCGGAACGTCGCTGGGGCGTTTATTATCAATACATGTTCCATTGTATGGAAGGAAGGATCGAACATAAGCTCGGCAACACCGATCGTGCTATCCATCTGCTCGAACGGGCAGTGGAATTTGAAGACCTTACCGACTGGGGTGGCCGCAGAGATGAAGCCGATATGTACGAATTCGACATCTATATGCCTTGGCAATTCCTTGCCGAAATATATAATGAGCGATACCAGACTTCAGGGTCGCCTGCCGATGCAGATGGAATCAGGAAGCACACTGAATACGGTTGTAAAAAGGGAGATCCAATATCACATTGGCAGGCCGCCGAGTTCAACAAAGTGCACACTTCAAAGGGTTACCACGTACCGACGAGCAAATGGTTCTATTACTGCTCGAAGGCGGCAGCATCGGGTCATCTTCAGGCAGCATATAGCCTCGCGAATTTCTACCGCGACAGCGGCTGGAGATATCTGGAAGATGATCCGCCCGACTACGTCAAACCCACGCCCTTTGACCACAAACCTTCCGAGGAAGGGTCATCGGCCTCTCGCGGCCCCTTTGGAAACGTCCGCGAGTTTCTCCGCTGGCTCGTTACCAAACCCGAAGGATTCGGTAAATTCGAGAAGATCAAAGAACCCCACGAGGCCCTTTTCTACACCGCCGTCTATCCCTCCACAGCCGCCGAGCGCATGCGGCTAGCCATCGAATGGCTTGGGGTGGCCATCGACTTCCACTTCGCCCCAGCCTACCTCGTCAAGGCCAAGATCCACCTAGAGGAGACCCTCTGGCACGCCGCGAATGCGCCCGCCACCGCCCTCTCCGTCTCCGACTCGCGCTACGACGGATCCGAGACCTCCTCTGCGGAGGTGGAGGAGGACCCCAACCCGTACTACAGCAAGGAAGCCGCACGCGAGAGCCTGCGCGAGGTCTTCCGGGCCTGTCGCATGGGCGAGCAGAAGCGGTGGGCGGACCGCGAGTATCTGAAGAACTTCTCGCGATCCAACACCAACCGGGTGGTCCACGACCACCATCTGTGGGTTGCCGCGCACCGAGAGAACCCGGAACAAGCCAAGTTCTTCCTGGACTCGACCGTGTGGGATCAGTTCGAGAAGGACCTCGAGAAGTTGGAGGAGGACGCCAAGATGCTCTGTCGCGAGCACAACCTGGATTTGTATGAGACGGATGGGCTGGTGATCTATGAAGGTGGCAAGGAGAAGGAGAAGCTGGAGGCGCAGGAGGAGGCGAAGAGGAAGAAGGAGGAGGAGCGGATGGCAAAGGAGAAGATAGTTAGTCAAAGGAAAGAGAACGAGAAGAAGTTGGAGGATAGGCTCGAAAGGGAGAAGCGGGAGAAGAGGAGGATGCAGCTATCGAAGACGGACGAAAAGAGGAAGAAAGGGTCGAATGAGAGACGATGATCCCTGTGTAATATGTTGTACTTTTACCGATCGACCTGGATGGTCCTCATTCGAAAGATTCCAATCAATCATCTCGTTGGTCAAGGTCCATGACATTGAAGGGTCTAAACCTCTAGGAACGCGATGCATCACAACTCTGACGTAGCTCTCGTCCGTCCCCGAAACTCCATTTCCTTTCACACAAATACAGTCTCCTCTCCCGTTCCGAGAAAATTAGAAGCCCATCACAAAAAATATATCCCTATCAACACACGCACAACCCTGGAATCCATTGAAAACCCCCTCAATCATCCCCATTGACCGCCGCGAAGCCCGCCGATCTGCCCGCCGAACTTCGCGCTCCCTCCGAGACCTGCCCTCTCCTCGACCGCGATCCGCCCCGCGATTTCGGCGCCGCCGCCGCCGCCTCAACAGCCTCCTCGCCGTCCTCGCCGCCTTCCTCTTCGCCCATCTCGACGTCTTCACCACCAGCGTTCCCATCGTCCTTGCCCGCGCCGCGACTCCGGTCGCGCCCGTTACTCCGGTGTGATGAGCCCGCCCGCCTCTGTCGCGCATACGGGTTTCCCGGGAGCGGCGTCTGTTGCTGGTGCTGGGTCTGTGACTGACTCTGGGTATCGTCCGCGCTGCCATTTTCCTGTTTCGCGCCCGCCGCCGCGGGTGTGCCTGCCGCGGTCCCGGTTTTCCTGCGCTTGTCCCTCTGTGGACGGTCCTGTGGCGGCGTGGCCATGCCCTCGTCGTCGCTGCCGTCGCTGTTTTCGACGTCCAGGTCCATGCGGCGGCGTAGCTCGTCCAGGAGGTAGGCGCGTTCCAGGCGCATTTTCATCACGGCGCGGTCGAGGCGGACGCGGCGGAGTTTGGCTTGGTCGTTGGCTGATTCGACGGCGGTGAGGCGGCGCTTCAGCGCGATACATTTGCGGTAGTAGGCCATTTCGACGCTGGGCGCGAGTGGAGTGCCGGCAGAGGAGTTGTCTGTTGGTTTCACTGGTCAGTCAGCATGCTCTTGGGCGAAGAGCGATTCGCACCGGCGTGGGCACGTACCTGACGGCATGGTGGGCGTGTGTGTTGTTGATCGGTCGCTACCAATATGCTGTGTATTCCCAAAGGAGGAAGGGAAGACGAGCTCTTTGGCTCGGTGCTGTGCGGGATTGCTTCGCAAGTTTTGACGTCGCGTCGGAGAGGAGTGATCGAAATGTGAGAGGTTTGTGGCAGGTGAGATGGGATGAAGCGTTGAGGGAGGTTTCGTGGGGTTATAATTGTGGAATACTGTCGTCGATGGTTGGCAATCAGACGTGTCGCAACTCCCGAACGACTGACGACGACCGCCGGGGAATATTCCGCCCGTCACTCAAAGGTAAAGCGTCGGCCCGTCATTCCGATCCGGGCACGTCAAGCTTCATTTCACCAGCAGTATTGGGTACCTAGGTACAGTAGCAGTCTCAAAAACCAACTTCGTCAATGATATGGACTTTGTAAAAATCGCGATCAGCGATTACTGTGAATACGTTGTATTCGGAAATTAATTCAACAAGGTCATTTGGGCGCACGAATAGCCTCCATGATGCTAACCCAAACCCTACCGTTGGCAACCCTGAGGCGCAGACAGAGACAGACAGATAAGGCTGTTCAAGACGAGTTCAAACCAAGAGATCAAGGCACGAGGCACACCGATCGTCTCCGCACGAATGAAACGGGAGGACAGTGCAGGAAGAAAGCCCATCAACCGAGACGACAAAATAATTTGTTTTCATTTCCCATCATTTCGATGATATTCTTCCATTTCCTCGGCGGAAAAGAATAACCTTTGGCCATCACGATCATCGTATTGCTCCCCTTTCTTCTCTTTTCATAGGCTCTTTCAGCTAGCATCGACCTATCTATTTGTCAGGAGAACTTCCCGCAATTGCTTTTTCCTGCAGCGAGGACGGGGCAGCAACACCCACGTACACACGGCTCGAGGATGCAGATACAGGATCACCAGTTCACTCCTCTTTGATATGTGTTTCGTCATGCGAATTGCTTTCCTACTTGCTCGCCGACACGATGGACTCTTTTTCCGCCCTGGCCATCACCTCCATTCCATCGCTGGCCTTGTCCCCTTTCAGCGATCGCAGACAGAACGGTCACAGCATCCAAGTTGCTCTGGGCCCGCTTGTGACGAATTTCCCATCCGCCTTCTATAGGACGATCTGCAGATCAGCGCGCGGGGCGCGAACAGACTCGGCCGTGCTTGCAGCGTTGGACCCGCCCTTCATCGTCCATGAACTCGAATCGCTGGGTCAGGGAGGCTCATATATCGCGCGCGCGCCTGATCTGGATAGTAGGGGCGTGGGCATGTGACAGTTTCGTAACAATCCGGGCTCGAACCCGCGCAAATGCAGCGGGAGGCGGCGCAACGCGGAGAAGGGGGTGACGAAATCGCGCCTTCTCCCTCTTTCAGAAGTCCACGAGTTAGGAGAGAGAGAGAGAGCAACCGCAAAGCCCGTGACGCCGCAGGAAGAATTGGAAGAGCCCGAGATCTCGTAGCAGATCTTCGTCGGTCAGCCACCCTTCCTCTCCCCGTTCGCGACAGCCGACAAGCGGCCCTGAGACTGCCCCGGCGCATGGCTCTGATGGTGGTGGTGATGGTTATGATGAGCGCGACCGCCGGGACCATTGGCTGCATCGGCTGGAGACACGGGGGATGCGGCGAGGGAAGATTTGGTCTTGCGGTGGCCTTTGCGAGTTGCCTGTTGCCACGTGTTTTGGTTTTGTGCTGCGGCAGGCGGGTTCACCGAGGGTGTGGGTTCGTGGTGGGGCCCGGATGGCTTTGATGCTGGGACACCGTTGGTTTGTGGTGGAGCGGGGACTGCTGTGGTGTTGGCGTTCGGCGAGGACTTGGTGCTGGCGTTTCCGTTGGGAAGGGCAGCGTTAGTCTTTCCGTTTGTGACCAGAATTGAAGGTGCAGCAGTGTTTGGACTTGTGTTTCCGCTGTTGGCTTTCTTGACGTTCGTGCATGCCGAAGTCTGCAGATCGCTGTCTGCAACAGAGCCGGTTCTGCGTCCAGAAGCTGCGCCTGCAGCAGCTTGACGATCCAACGGTGTAATCGGAGTCGCCACCGCGCGTGAAGATGTCAGCGACGCTTGCGATAGAGATCCTGCTCTTGGCGGAGCCGAAGAAGCATTGTTGGCCGCAGTAGCCGACGCAGATTTGGCTCCACCCTTGAACGGCGGAATTACCCATCGGTTGATATCGTGCTTGCGGACCGCAGGCGGCTTGGTCGTCGTTGTCGATGTGTCGTTTTTAGTGGGACGAGGCGCATCAGTATTGCTTTCCTTCGAGGCAGTCTTTGCCGGCTCATGCGATGTGCCATTGACCTGTACTTGTGTCTTCTTCTGGGGAGCTTGGACTGATGATACATCGTCTCCCATCACTTTCGTAAGCTCTGCAGTCGACGATGTAGCTTCTTCGAGATGTCGCTCGGGTCGGGCTCGTGCGCCATGTCTTATCGGCGAATCGTGTGCAAGGTTGGCACCACCGGCTGCAGCGGTGGCACCAGCAGCAGAGAGGTCAAAGGGTCGCGTTCGTGTTGGTGAAGGTGTCAACATCTCGGCGACGGGCGAAAGAAGCGGTGCAGGTATGGCGGGCATAGGAGCTGCAGAGGATGAAAACATCTGAGGTAGGCCCTGTGTACCACCGTACGCATGAGCATCTGTCACTCCGTTCACCAGACCATTCCCACCGCTCACAGGGGACAAGCTGAGGCGAGGACAAGAGGGTTGATTTCCATGGCTACCGTGAGCTGCATCCGGCTTAGCTTGACCGTTGCGTTTCCCTGACGTTGGTGAGACAGGAGATGAGGCCCGTCGGTTATGATCGCGAGGCGTATGAGGATTGTTGTTCCCCTCAGGTGTGGAAGGCTTGGTTGTCGATTCGGCGATGTTCGCAATAGTGTTCTCTGCCTCGTGGGTATGACGTCCATAGCCGTTAACCAGATGTGCATGCTGCTGGGGAACGCCATTCTCCAAGACGCTGTTAGTCTGCAGAGCAGGCTTCGGCATGCTTCGATATGATCCATTCACGATGACAGGGCCCGATATATTCAAGTCAGGCATGGCAGTCAAAGGTATCAGCGGTGGTACATAATCTGTCGGACTCGCGACGAGAGTCGGCGCCTGGGATAGTTGGACATCCTCTGTGGGCACATAGGTCGCGTGATGGCTCAGCGGAGAAGGTGATCGAGAGGCATGTCGTTCACTCAATGACGGCGGAACCAGGTCCGGAGTCACTCGTCGCGTCCGCGGCTGAGGAGGATCTCGAAGAGTCAAAGGCGGAGGCTGCACAGTGCCTTCGGCAGTGTATTGCTGAGGTCCGAGCTGTGGAGACTGCCCGACGTAGTATCCAACATACTCCTTGGGGATGGGGTTCTCGACAGGCTGATGCATCATTCCATAAGGCGGCGAGAAAGCCAGCGGCATGCCTGGTTGTTGTCCAGCAACAAACATATGCGGAGCACGCGCATTCCGATAGGGCATGGGAATGCCACCAGAGACGTCATAGCCGGCTTGTATATACGGCTGCATGTTCATCGCATTTGGTAGAGAGCGACCGGGTTGAGATTGAGACCGACCAGACATTGGTACAACCTCTGGCACCGAGGTTCGCTGCATCTGCCGTCGGAGACCTGGCACTGCAGGCGCCATGGAAGGCGAGGGAGGACTCGTGTTTGCTCCTTCTCGTAATGATCTCGTTTGAGACATGGGCGACGGCGGTAGATATTGTGCAGGGTAGTGGTAGAGGTAGCCTGATAGAAGCGGTGCTGTTTGAGGCGGTCCGTCATACGGTCGTGGGCTCGGCATTCCATTCGTCATGGGCATGTGTCGAGGCGAACCCGTAGCGTCGCCATTGCGAGCTTGCGCTTGCGCTTGTGCATGCTGCACCTGCGCCTGCTGCGCGTGATGCGCTTGCAGTTGTGATCGAAGAGCATCCTGCTGCAGTTGCAGATATTGGTACTGTTGATACAGCTGTTCGTGTAGATTACCTTTGACGCCGAAGTAATCCGAAGGCGTTCCACCAATTGTGGGACTCGCGAAAGGAGGTAACATGACTCGTGAGTTGCTGAAGACTGCACCGCTCGATGCTCTTCGGTTTCCGTTCCGTTGCGCCGACTGATTACGATTGTTCTTCCGTGATCGGTTGCCCTGATTCGTTTGACGATCTGACTGGCCAGATTGAGACGCACTCCGGGTCAAGGTCGGCTTCGGCTTTGGCGCTGGCCTTTGAAAGACGTGCTTCTCTTCCGGAGGGAATTCGTACTGCTCGCAGCATTTTTCCAGCTGAAGTCCATCTGCCAAGAGATCAAACGCTCTTCGAATCTCCCCATGAATACCATGCCAAGCGTAATCATCGGCAGAATTGCCCAAATTTCGATTGATGGTGAATGGCTCTTCCACGCATAATCGTTTTTGTGCCTCCTTGTCGTGGTAATTGCTTGGCTCCCATCCCTTTTCTTGTCTTGAAACTAATCGCCCTTCCCTGACCGACACCACACTTTTGGAATATTCGAACTCGTATCCGTAGTGGCGAAAGAATTGAAAGAGAAGCTCGCCTAGTGACTCCTCGTTCTCGTTTCCATGCGCCTTCAAGGCTTCAACATCGTCGGCAAAGGGGGCTGTTTCACCGCTGTCGGACGGAAGACGACAGTCTTCTGATTTTTGCAATGATGGTAATAACGAAGGATTCCGTCTTTGGAGGAAGCTGATGATCATACATATCCACGTATATGAGCTGATTGTGCCTCCGAATGCTACATAGAAACAAAGTTAGCAATCTTCAGATGATGTATCAAAGTGTCTACGTCGGATCTCTGCCTTACCAGCATCATTGAGGATACGCTGTTTCGTCCAGTATTTGATAATCTTTGCAAGAGGTCGTACTCGATCATCCAATTGGACATATGTCTTGATCATTTTCGTATTTTGTAGTGCAAGGGGATTGTTGACATTCAAATCTGCAGCGAGCTGTAATTCAGGGTCCCAACATTTCACAATCGGCACCTTGGCGGCTGCTCGACAGACAATCTTTTCCATGCCGTCTGTGTAAGAGTCAGTAATTGTGGCCCGCCGGTATCTCATTCGATTCCGCCCCACTTACGTTTATGGAGTAACAGAGCCAGTGAATGCATCGACTCGAGCTTCTTCAGCGGCGTCGTGATGCAGATGTCCACGTCTGAATCCGTCGAGCTGAGCAAGTTCCCTGACGACCCAAACACATTGACGCTGATGTCCTGGCCCGGCCATTCCTCGTTCAAGATGCGTTCCAATTTCTGCACCAATTTCGCTCGGTTCTCTTCGCTCTCCTGGGACGGCAGTAACCGGTCATACAGCTCACGCATGTCACCACTCAACTTTTCTCGCTCATCTGGTGTCAAGGTCTTCTTCGGTTCCTCCTTGGGCGGCCCTAATTCCTCATGCCCGCCGTCCACGTACGGTATCCTTCGTTTCCTAATCTCATCGCCCGTCTCGAATTTGCATAATGTGGGTGCGCCGGCTTTCGCTGGAGGACGGCCCAAGGCTTCGGAAGCCACCGATTTGGGAGAATGACTGTTGACACCTCGTCGAGGTGATGGCGATCGTGAATGGAAGCGGTAATCGTGGGCCTTTTGGTGAGGGGTGGAGGGAACTGATGTTGAGCCATGAGAATGGAGTGGCGGGCGTGTTGCGGTTGGAGATGTGGAGGGTTGTTGAGCATGGGTACCAGCCATGATCGAGGATATGATGATTGTCGCGTCGAGCAGTCGGTGCCTCCTGCTATTGATTCCTGATGTGCCTCCGCTTGAAAACTCGCTCGATCTCTGCGCTGGACTTCTCCTCGATTGTGTCACCAACAGGGACACACAGTTGACAAGGTTGTCGCTGTGCTTCCCATTGGGTGCAGAGCGACCGGTCGAGTCGCAAGCGACCGAAGAACAGAAACAGAATACACCTGCAAACTCGGCTGATGGGAGAGGCTTTTGAGATACGATTCTCGACAATGGTGCCTGTGGGTGGTGGAATCTATGTCCGGTGGCGAATTTCTGGGAAGTGATAGTCTCGTCTCAGGCGAGATGACCAGGAATGTATGGTGTAGGAGAAGGCTGTCCAAGATTGGAGACGAAGCGTTCGTGTGAGCGAAGGTGGGAGTGACACTGAGTAGCACTGTAGAAAGGACCCCGTATGCAGATTTGTGACGATATACTGTACTGCACAGAAGCGACGGCGGCGGCGGGAAGGGCGGAGGTGCTTTCGCAACCAAATCAGCTCGCAGGGTAGGATTGAATTTCCTGGACAATTTTGAGAGGTTCCGCTTGGCGAGCGCGCAATGACAGATGAAAGTGAGGATGATGAGGTTGAATTGTGGTCAGTGGTTCCGTTAGATGTGGTAGTAGCAAGACGCGGGCGGTCATCAGTGTGTCAGGATTGATGATACAATACCTGGGAATGCAGCAGAACAAGTCGCACAGTAGTATTATTATCGTACTGTGCAGTACAGTCGCTTGCAACACGGTCGGTACGGTATCTTCGCCCCTTTGGTGGTGTGTGCCCGCCGCCTGGAGGGTAATCAATTGGGTGGTAGTCTAATACTAAATTACAAACAGAGCGGCGGCGGCGGGTTCGGACGATGCCTAGGTAATGATACTGGACTGGATCTCCGTCATCGAGTGTTTCTGCATTCCCTACGCTCTCCAGAAGGACGCTCCATCGCGCTGGGTATGTGTAGATGACGAGGCCTTCCTCACGCTACCACTGTAGGTATACTAACATCACCAATGCTATACATCACCGTGATGAATACCAAATTCCCAGGTTGACTTGGGAATTGAGATCTAAAATACTCCGCTACATCTGCGTGACCCTGGAAATGTTCACAGTAGGTCCGAGCCGAATCGGCCGCCGTTGCAAAACCGCCAAGCAGGGTGCTGTGGAGAGAGGAGGGCGGGCAGATGGGCAGATGGGCAGAAGGCGAAAGGGCAGGACAGTGGGAGAGAGATGCCGATGAACAGCGAGAGTCTCCTGTCTGCAGGACAATTCCGCGCGGAATGTCAGCAATCCGGGCAACACGGCATCCCTCATCTCGTCTCACGCGAGCGGACGTTGTCATGATTGCCTAGGTGTTGATGGGCGATCTTGGCCGGTCGCAAAGGAACTCTACGGGTGACACACGACTCCGATCGAATCTCCAAAACGTCTCGGGCGTTAGAACACTTCAATCGTCGTCGGCATCGACATTGATTCCAGGAATAAACTTACCACCATGGTCCCGCGATATGCGCGGCTGATGATAGAAATCGTCCCTTCAGGACGCCGCAAAGAACCGACGCTCAGCGAATGTATATTTATGGTCGATCGGCCAACCAGGACGACCCGCCCTGCCGCAAAGCAAAACACATGTCTTGTCCCACGCCTGCCGCCTGGAAGGACGAGACGAAGGCATGCCGTATACGGTCATACGCCCCGAGGAAATCCTCCACGCCTTTCGAAGGAGGAGGCTGAACAGGATTTCATCCGATTCGTAACGATGCGAGACACGTTTACGACTCAGCCTGGGCGGGCGAAGCAGCGTTGCGATCGCGATCGGCCAATTTGAGACATGTTGTCAAACCAGAAAACCCGCAGAGGTCCCCATCGCAGATAATAAATGTAACGTCATCGTATGAACCATCGGGAGATGTTCCATGTTTCATCATCGTCGTGCAATGGCTTTGTGAAGACCAAACCGGGACCACTGTACGATACACAAAAATAGCACCGACCACGCCAACTCGTATCCATCCTGCATTCGGAGCTTTCCATCCTCCCAGCGGTGACTGTGGGCTTCCAGCGATGACTGCCGATGACGAGGACTTCTGTACCATCAGATCCAGCTACCAAATGGCCTACCATTAATGACCAGCGACGAACGAAAATCTCAGAGACATCGCATCGAGCAGTATCAACAGTCCCACGGCAATCAAAGGCAGCAGGTTTTATCGTGCAACATGATCGAACTTCAAGTCGGGAAAAAGGGTTCCATTCCAAGATGCAAGGGAAAGAAATAAGGTTGTGCTTTGTGGGAATGGGGGAATATCGCCCGCTCAACGGTCGTGCATCGTCGCTGGCAGATAATAATCAGGGTACATTACGCCAGCACGCGTGCACTGCCTGACCGATGATCTTACCTACCTAGGTAGGTATATTTCATCGCCCCCCCGACCAGTTGATAATGGGGGCATTTCCCCGATTTCCATTTCCATACTCCCTCTGTATGTGCAAATATGGATGATGAGGAGCAATCTCATCACCATAGATGACAATAGAGGAAAAGCCCATCACAGGAACAACAAGTCCAAACATCAACGTCGCAACACGATACCCGCCCAAAGAACGATCCTCCAGGCGCTCCGCTCCAGTTTATACATACCCGCAATTCCTCTCTAGGTCACACAGAGTTTCTCCACCGCCTCCTTCGTCCTCCCACTCCACTCCTTCACCAGTCCCGCAACCTGCTTGAATTCCGTCCTCGCCGCATCCCTCGTGACTTCGTACAGCCAGCTCTCCGACGTCGTGACCACGGCGCCCGCCTGTCTCAGCCTCGCCAACGCGACATTTCTCTCGCCGGGGTTGCAGCTCGAGACGCCGTCCGCGAGCACGTAGACGCTGTGGCCGGCGCGCAGGAGATCTAGGGTGGTCTGCGTGACGCAGATGTGGGTTTCGATGCCGAGGATGGCGACGGCGTGTGCTTCCCCCGTCGAGGACGACGGTGAGAGGGACTCGAGGGCGGATCGGACTTCGGGCGTCCACATTGAGAAGAGCGTTTTGTCGACGTGCGCGAGGGTTTTGATGCTGGAGGCATCGTTGTCGTCTTCGCGGTCGAGGTTCAGCTCGCTGCAGGTCTCGCCGAGTTTGGCCCGGAGTTGGGTTGTCGCCACGACGGGGATGTTGAGGATTTGACTTGCTTTCAGGACCTTTTGGGTTGTCGCGAGGATTGAAGGAAATTCGTGGATTGGATTGCGGAATTTCTCCTGGATGTCACAGACGCTGTTGTGGGAAGATCACGGTGAGTTAGGAGGTCTTGAGGAGACTGCCCGTGGGTGTGAGGCTTTGTGGGAGACGTACAAGATGATGGGTCGGACTGCGATACAGAAAAGGTGAGCGATGAGTGAATTTCATAGGCGCGAGGTGATCATGAACGGTGGTCATGTTTCATATCCTTGGAGGGCGCGTGTGTGTACATACCGCCCGCGCCGATTGGACCTGCCATATTGTGGACTCGACGATGAAAAGTGGTCAAGAGAATCGACGGAGGTCGAACAGGTCTGGAATGTAATGATACGAGGCGATTGGACGCCAACACAATACGTGATCGCGTGACAGTATACATACGATGATAGATGAGGCTCGTCAGCATTTCACCGACCAGCATACAAACTTGAAGCCCTCCAGCTCTGGTGTAGGCATGCAATGCAGTTTACGCAGACGGAGAAGAGCTCACCCCGCATGACGACAATCCACGCTGGGGAATGGCTTGAACTTGTTCCTGGATGCGGAGAAAGCTCATATGCCAAATCAGCCACAACCCGCATGAAATCTGCAGGTCCTGTTCATCAATCTGGTTGTATGCCTGTATGATGATGTATTTTGAGGCCGACTTTGGAGCTCCCTTTCACGGTACAACCATGGCCTCGTTCTGCGTGCAGCCACGTTGGGGAACTGCGAGTCGTGAGCCATCGGGCGTGTCCTGGCCTGATGAAGTGCCAGCACCTTAACGACGGAAGCAAAATGGACAGACTGTAGATCAGCCGCGTCGCAGCAGATGGACGAACTCCGGATTGAATCAACAAGCATTCGGCTTGTTCTATCAAGGAGTTTTGATTATGAGAGCAGACGATCCTTGGGCTTAGGTCGAGCAGGCAAGCTCCTCAAGGCTGTCCGATCGTCGACAACATGTATACAGCGGCGCGACCGCCTTTCAGTGCGCCAGTCAATACGATCGCCGACCCGAAGGCATATTGCGACATGCAAAATACATGTACATTGTACAGTACTTCATCACTTTGATGGCTTCCGACTACTGTAGTAACAATAAATTGCAGTCGTGGGCAACACGGGACTGTGGACACTACCGCACTGTATACCTCGGAGCTGGTCGGCACATGCCCGTTCAGACACATGTCAATCCTCCAGTCTCCGCTAAAATCCCTCCCGCTCTCCACAGAACCACGCACACGCACACGAGACTCGCCTGATGAAAGGGAGTTTCTCCGCCCCTTTGTTTTTGGTTCTGGGGCCATCATCATCAGCCGATGCATTCCACGACCGAATGAGTCGGAATGATGCAGTACTGTAACAACAGCCGCACGGGTCATTTCCTCTCTCCCCACACGCATCGACAGGTCACCGACGTCGGCGGTCCACAAACACAATCTCCCATCTCCATCACACGTGACCACCCAGCTGAACATTGCTCGAGCCCTAAAATGCCATATTTCGCGGTGCTTCTCCCGGCGAATGGGCTTCACCCGAGGCATCTGATAACGGCAGATCGATCGTCATTTCGAAGCCAACATGAAATCACAACGCCGCACGCGTGTTTCTTTTCGCATCTGTGCATGACTGTGCCCGACTCTGGACTCGGATCTCATCGCGCCATCGGGCAGAGTACCCGAGACTCATATACAAATGCCATTGAAGACTGACGTTCGCCTGGACTGTAGTTCGGACTCGTACATCACTGTTCCATATCCATTATCTTTAGCGCATGCTTTGTCAAAGAGACGGAGGCAAGCCAGTGGTTCATCGGGAGAAGAGTTCAGTGAAAGAGGCTGTCATTTCGATCTCCGGCCGCCAAGCAACTCCCCAAGGAGCTGCTGAAGTTTATTAGCATAGCAGTACTGGCCTCATGCAAAGCTGCAGATCTTCAGATGCCCGAGAGCCACGACATTTGAAGAATTGGGATTGCCGATGGTCGCCGCAGATCCACGACACTGATGCGAGGTGTCTGGTAAGGTGATACACATTGCATCTCTGTTCAGATGTCCCCCATCGTGGGAGGAGAGTCTCATGAGGATATATTCTCGAACTGAAACCAAAACAATCGGGAAAAACGGTTCGGGAAGACGATGATTTGTTTTATCAGATGTGTTCACCCCATCAACGGGCGGGTTTTCCTCCCATATTTCAGCTACTAGGGCAGCTACGTAATTTGGGGGGGCAGCGGTTCCTCGGCCTGGGACAAAGTTCACGTCCGGGTTCGGCTTTGCGAATTTGGCCGCGTGTGTGCAGTGTGAGCAGTGTGAGTGAGTGCAGGTGTCTAGGAAATCCTCCCTCCCTCTGTTTCTCTCTCCCCGCGGTAACCTAATGGCAATGGCAATGGCAATGGCTGGCCTGGGCTGGCTTCTGGCCGAGCTTGCTTCCTCCTACTGCCGAACGGGCGTCACGAGCTCGTTCTTGGGTAGAGGTGTGCGTGCGTGAGTGTGTGTGTGCGTGTGCGTGAGCATGCGACAATTTTCGAAACCCGATTCTCTCTCGGCCGGCTCATAAGGTTTCTCCTCTTTCAATTCTTATTCTTAACTCTTTCGCCGCTTCGTTCCAAGTCTGTGACTGTCTCATAATTCATCATTCTTATCCTCGACCGCGTCCTGTTCCCGCGCGAGTCCTGTCGTGTCGCCGTACCTCTTCACCTCTCCACTCTTGCTTGGATTTGCAGCGCGAGCGTCATTTGTACAGCAGCAGCAGCTTGGACTTACGAGGAAAACTGTACAAGAGAAATAGTCGCCCTCTGTGCTTCTAGCCGAGTATAAATATCCCGACGACAGCAATACCCCAAAAGCGTTGATCGCGACTTCACAAAACCTCTCACACCATGTCGAAGCCTCAGAGAAAGCCGGCCTCGGCTGCGACCAACTTGATCGGTGAGTTTGCCGAGAAGCTCTGTGGAGCCTCCAGCAGAATCCCTGCCATAGCAGCAAGAGAAGGGAACCAGCGACAATGGCACGAGACGAAATGCTCAGAGAATATAGATTGCTAACATTTCTTTCCCTCCCGCAGCTGGTGGTGCCGCAGGTATGATGGAGGCACTGGTCTGCCACCCTCTCGACACGATCAAAGTCCGCATGCAGCTCTCCCGACGAAACAAAGCCGGCGGCAAGCGTCGCGGCTTCATCGCTACCGGTGTCGACATCGCCAAGAAGGAGACTCCCCTCGGCTTGTACAAAGGTCTCGGTGCCGTGCTCACAGGTATCGTCCCAAAGATGGCCATCCGATTCACCAGCTACGAGTGGTACAAGCAATTGCTCGCCGACAAGGAGGGCAAGGTCGCCGGTAGCTCCAACTTCATCGCCGGTCTCGCCGCCGGTGTCACCGAAGCCGTCCTGGTCGTCACTCCCATGGAAGTCGTCAAGATCCGTCTGCAGGCGCAATTCCACTCCATGGCCGACCCGCTCGACGTGCCAAAGTACCGCAACGCCGCCCACGCCTTCTACACCGTCCTGAAGGAGGAAGGTCCCGGTGCGTTATGGCGTGGTGTCTCCCTCACTGCTCTCCGCCAGGGTACCAACCAAGCCGCCAACTTCACCGCCTACACCGAGCTCAAGGCCATCGTACAGAAGAACGCCGCCGACCCGAACGCGCCGCTCCCCGCATACACCACCGCGCTCATCGGTCTGGCATCCGGTGCCGTCGGTCCCTTCTGCAACGCACCCATCGACACCATCAAGACCCGTCTCCAGCGCACACCCTCGCAGCCCGGCCAAACCGCCATGAGCCGCATCATCAACATTGGTTCCAACATGTTCAAGCAGGAGGGTCCCCGCGCCTTCTGGACCGGTATCACACCCCGAGTGGCCCGTGTGGCGCCGGGTCAGGCTGTCACGTTCGCTGTGTACGAGTACCTGCGGGAAATTCTGGAGAAGAAGAGGGAGCAAATTCCGGGAAACAAGTACGAAGAGTGATGATTCTTTTTTTTTTCTCTGCTTTCACATATCTCATTCCATTCCTATCTTTGGTGGACATTTCGTTTTATTCCCTCTCAATCTCTCTCTGTTCTGGTTCCAGATTTTCATCTCCCGCTTGAAGTGTGGAAACACTTCTTACTCTCGATTTGCTCTGCTGCAGCTCTTCTCCTCTTCGCAAAGTCTACCTCTCACAGCGAGATGACGTAACACGAGGCAAGAGCTGGGGCAGGGCAGATCCATGGTGAAAGAACGCACCCATCGCGCCTGTCTGAATGCCTTGTCACACAAAACCCCGAAGAATCAGCGAACCATAGGCTGATTATGTTCTCTTTCCCCGAACTTGTAGGAACGAAAAACTGGCGCTGTAGAAAGCCGATCCACCACACCTTCCAAAAGACTCCCGAAACCACCCGGGCACCCATTCTATGCCATCATCAGTGAAATCTCCTGCATCCCGATCTCCCACAACGTCCTAAGAGGAATACCACCCGCGCGCAAGCCATCGTTTATACAGACTCCCAGCAATGGAGCAGCAGCAGCAACAGCAAAAACCGCCCTACTTCGTCCTCTCATCGCCGCAAAACACCAGCATGCGTGCCAAAATATAGATATTACCACCCTCTCAACCTGCGCGCCAGCATAGCGCAGCGCAGCGACCGCGACATTCATTCCAGCACCAATGCCCAACCGTCATTCCATCGCGGCCGGAAGAAGACCGAATCCGAAGAATTAGAGAAAGAGACGGCGGAGAAAAGCCAAGAGGCATATTCGCATACTATACAGACATATACACACACATACAAGCATATATACTGCCAAAATTATAGATTCCTTGATACTGTATCACTCGGATCATTCACATCATTGATTAGCATTCTATTCCGTGAGCTGGAGGGCTTTCGTCGAAACCAGATCAGACGACGGAGGCAATGGCAGGGAGGAAATGAACGTGTCTCCCTTCCTTTGGACCATGGCGAGACTTTTTCTTCCTGGTCGCTGCCGGAAGCAGTAGCTCTCTCTGTCTCTCTCTCTCTCTCTTTTCATCGAGCTGAATCAATGTCGCTCTCGGTTCTGGCCCATCCGCATTGGCAGTGTTGTCACCTGTATCCTGGCGCTGTGCCGATACGGGATATTTGGGAATCAAATAGCTGCTGCCTGCAACGTTAGTCGGAGCTCTTACGGCTAAGTCTTTATTCGGATTTGATAATGGGGCAATCATGAAATATCAAACTGAGATTCTCCGTGGTGCCTCGACTAGGGAAATTCTCCGCTGAGGAGAATCCCTGCTCTGCCGCGGCTCTCACCACGTCGCTCGATCAACGTCTGTGTCCCGCCAATTTGCAATGTAAGTAAACCTGATATCGTGTTCAGTCAAAGCGATGAGATTTCATGCTCGCTTTTCCTTTTCCCTCTCATCGGAAGATCAAGAAAGATGGTACATCAGGAGGAAAAGCACGTGCCTGATCAGCGACACCACGTGTGATAGCGGACGCGGAAGAGGACCCTGCTTGGTCACCCGGCACGTGTGCACGCGCAATCCCCGGCCCCACGCTTGTGAGGAACCAGGCCGATCTCTCTCTCTGCCCGCGTGCGCAGGCGACGATTCGTTGTGTTTATCTGGATGCTCACGCGCGCAAGGCGGTCTTGTCGTCGTCTTCCTGTTCCACATCATCTTTCTTCGTTCATCATCCTAGACATATCATTTTGATCACTTGCGCAGTGACTTTCTCGTGGCCGCCGAGCGTTGATGCCGCAGCTGATAGAACGTTGGATATACACATAAACCGGTCGAGGGTCATATGCGGAACCTCAGCTGCCTTGCGGGATAAATCTATCTGCGAATAGATGAGATACCATTGAGAGGCAGTACTTATCTCTTCTATCCTGTGAACTTTGGGTAGAGACCCAGACAGCTTCGATAATGGACCATCTCCGGCAACGCTTACGTCAAGATCCGGCCTACGAGCCTCTACCAACAGACTCCGAAGATGCTGCACTCAACGATACCGATGTCTCCTTCGAAGACCCGCCAGCAACATCTCAACTCCTCGAGGGGGCAGTCCCTACTCATCCCTTCTCCTGGATCGAATATGCCATCTTTCTCCTCCTCGGGATCTCCATGCTATGGGCCTGGAATATGTTCCTCGCCGCAGCACCCTATTTTCAATCGCGATTCGCCCGCCGACCCTGGCTACTCTCCAACTTCCAAGCCTTCTTCATCAGCATCTCGACGCTGACCAACCTGGTCTCCATGCTGGTCCTCACGCGCATGCAAGCCGGCGCCTCGTATCCCCGCCGCATTCTGATCTCCCTGGCGCTGAACATGGTCATCTTCGCGGCATTGGCGGCCTCGACGGCCTTCCCCCATGCGGACCCGGAAGTGTATTTCGTCTTTGTCATGGTGACGGTGGGCGGTTCCGCGTTGGCGACAGGCTTCAGTCAGAACGGAATCTTCGCGTATGTGGCGGGCTTCGCGCATCCGAGTTATATCCAAGCGATCATGGCGGGTCAGGCTGTGGCGGGTGTCTTGCCGCCTTTGGCCCAGATCATCTCGGTGGCGTTGGTGGATTCCCGCAAGACTGGCCGTGCGGTGCCCGGTCTGTCACTTGGGGACGAAGGCGATGAACCTGCCGTCGATTGGCATGCGGCGATGGCGTACTTCCTCACGGCAACGGTCATCTCCGTCGTGACGCTGCTGGCGTTCCTATATCTCGAGTCTCGCACACGTCCGATTTCACTACGTCTGCTGCCCTCTGCGCCTCTGCAAGATTCCTACCACTCCGCCACCGGCAACAACATCAGCACCCCCGCCGCCCTCGTCACCGACGAAGATGTCGACCCAGAATCCTCCTCCATCAACACCAACACCGACTCCAAAGAGATCCCCCTCCGCCACCTCTTCAACAAGCTCTTCTGGCCCGCGCTCGCCATCTTCCTCGTGTTCGCGGTGACCATGGCAATGCCCATCTACACGCCGCGGATCCTCTCCATCACATCGCCGTCCCCAGCAACCACGACCACGACCACAACCTCCCAACCCTCCCTCTTACGCCCAGGAAGTTTCATTCCCCTCGCCTTCCTCTTCTGGAACGCCGGAGATCTCCTCGGCCGGCTTCTCCCTACGATTCCCGTTCTCTCACTCATCCACCGACCGCGACTCATCACGGCCCTCGCGGTCGCAAGACTGGGGTTCGTGGGGCTCTACTATCTGTGCAATCTGGACGGCAACGGAGCGGTGGTGTCCAGTGACTTGTTCTATCTGGTCGTCGTGCAGGGCGGGTTCGGGCTGACGAACGGGTTTCTCGGCACGACGTGTTTCATCAGTGCGAACCTCTGGGTCGAGGCCCACGAGATGCAGGCTGCTGGGGGCTTCATGGGTCTGGCGCTGGTGCTGGGCTTGACGGCAGGGAGTCTGGTCACGTTCGCCATCCCCGGCGCGTGAGATCTGGGCTGGAGGGAAGGGATTCGGTCATATTTTGGCGTTATTGGGGGAACTACAGGGACAGGTAGGGTTTTATTGATCCTGGGATTTCGAACGAGGATTTCTTATGCTTTGGAAGACAGAGCATTCCCACCGGGGTTGGAGTTCTTGTTCGGGGAGAAAGCTGGCGGTTTGGGACGATGCCACGGTATGAATGCTGTTCCTTACGAAGGCAATGAGAATGAACGGGTCCAGGTTAGAATTCTTTGTATCGTTCGAAAGATACCTACACAAGAGAGCACGACTCTCGATCGGTCGAGCCCGGGGCATTCCGCAACTTCCCAGATCACGGGCTCTCGTGCGGTCACGAACTTGTGAGACATCCAAGCGTAATACTGGGATCCCTTTGGAAAAATGCTCCCGCGTTTCGCTCAAGTCCAGCGCGAGAAAAACCTTGTGCAAGAAAAGAAAGAAAAAAGAGAACACAGCAAGAAGAGTTCACTTTCAAATTTACAAAATTGCAAATATGGAATGACTGGAAAGGAAAGGAAAGGAATAAAATTGCGTCAATCTCATCGGAAGAGCAAAACATTATACACGCAACACCTGGGACGCACCTCTCACGTCGTCCCTCCACCTCCACCTCCAACAGCCGCCACGATCAGCCCATCGTGAATCTCCAACTTCCTCAATCGCGCCCTCTCCACCTCCGTGATCTCGTCATCCCTGGGCGTAACGATCCTGAGCGATCTCAAGCGGGGCAATGCGCGGACCTCGGCGACCAAATTCGGCGTCAGGACCGCCCAGCTCCTAGGCTCGATATATCGGATGGAAAGCAGCCTCTCGACGACCAGGGTTTCAAGGTTCGGGAAGGCGCGCAGCCGCTGCATCTCCGTGAGCAGCTCCGCGGCGCTGGCCACGCAGACGGCCAGGTGCGCGAGGCCCTCGCGGCGCCGCGGCGACACGCTGTGGATGAAGAGCGCGGGCTGCAGGAGCCGGAGCCGGTTCAGCCGGAAGAAGAGCGCTTCGGCTTCGTGGTGCGTGCGCCGGCAGACGGCTAGCAGGGCGAGGACGCTGTGGGGCGGGTACTGCGACCGCGACGGGTTGTGCAGGAGCCGGGTGTAGCTTGCTTGGCTTGGCGGGAGGGTGAGGATCCGCTCGTAGATTTGCAGGCGCAGCTCGACGGGGAGGTTGAAGAAGCGGGATTGGGACTGCGGGTGGATGGGGATTATGCGGGGCGGTGCCGGGTCGGTTGTTGATGTTGGGGGACCTGTGGGTTGTTCCGACGACGGGGTTCCTCGTGGTTTGATCTCGAGGGAGAAGCGGCCGATTCGGGTCCCGATGTGGAAACTTAGATATGGTGCTGGCGAGGACAACGCACTGGGTCCTTGAGCCAAGCTTTGTAATGGTGGCCTCTGCGTAGGTGTTGTTGATGAAGATGGTCGATTGGGTACTTGCGACGGGATTTCCACGAGCCAGTCATCTTCGTCTTCGAGACCGCTAGGTTCTGTTCGAGGGAATGAAGATGACATGTGTCTGATGACCGAGATTTTGGAGAAGTCGGGTGTCGCGATTGAAACGAAGTCGTCGGTAACTTTCTAGAACCAGCTTAAATGATGGACTCTTATCGTCTGTCGTTGCGTTCTTGGAATCGCAGAATTCGAAAATGGATACAAGTCTCTTAAGACCACCCGGGAAGGGAACATAATCGATATGTAAGCAAGGATAAGCGGGCAGAAGCTATAGCTCTCTGTATCGTCGATCGGTCACTGCGAGGCGCGGTTGTGGCGTCTGCTCAAATCGAAGCTGTTGCTCGATCATTCGCGATAAGAGCTCGATTGTGACTGTCAAGCATGAAAACCCGTCTCCTGCAACGCATTTCCGGCACAAGGAGACGTTGGATGACGCCCAAGATTCGAGAAACGTTTGTCAGAATCATGATATTCGCCATCAGAGCGTTACGTGATGTGGAAATCTTCTCAAACGAAGTTGCGCGAAAACCGCCGTGGTCCTCTCTCGTTGAACTTGACAGAGGTCGGTATTGAAGAACCTTTCACCCAGGCCATCTGCCTCTCAATCCTCGTTCCGGTCTTTACGTCTTCTTCTTCAGTACGACTTGGGCACGACTTCAGGTTCTAGCGTCTCTTCGAACTCGTGATGACCATCCCGCCCACGACAAGCAAAGCTCGGCGAGCCCGATATCCGTCATGTGGCGGAGAGACAACATGCGAGCTCATCTAGCCGAGAGATCAAATCGGGAGACATGGCGCTCGAGGCCGTTTGGAATATTGTGGTGATCGAGGATTCTTACGTTCTTTTCCATTCAACTGCGCTCTCCTGCAGTCAACATCGCACGTTCGCGATGCTCGAAGTCGAGGATGCTGCGGGTTCGCGTAAATCGTGTGATGTGGCATTGGGTCGCTATATACATCTGCAGTTAATACTCCATTATACACACACGAGTAGATGAACGTTGCAGTTACACCTGTATTATCAGAAGCTACCTGCCCAGGCGGGCATTGTGGTTTACATACAATATCTCGCTTGATAGCCCGAGCCCCAAACGAAGCCACGGCAGACCCGGCTCGGGCTGGTTCGATGGCGCCCGTCCGCCTATTAAATTGGGGCGGGACCCAATGAACTTGCGGTGTACTGTATATACCTAGGTGCAGCAATACTGCCCATTTGGCGGGTGTGGCTGGGCCGCCAGCGCAACTCCCGCCCGAACTCGCCGGGTGAAGGAAAGGAAAGAAAGGAAAAGAAAGGAACAAACGTCATCAAACCCCGGAGATGATGGCGCTGCATTGGTTGCGACACTAACATCTTTAGGCCTTTCCGCCGACCAGCCAAACTTCCCTGTCACTCCTGTCCACCCTTCAAAAGGATTCGCCAGGGGGCAGTGGTTCGTAATTATGCCTTGGAATGTGGTTAGGCCTGCATTCTCGTAAATTGACCGTATCGTGTTATCGAAAGGGAGATTTATTGTGTGGTAATTCTCCCTGTGTTTCTGCAGTGGGGCGGTCAAGGAGGCGTGGAAAAGGGTGACGGGGTTTGTCGAGTCTAGCGATGCAGGCCATTTCGTCAATGATTGTCCTCCAGCAAATCGGTCCCTGAGCTAATTATTTCATAGCACCTCTGCCACAGGATGGAATCGCCAGGTCAGCTAGCGGTCTGGCAAGGCTAAATCCTAGGTAATAATAATAATAACCGTGTCATTGTTTTATCTGAGCCAACTCGCCGCAAAGTCAACGACATCATCGTCGGTCTGACATTGTTCGTCGAGAGTGTGTCGAATCCACAATATATCGGTGCTCAACTCCGGCACACTACGCATTTATACAGTACACCAGAGCGAGCCTCCCTGCGCGACCTGATATTCCGCTGACATGGCCGCGACATCGGCATAGAGCGTCCTGTCGTGATCTGGACGGACAGGAATGTCAACTAACATATTTTGCCATTTATTAATATAATCCCGAGGACGCAATGGCGGACCGCACGCCGACCGCGTCGGACTGGCGTCACTTCCAGGAACGGCCTGCATCGCGACAGTCGTTCAGCGGCCATAGCATGACCGCCAGTGAGGCATCCTTCCAAACCGCCTGGACGGAGCGGCCAGGTTCCTCTCACTCGACTCGCAGTTTGGCTCGCGACATTGACCACATCAAGACCTTGATCACCCGCGCGCAGCAGTCGCATCAACGTCATAGTGGCTCCAGCTCACCGCCGAGTCCCGTGTCTGCAGTGTTTCCTGGCGGTGCTGGCACCTCCTTGCCTGCTCCGGGTGTGCCACAAAAGAATATCATCACAGCTCAGGTGTTTCGACGCAACCGCGCTGTGTCGTCGCCCGTCGTCGACTATGCACATATCTTCCACGAGCTCGATCAGCTGCGAAAACGGATCCGAAACGATCAGCAACAATTACAGTTGCAACAGGCCGAGTTTCGACAGGAGCAAAATCGTTTCCAGGAGAAGCGGTCGCGTGTGACGCGTGCTGTGGACCCGGACACTTCTGAGACAGAATTGGACACTGAAACCGAGGGGAGCGACTCCGACGAGCAGGCGGAGGAGCTCGTCAAGACGCGCGAGGAGTTGGCAAGTTCGAGACAGCATGCTGAAGACCTCCTCGAGGCCGCCGAGCGTCGATACGATGCGTTGCTGGGAGAGAAAGAAAAGCTGGAAGGCTCAATCCATACTTTCCAACAGGAAGCGGAAGAGGCTACATCCACCCGGGATGATGCACTCGCTCGAATCGCATTTTGGGAGACATACAAAGCGGATCTGGTCGAGGAAAGGGAGAAGGCTAGAGCACCGCTTCAGAAAGAGCTGGATTTGGTCAAGTCAGAGTCTGCCAAGCTCCAGGCCGAGTTGTCTGCCTACCAGGCACAGATCGCGGCGTATAAAGACGAGCTGTCATCATTGCGACAATCGAAGGATTCGCTGGCCCAAGAATTAGTTGCAAAGGAGTTGGAACTGCAAAAGGAAAAGCAAGCCACAACCACTAACTTGGCCGAACTCGAAAAGAAACATGGCGGGATCTTGCGCGAAGCCACGACCTCGTTCGAAGGCCAGCTTGCCAAACAACAGGTACAATCCGAGGAGAATGCTCGTCAATTGGAGGAGAAGCACGGGAAGGTCCTCGCCGAACTCCACGACACTCATTGGAAAGCCATCCAGGCAACCTTGGGCCAGCAACAGGGGCAAACACGCGACCGAAATGCATTGCATTCCAAAGAACTCGAGCGCTTGGTGGGCGAGCACACGCAAGAGCGTGAACGTTTATCTACCAACCACCAAAACGAGATTCGCCGGGTCCGGGACGAAGCCGAAACCAAACTTCAGACAGCCCTCTCAGCAGCCACTGAAAGCGCCGCCCGGGAACTCACCCACGCCTTACGCGAACAACACGTACGCGACTTGCAGGATGCCGACGCCTCAATCGCTCGTGCGGCTGCGGAGGCGGAGGCTACTGCAGCTGCACGACATGCTTCCCTGCAGTCCGAACACCAGGAGGCGCTCGCTTCGTTGACAGCGCAAATCCAGCAGAAGGACTCGGTGCTAGCGGATAAGGATCGGCGTTTTGCGGATCGTCAGAAGGAATTTCTTGACGAATTAGACACGCAGCGTTCCAGTCACCAAACAGCCCTGGCGAAGGCAAAGGCGGAGTTGGAGAACAAGATCGAGGAATTGAAGACCGATCGCGACAGCGCTCTTGCGAAGGCGAAAGAGGAACAAGAACGCAGCATCGCCGACCTTACGACTACTCATGAGCAAGTGAAGGCCGAGCAGGACCGCAGCATCATCGAGTTGAAATCGGTTCACGACGCATCACTCGCCAGCCTCAAAGACGCACACGAGCGAAGCGTAGTTGAGCTCAAGTCCACTCACGAGTCAGATTTCGCCACCCACAAGAGCGCACACGAGCAGTCTCTCAACGAGCTGCGTGCGCAACTTGACGAGCAGTCTCGTCTTGCAAACGAGCGTCATCGCACCCTGGAAGATTCTCACAAAGACGCTTTGTCGCAAGCCGAAGCTCGCCACGAGGAGAACCTCGCATCTCTACGCGCTCAACATCAGACTCAACTCGAGACCGAGTCAAAATACGCCCTCGAGAAACTTTCAATTTTGGCCGCCACGCATGACAGCAACGCCGTAGAAACTCAAGCCAAACACGAAGCGACCTTTGCGGATCAACAAGCCAAATACGAGTTCAAAATCACTGCGCTGGAATCCGATCTTCAAGAGGCCAAGCAAGTCGCTGAAACGCTTAAAGCCTCAACTGTCGACACGACCGAATTGGAGGAGGAGCACCAGCGACAACTCGAGGAGGTCGAGCAACATTGGATGAGCGAAATTGATGATCTTCGCAACCAACACCTCCAGGAGCTACAGGTCTTCGCCAAGCAAACCGACGAAGACGAAATAGCCCACAAAGCCATGGTCGCCGAACTCGAAGCCCTGCGGGCGGAGCTGGAGGACGCGGAGGCGCGTGGTCGGGAGCAGCAGATTCAAATTGAGAAACATACCGATACTGAGAGATCAGACTCGACAGTCTCGATTCATGCACAAGAGATCGAATCGTTGAAGCAGCAGCTTCGTGAGCATCAGGAGAAGCATGAAGCCGCATTGAAGAAGGCAGAGGAGGACAAACAACAGGAGTTGAAGAAGATGGAAGCGATGATCGCTCAGAGCCTCGCCGAGGAACTACTCTCCGTCAGTAAAGTGCACCAGAAACAGACCAAGAAAATGCTAGAGACCCACGAGAGCGATCTCGCCGACCGCGAAAACGCCTGGAACCTCAAATTGGACAATGCCAAGAACGAGCATGAGCAACAGCTTGCGAACTCTCGCCAGCTCACGGACTCTACTGTATCAAATCAGATTGCGGAGCTGAAGCGTCTCCATGAGGAAGAGCTTGCTGCAGCAGAAAAGAATACCCGAGAGCAACTTGCGGCGGCCGCGCAGGAGCACAAGTCGCAGCTCGATGCAGCTTTGGCGCGGACAAGGCAAATGAGTGAGGCGGATGCGAAGAAGCTCAAGCGACGACACCAAGATGCCGTGGCGGAAGTCCGTTTGATCATGCAGAACCAATCGAAGATGGCCCTGGCTGAACTCGAGGAGAAGCACAAAAAGGCCCTCGAAGCCGCAAACAAAGGGCTCGAGCAGCGAGTCAAGCAGTCACGCGCAGTCTCCAGCGAGACGCACCAAGCCGAGATCATGCGACTCGAGAGCGAGACCCAAGTCAAGTTGGGTGAGCTTGAGAGGAGATTGCAAGCTCAAAAGTCGCGCGAGCTCGACGAGAAACAGCTCGTGTATAGTGCTGAATTGACTGCTCTACAAGCGAGATTGGACGCAACGCTGACTGGTCAAGCAGAAGCCGAACGAGCTCTCGCTGTAGTCCGGAAGCAAGGTGCTGAGGGTGAGAAGCGAATTTTAGAAGTCAAGAGCTCGATGGAGGAGCAATTGAAGACTTTGAGGGAGGAAAAAAGCGAGCTGGCTTCCCAGCTGCGTCACTCCAGAGCTTCCTTGAAGGATTTCGAATCTAAGTTGGTTGATGATGATGTTGAAATCCCTGAAATCAACGTCAAAACACCAATCAAAGCATCACCGTCGCCGGCCACACCGTCTCGCCGGACTTCGATGCATGCTGCTGAATTTAACATTGCTCGTCTCGAGCAGGAACTCGCCGCAGCGCAAATCCTCGCCCAGCGTCGCCTCGAAGAGAAATCTGAAATGGTGCGCCAAAATGATTTCCTCATCAAGGAGCTGGAGGTCCTTTTGGCTCAGCGATCTCACGGCAAAGCCACCACATCTGCCGGACGCAGTGATGCCCTCGTCCAGACCGAGCCCCTTATTTCCGAGCCCAAGGTCGACCAATTCGCGATGCGTCAGATCAAAGCGGAAATGCAAAGCTCTCAACGACCACCGACACCCTTGACTCCGGAGAAGAAACAGGCCCGAGAAGAGATCGATCGTGCCTGGCACGGGCGCTCTTTCGAGGGTTATCTCCGCCAAGCCCAGATTGAACTCTCGGAGCTGGACGACGTGATCAATGCGAACGAGGTGCTATTCGCGCAGAAACTCCAGGAGCATGCCGGTGATTTGCAAACCGCCAGAGATCGTCTGGCACTCGAATTCCAGGAGAAGTTCGATAAGCTCACGTCGGAGAAGATTCGCATGGAGAAGATGGTGACGGTCAAGCAGCAGGCGGCTTTCGCGGAAGAACGTCAACGGCTGATTGATATCCACAGCCTGGATTTCGGCGACAACAGCGTCTTGCCGCAGTCGTCTTCTGCGGCTTTACAAACTGCCGAACAGCGCGCCGTGGCGGATTTTGCTAAACGTCTTGAGCACAGAAAGTTGGAGATTGCTTTGAAACACGCCGAGCAGTTCCAGGCTTTGACTCGGGAGTATGATCAACGTGTGGCAGCTCTGCTCCAGGGCAAGGAGGCAGCACCATCAGACTTGGTGGAGGATGCTATGAAGTTCGAGTTCGGTTTGACTGCTCTCGATACAAAACCGCAGAGGGCTGGCGGAAACAAGCGCAACAGCATGAGCAGCGTCATCAGCTCGCAGCGGTCGTACATCTTCCACGACAACCAGTCCGTGTCTTCACAACAGCAGCCTGAACGCTCCGGACGATCCAGCGAACGTCGCACCGACAGTGCCACATGGACCAGTGCACCGCGCACTACTCGTTCCCTCCCTCGCCATTCGAGCTCATCGAATCCCGCACGTCGGTCGATGGTTGCTCCGCCTTTGCCCTCGCCTGCGACCACTCCTCGCCCCAAAACTGGAAATGGCGCCGGTAATCCCAACGGAACCCTGCCTTTCCGTCAGACATACGCAGACGGGTCTGCTCACTACGCACCTATCACAACTCACTCTCTGATCCGCGGCAAGACAGCCGCCGACGTGCTCCCCGCTTTCCCGCCCAAGACTCCCACGGAGTCGATCGGCCCAATGCCAACGACACCTCGGACACCGACCGGTGCTTCCGCTCCGCTGATCATGAAAGCATCAGGAGCAGGCCCAGTAATCCCCATGCGCCGCTCGATCCCTCCGAGCGTGACGACCCCTGTGGTTCCTGACCTCCCCCAGCAAGCTCAACGCCTCTCCCAACAACAGCAACCGCAAGCAACACCAGATTTCGCCCAACAGCAAGCGTCGACCATCGCGCGCGCCCGCGAGAGCATGTCGCTAGAACGCTACTCCACCCGCACAACTCTGAACAACCACACGGCTCAGAGTCCGCCTCCACCACCTCCCTACGCCGTCAACGCGCAACAACAACCCAACAGTAAAACCCCGACCGCCCTCCCACCGCTCACGACAACCACCCCCTCCAAACCCACCACGAACGCCACCCGCAGCCCCTCCGCCAGCATCTCCACCACGACGCCCGGCTCCACGCGTCGAACAAGCGGCCTCTTCCACCTCAAACGCAGCGTCAAGCAAGCCCTGACATCCTCCTCCCCCACCAAGGACTCCCCCTCCTCCGCCTCGCAACCGCAATCGCAACAGCGGGCCGACGAAACGCCCTCCCCCAGCACCTCCATGCTCAGCGGCAAAGCCAGCAGTCTTCGCCACAGCATCCACAGCACCAGTCACCGCGCTTCTGTCTCGGGGAGGAGTCCGAGCGTGGACCGCAAGAGACTTTCTAGTGGCATGATTTATTGGAGGCCGCCGAAGACGGCTTCGCGGGAGATCTTTGATGCGGGCCTCGTGTAGTCTCTCTCTCTTTTTCCTTCGCTTACTTCTACTTTCTTTTCTTACACGCGGTTTTCTGGATTTACTCTCCTCTTGAGAAAAGAGAGAGGGGTTTTATCTACGTCCGTCGACGGCATCCATTTCTATTGCTTTTCTTTCTCACATATTCGCGGATCATGATCTGGGGAGCGTCATATCACTCATCATCTGTCTCTGGGAACGCTGCGATCTAGCAGAGAATTCCCTCTTTCATTTTTGATCTTGTTTCTCTCGCATTGGAGCGGGTTTTGGCTTTTGGTGGGTGGGGAGGAGAAATCATGCTGGTTATGACTCTTAACTTCACACCTTTCTTTCTATCTGCCTTGCATTCGAGAGTCATTATCTAGGGACATTTTCTTGATTATTTATCTATTACTGCTACTGGATAATGCGCATCATAAAATATTCACCTGCATTCTCATATCGGATCGGGTCGGTTCGGTGACTCTGGACTGTCATTGTCTCGGTCTACTTCTGTACAGGGAAACACCGCTGCTAGGAGAAGGCACCGGCTCGATTGAGTGCTGTTTGAGTTCGCCGGTCTATCTCGGTTCAGTACATTCTGTAGCATGATTGGGGTACGAATGGTCGGTCGTACGTTAGAAAGGAAGGCGAAATTCACTGGTCCGTCCTCCTTGGCCGTGGCTCCTACTATCGAAACTTCGCTGCTGGAATCCTACGATTATCACCAAGCATCAATCCTCATCTCCTTCTCGATCAACTACCTGGCTGGTAATTGATCCGGTTACGGCCGCCGCTAGTGGAAAGACCGATTTTGAACGATTTTGAACGATTCTCAGCCTGTAGAAAATCCATACACACAAACCTGCAGAGCAAACAGCACATTGCGTGAGCAGGTCAGCAGCTTATTAGAGATTATGTTTCCAGCTGCTTGTTCCCTGGCCTTTAACACAGCGCTTTTCTTCTTGTCCCGATCGAACCTCCTAGGTTCCCAAGGCTGACTGTGATTAGCTCGGGATCGACCGTCACTAAGAGAAGGACCGAGTTTAGAAGAGCTCACCTGGCAACGCAACGTTCGTGCCCAGGTGGTCATTCATGTTGCCAGGTCCGATATAGCGTCGCAAGTTGAGACCCTGCACTTGCTTGTCAAGTTGCACTCCAGGGCTCCCGATTAGACCCCATCCCGACGGATGATTATGGTCGCGCGGATCGGATATCCATTTTGTATCTCATTCCGGATTGGTTCTACATATATTCGGCGACTCTGAATTGTCGAGTGGACTCGCTCTATCGTGTCCAAACACTGAACCTGTCGTGGAATCCTTTCATCGTACGTCGAAACATAAAGAAAGAAATGATTTCAAAGCTTGGTATCTACGTCTTGCTAAAATATATGACTTTGCTGCAGCAAATCGCCCACGATTTTCGCCTCGATTATCAAACCTCACCTTAGCATTTATCATCATCTCTGCGCCCGCCTCTCGATGATGAGCTCGGCTAAAGCCGCTCTCAGGTAGATCCGAATTCGACTCCCGGTGGGTCGGCCGGTTTTATGCTAGCGTCGGAGACTACCGAGCGAATGAGCAGCTACCTCCGCTGGTGGCTCGTCATTTCCGAGGATCTGAAATTTGGCTTGTCACAACATGTCACTCGTAGGCTTTCAGGAATGTCACGCATGCAGTCCTTAAAGATCGATACTCTCATCGAGATCGGTCTTTTGTTAGTGAAATACCGAGATGAGCCAATGATTCCTAGAACACGGAAACGGACTACTATAATTATCTCGGGAGAGGGAATGATCGCATGGCATGGCATGGTCGACCCTGCCGGTATGAACCTTACGGGCATGTCACCCTCATGATTCTATGAAGCCATCTGCTCATCGAGATCGCACTTTTCTTAGTAAAATGTAGACTGGGGCCAATGAGCATGTTTGTGATGTGCCGACGGGACGATAAACATGATCTTTCAGAAGGTGGCATGATCATTTGGATTGATCGATCGATCGATCGGCCGATTTGCTCCGATTGGAAGTGTTCGGTTACCTGCCAACACGCCTACCCTCATTCCCTTGGCATATGATTGGAGTCAAGTTCCTCCTTTTTCTTGAGTGTTTCAGGTCTGTTGAGCTTTCGCACCCGGCCTCACAATCTTACGCGGCTTCTTCTTTTCCTTTGATGGTGACCCTCCTGTGTCTGCTCCCTTACGCGTTACTGGTCTCGCCGTTTCATGATCGAGAGTATCCTGCTGCGAGTCTTTCTTGTTGATACCTGTACCCTGCACTTTGGCTTCGCTGGCAGTCTCGACCTTGCTTATTTTACTTGTCTTCAGCTCGTTGGCTCCGTCGGAAACCGTCGCAGATCCCACTTTCAGCTTCGAGATTGAGGACTGCGGAGTCGACTCGCCCGTTGAGTTTTGACCTGTGGTAGACTTTGTGGCGTTTGAGATTATCTTCGTTGGCTGTTTCTTAGTGTCCTGCAGCTTCAGAGCAGCAGCTTTCTGCGCCTGAGCATTTGACTTTCGCATCTCGGCCTCGTGGCCTCGTTGTTTGGTCGCTGATATTTCAGCATCCTCGACAGAGTAGTATGCCTCGAACATTCGGGTTCCAGAAGCTTTCACGCCAGACATATGATCAATGCATGCAGACATGACCATGACGAGATCGCGCTCTGCACGGAGTCTCACAAAGCAGCCATCCGGGCTGTCATCTGCACCCTGCTTTGGTGATGGCTTTGTTCTGAGCACTCCACTCTTTGCGTTGAAGCCGATGCCACGGAATAGACGAAGAGGGGGAGGAGCGTTATGGACGCTAATAGCAGCGCCGATGGCCTGTGAACCAGGAAGTTTGGCCTGCGTGTTCATCTCACCTAGAGCCAGAACCAAGTTCTCTGCACAAGTGTGAGTATCACTGCTTCCCGTGGCTGAATTTGTTCCTGTGGCTTGCTTGATATATTACCTCGATCGGCAGCGTCCGGAGAGCCTGAGTTATCTGCAGAGCTCAATGTAGGCATACATGCCGCTGTCAATGAATCATGTCCATTTGCAGCTGTGTCTTCCAGCACCGTCAGAACTGGCTCCCCGAGATTGGAGGAGAGCAAGTCGTGTACTTGGGGTGTCAGGTGACAAGTAGCACCGCGCGTATGAGACATTGACATGTATTCCATGACTGGTCCGGTATTACCTTGATTCTGTTTCATGGTCGACCAAGCGTGGTATCCCGCATTGAGAGATGCTGCATATCCAGTACCAGTGAGTGCGGAGAGGCTTGCTGCACCTACAGGAGTGTTGCTAAAGGCACGAAGCTGTTCAAAGTACGGTTTGGATGGATCACGCTGGTGCTGATGCAAAGAACTGAGTTAGCTGATCTTGGCCTGGAGATCTCAACCCATCTCTTGATCATCACTTCCACACGTTGCCTACTGAACCACTCACCGATTTTGCAAAGTCCGAAAGCGTGTCCTTGGCCTGATCTGGTATATAAGACCGAAAGCCTTTTCCAGTTGGAATGTATGAAGCCCAAGTCCGCGAGTTCTTCTGTTGTTCAGTCTCTTCCTCAGGATCATCTGTAACTGCAGCATTCTTGTCGTCCTTCTTCTTGCCGAAGCTCAAGGATGGAACGTACGACGTGGGAACATAAGAGGCCCAAGTGTTCTTCTTGGGAGGATCAGGCTTACTCTCAATCGCTTCCAAATATCCTTTGGTGGCTTTTTCGGCATCGTCTTGACTCGGTAGATCCGAGGCCTTCACATTCTTCTTCTTGGAGCCTTTAACAGACGTGTTCTGCGGCGCTGCGCTTTGAGGATGATTCTTTTCAAGATCGTCCGGGTGTCGAACCTCGGGTTTCGAAAGCACAAAAGCCCAGATATCAATTGATTGCAATTCGGAATTGTGCACAATCTTGATGACTCGACCGACTGGTACAAAGGTGGCAACGCCGTGGCCGGCTTGTATCGCTTGTGAGTCGGCCATGGTGTCATGCGCTTTGCCATACGAGATTACTTTGGTAGGAGACTCATTCAAGAGATTGGTGTTGATAAGGGTGTAGTTCGGAAGTCAGTCATCGGACGCGAGCACCCAAGAACACCACTTCCCAGGGCATCGTCATTGTGTGACTCAAAAGTTGAATACGATCGTCATCATCCTTAAGCTTCCGACCAAGTGTCACCCAAATCTTATAGATACAAGGATACTGTGGTGTAACATTTGCTCGGCTGGGTCGCTTTCTTTGTGTGTCGTCGGCATTGACCTAACCCAAAGACCTGTTTTCAACCAATCCGTGTCACCGGACGTGACTCTGACAAACCATTGCCCTTGCAAATATCAAGCATGAAACGGACATCATTTCCGATGACACGATGCACAATTACTTCTGGTACCGCCGAACATGCGCGATGAAAAGAGATCGTAACGACTGCATTTGTTTGAATTCGAGGCTGCTCGCAGGTGTTCTTACGAGAAACAGGGACAGATATCGACAACAGAATACTACTAATGTCGAAGTCTTGTTGGCCACTTTGCTCATTCGATATCTAACTAGGGCCTTCTCGGTGTCGAGTATTCGCAACCAAGGCCATGTTGACCCCGCCTTAGGTGATCCCTAGGTTCTTTATCGGTCACGTGTACCCGTCACATGCGCATACAAACAGGACTGGTACTGCTACATTTCAAGGTTGAGTTCCACAACTTCTCTCGACTTCCACTGGCCCGCACGGGTTCCGACACACTCTAGGTGACTCTTCAGTCTCAATGATCGACGACAAAGCTGCAATGGCGGGAAAGTTAAATCGAAGAGCAATCGCAAGCGTTGATTTTGCCCATTTTGAGGACAGTCTCGTGCAATATTACAGAGTCAAAGATATATCCACGGCCGTCAAAAGACCCTGCATATACCAATTCCAGAGTCGCGGCTAAAAGACGAATAAGGACAATTTGGGTCATGCAAGCCAACTCTAGTCCCAAAAACGCCAAGCACGGTCATATCAAGTCCGTCAGGCAGCAGGATGTAAAAGTTGCCAGAACAGACTTGATTTCACGCATCGACCCTGCCTCTGGGAAGATTTTCGATGCTGGATGTTGCACAAGAGAATCTTTGTTCATCACGTGCATTGCAAATCAACCAAGGCCAATCCCAACACGACCGACTTCAACAACAATACAACTATGTGCCTTTCCACTGGCAGATACCTCCGTCAGTCATAGGAACAGATTCAGATATTCACAAGCCTCTACCAGCTGCAGATAAAGACAGAGATTTTCAACATCAACCAATATATGTGATAAAATGGGATGATGGAGCTCTCGTCTACTGCTATTATCCAAAACGTGAATTCCAACAACACCCGATGTCACCTTGGCCAACGGATGTTTGCCGCAAGCACACAGATATAAGTAAGGAGACGACAGAATCACACAGGAACTCAGGTAGCGACCCCGAACCGGTTGACGAGCGATGTGAGACTGGCGTGGCAGCGACACTCAAACTGCACAATAGAGACTTTCCCGAGGGCAATGTTTCTAAAGCAATGTCGCATGCCAAAGAAGACTCACCGGTAGAGTGTGCCGTCGCTTCGGACGACGACGACGCCGACTCCAGTCCGAGACAATCTGGCAAGAAACCGCGCAGTCACAGAGGTCGACGCAAGAGACGAAAGTCTGGTACACGCAAAGCTTGACACGTCCGAGAGCGACAATGTGCTCGTCGAGTTGACCTCGATACCCGTCCGCTTCTTCCTGAGTCTGACTTTGATTGCCCGTGCATTATGTGACTTGATATATATCTGACAATCAATCGACCAATGCAGAGGATGATAGGTAGCAAAATCGTTACCCTCACTTCAAGGGTTCAAAGTAGGACAGAGCTTAGCCTGGCCTGTACGCGATATGGCCCGGATCCACCCCACTGCCCTGAGTCGTGAGTTCACGCCAGCAGAAGAATCCGACCCGATCCAAAGTTTTGCCTCCACGAGGCGTTCTCCTCTCGGCGTTTGAACCCCATTTCATGTCTGACATTTAGCGTTCATCATGAATCCCGCTAGTGAACCATACTCGAAAACGAATAGAAGCGTCGCTGAGGGCCAGGTGCTTTCGTGCTAGTGCAAGGGAGGAGAAAGCGCTTACGACACTTCACCTTGCGTACGTCTCGCGGAATTTCGATTGTGCAGGGAAAGGTCTGGACCCTGTCACCTCACCGAAAAAGGATTGCACAATCTGAGCAGCAGAAACTCGAATGATTCTGTAAGAACTCTCCTCCGAAGGAGCACCTGGATATGAACCGTGCGGAAGAATTTCCCGTCACTGCAGATTACCGCCTTCCCATCCCAACGAAATTCATGAACAATGGAGAAAATTTGGAAAGAACGCATCCAAACACAGTAGACGCTCAGAAATCATCAATAAACGTCCCGATCCCCTTCTCCCTCGCCAGTCTCACAAGTTCCCCTCCCACCACAACATCCATCATCCCCAACCCCACCCCCTTGTAGATGACATTCCCTTTACTCAACCAGTCCCTGAGACCGCTCTGGTCCGCCAGATGACACCCCTGGGGTTTCTCGCTCGGCTTGTTGTTGTGGTTGAACCCGGGAAAGCCATGGAAATCTATCTTCCCCAAGAGAGACCCCTTTCGTCCAGTCTCGCTGATCGGGGGCGCGGGAGATTCCGCAGCTTGGTAATTCGCCGCGGCACGCCGCCGCGACGCAGCGTCACGCTTCAACATGAAGAGCTCGCCCAGCTCGACGACTTGTTCGGGCTCGAGGCCCGCCTGGATGATCTCGCCTGCTTCGCGGAGGGCGCCGGTGACGGTGTCGACGACGATGGCGCCGCCTTCGCGCTGGCGGCGTTGGTGGAAGTGGAAGAGGTGATGGTGGTGGGGTTTCGAGGATGCGCTGCTGCTGTGGGAACTCGAGGGCGCGGAGATCGCTTGGCGGAGGATGTCCGGGTGGAGCTCGATCATGTGTGGCTTGTAGCTGCCGATGCTGATTATGTAGCGGCCCCGGAGACGGCCGCCGGGATTTGTGAGGTATTTCGCTGGGAAGAGCGGGGTTGTGGAGGGAGTGGTTGTTACGAGGACGTGGGAGGCTCGCACGGCTTCTTTGAGGAGTCGCGGATATTCCGTATGGGCGGGAGTGAGGATTGTGGTGCGGAAACGGGGATGGTCGAAAATGGTGCAGAGCGAATTGTCGTAGACTTCGTCGTCAGGAAATGGATCGTAGAGGCGTTCGAAGCAACGGCGGGCGGTGTCGAAGTTTCTCGTGATGACGTTCAAGTGATGGATTTCGGCGCCTCGGAGAAGCATGGCAAGCCGGATGTGCCAATAAGCCTGCTTACCAGCACCAAAGACTGTCATGTCGTGAACAGAGTCACGCTTGGTGAAAAGAATCATCGAGGCCAGAGCAGTACGAAAAGCAGTCACTTCTTCGGCGTTGATGAGACCGGTGGTGTTTCCGTTGGCGTCTAGAAGTGTTATTGAGCCTCGAATTGTCGAAGTTGTTCCCTCGGATGATGTGCTGGTGGCGCCGGTAGTCGTTGCTGCTGATGGCGTATACGAAGATGTTTGTTGCAACGATAGCCCAGAGCCTCGTGGACTGTGATCGCTACTGGTGGAGCTGCCAGAAGAAGTCGAACTGACGGACGCACGAGCAGCGGGAGCATTCACATCCAATTTCCCGACCAGTGTTGATACATCAGAATGCTCCAACGGTGACAGGTTGATGACTTTGACACCCTGGCACGCCAATCCGCTTGCTGGCATATATATCGATGTAGAACCATCTTTGCGATTGGTGACGATGCGATCGGGCTGATAGTCGGACCCGCAATCGTTAGCATCGCTGCTCGTCGAATACCAGTGGAGCGCATCGGCGAGTGTCTCCTGTAGATGCAGGACGTCGTCGCGGGTCAAAGAATGTAAGATGAGGCTGACATCCCTATCGCTGAGTACGGTAAGCGTCATCGTGTGTGTGAGCGATGAGGCGGACTGGTGGCATCGAGCGGCAAGCACGCTTCAACGATTTAACTTGGCGCGCGGGTGGAGTTATTTCTATAATCCTTGGTGAGACATGGGCTTGGTACGCGATGGCCTTCGAGACGTCATCTGGAGTCGCATCAAGGGACATAAAGGGACAGAAAATGGTCGAGAGAGCGTCGCTCTGGGAACCTTATCTCATCCGTCGCCATCGCGAACGGGCTCAAAGGAGTCTGGTGGTTAGTGGGACGCGCGGGCATTGTGAGACTTTCATGATTCTGTCGCTCAACCCCGCCTGACGCGACTCAGACTCGATTGTCTCATCAATTCCGCCCGCGTTTATCTGGAATGATTCAAATTTTGAAGTATCATCTGCGATCGCTACACTTCATGAGGAAGGGTCAGAAGTGCCGCAAAACTCGACCCGGTAGCTCGCCATGAGAAAGGGTCCTCATGTAGATCATCTCCGAGACAACAGCAACCCTCATGGTGATCTTTCATCGAAGGTGTGCATGGAATGAACGCCTCTGGCAGGGTACAGCAGTAGTGGTATGTAGGGCTATATTGATGATGAGCTAACCCAACTACCTAACGCGGGGAACCCCAACGCGGTCCATACCCCAACGCGGTCCAAGGCATCAAAGAGCATAGCATTCAACAATTGATTGCTCTACCAATTATTGTTGAAATACCTTCAAATTGAAAAACATGGTAGATCAATACTAACTCTTATGATACACAGGTTCTTGCGTTATGGTCTGGACGGCCACACTTGCTACACTTTCTAATACGCTTCACGGGCCTCGGCATCTCCTCCTGGATTTGTGCTTCTACCTCCTCTTGTTCAACAACGTACTGCATTTCAGGAAAGGACAAGGCATTCTCTGTAGTGAATGCCTTCCTCTTCCTTGATTTGCGTATATGCATAGCCTTGTTTGCTTCTTCTAGGGCCACAACACG